ACTGTTATCATATATTACATAATTTATATGTGCATAATGATGCATCTCCATTAAGATATTTGTTTTTTTATTCATGCTATCAGCAAAATTTCATTATCTTCCTTACGTTTTTTAACAAATAGATAGACATTGATGTCATTTTATCAAGAATTAACATATTAAACATTAAAAAAATATGTCATTAAGTGCTGATACGTGTGTTTCCTCCCGATAAATTATATATAACTCACATATCATGTTTCAATTAAAATGATATGAAAGGTCTGGAGATCATGATATTTATTTTAGTAATAACTATCAACTAGGTATATATGAAAATTATCAAATTATTCTCTATCGATATGTAATTTTAACTTTAAATGACCATCAAATGACCCTAAGTTTTTTCCACATAATATACCTATTTTTAGATTTGTTAAAAATGGAAATAGGTCATACTTGAGAAATAAGTGTTGGTTTAATTTATTATTATTTTCATTTAAGATTATCAGTCTTCAATGTCAAGGCTAAAATTTTTTTCTTGTCATCGTAGTCACATATTTGATATGGTACTCATGTTTATAAATAGATGTGATCATTTGCAAGTTTTGAACTTTTTAGTACATCCAATGTTTGAAATAATGACTAAATTTAGATGTTTGAAATAGTAGATATCTAAAGTTGAATAATTGTTGCTGCAATTGATAATTATAAAATTGAACAATTTTAACTTTTATTTTAAAAAAAAAAATCCAGAAAAATATTGAAAGCAATAAGAATAATGATTCCAGACATGTGAAAATGATTTCATTTGGAGAAAGAATGATCAAGAAATTTAAATTTAAATGTGTATTATACAACACAAAGATCATAACATGCACATTGAGTACTGATGCAAAATACATATTAACAGATTTGCAAAAACACATGAAACTTTGCGATTCCAATCCAAGCTAGTTTAAATAACTTATATTTTGACATCAATATATTTTGTAAATATATTATTATTAAAGATATTAATTAAAATTTGTGTTAATTGAATATAAAATTAAATAGAATTTTATTTCTTATAAAAATCTGTATATTCTTGTTGATGCAACGAGAGTATATAGACATCATCATTACCATCTTCAGTCCAATGACTTAACAACTTCAGACTTTTAACTAATTTGAGCAAATATTTATAACTTTTGTTATGTCTTAGTTTGCTCCTTCAGAATTTTCTACATTTGTTGTGGTTTTCACTACTTCATGAACAGTGAAGTTTTAAAAATCTATAAAACTTACTCTATCCTATTTATATAACCATCTTGTTTCCTTGTTACTTATATACTTGATCCCCTTTCTCCTTGTAGCTTTACATACATCCACAAGTGACAAACTGTTGGGACTCTAAACATGTGTAAAGCATGGAAGTGCCCACAGATCTTTCACTTGTGTGGATACTGTAAGATGTACTTTATTACTCCGGATATTAAGATATATCCGGATTTTTTATCATGCAAGTTAATTATCAACGTGCATAGCATCTACTGCACATACAATTAAATTGATACGAGTGGGTGCGTAACACTGTGGATCGTCCAAGGCATATTCTTCTGGCTGGACTGCTCATGATATAATAGTGGGAGCACAATCTATTAGTATACAAGAACGCCGACCCCTTATTAGAATGTTACGGACGTCTATATTCACTGGACCCTTATGAGTACATCTAAGGAGCGATTCTACGAAAAACACAAGCCCGACGTGAATGTCAAGAACAAAAGGGTTTATCTTCAGAAGGGCAAATGGTGACAGTCCAGATACCCCCTGCTCTTTTTCCATCGGCAGAAAAAATGTATATAATATGAACAAACATAAAGAAGAGGGAAACGCAGGAGCAACAACATGGCGAAATAGTGATCCGTTCATGAATGTGAAGCCACCCGGATTCCAAACACGACCGGAGATGATGATGGAGGTTTCAGACCATCTAAAATTACATAAAATATATGATCGTACGTGCGCGCACTTTCGCATTCTCTGAGAGCCGCTGCTTTTGCATATGTTCCTGGTCAATAATTGAACCGGCGATCGACATATACGAATTTATCCACCACTGCCCCAGCACCGGCCAGGCTACTCAGGCCTCGCTTTTTGCACGTGTCTCCCTGGCTGCTGCTATGTCTGACAAAGTTGTCACTCTGGCCGGCCCGATGCCTAGGCCGAATCTTAATCGCAACGAGGCGGAATATTCCCGCCCAGTGTGTGATCGTTTCGGATCTTCGCTCAGCCCTGGTCCCGTGACCTCTCATTCTTTTGTGGGGATCTGAACGCCCAGGATTATCTGGGCTTCATTTCTCATGCATCCTCCATTTTCCACATGTGGACACCGTCGGAATCTTCTAGGAGAGACAACATTCCGATGTTACCTTGTTCGAGTAAAATCTCGAGGCAGGGAAGCACAACCCGACCATATTGATGAAGTTGAAGTCATGATCATCTAGTGCTGGGATTCGTGATTAAGTTTTACATATCTATGATCGTCAACAAGAGTTTACAAGACCATGTTTCTTTGTTATGTCTGTGAGGGACAATTCTGGATGGTCAACAAGAATTTACAAGACGAAGTTTCTTCATTAAATCTATGAGGGACACTTGTGGAGATGAGTAAGCATGAGATTACGTGAGCTTTCTGGATCAGTTTTACAGACCTTCGAAAGGGAGGAAGCACAGCTTATGCTTGTGCTGGGGTCCATGATCATATTCAGACATCTGAATGGGATGATGAGGGAAGGATATATGACAAGAGAGGGAGAGGACTGTAAACTGGTCCCGTGACAACAACGTGACCGTAGGTAAAGACGAGGGTATGCACTTCTCGAGCTACTATATACGCTACCTAGCACAAGGATATCCACCGCATCGATTTGATTTCGTCGAACGGAGCTTGAGCTTGGGCATGGTGTAAAAGCCGAGGGGGGAAGCCGTACAATTCTCTTTGTACAAAGTTTGTTGTAGAGACAGAAAGCGAGGACTTTGATTTGATTCTTTTCAAAAGACTGAGACCTCTGTTCCTGTCTCAGGTCCCAGCAGATCTTTTCCTATAATTCTCTGATTTAAAAAATATCCCAACGAAAGTGAAAGAAACCCTTGTCTCAGAGTGTTGCATCACAACCCAGACATAAGAGAGGAATAAGCAGTTGCAAAGCTAATCTAAACACTGTAAATCACAGATGTGATCATTTTTGTTCAGGGATGTCGACACGTCTATGATTCGCTTATATTAGTGTATAATGTTGCTGGGCTAATCTTTTAAAGGAAACCAGTGCTGCGCTAAGAAATATGAACTATTGAGTTATCTTAAGTTCATATTACCTATTGCCGTCCTAACCGTGCCTTCGAATTCAAAACAAACTGGTTCATAGCCAAGTCCGCTCAAATGAAAAATCATCTTCCGTGTTGGGCAGCAGAGACATGAATCTGATGCTCATTTTCATTGCTTAAAGCTGAACTTTTCATAACAGATATTTGGATCATTATTGGCCTCTGGGCTCATATGGATATTTATGAAACAATAAATGTACCCTATGCACTTGAACAAATGACAACCTTATGCAAATTCCTCCAGTTGAATACGTCGAATCCACTGACTCCTTATTGTGTTTAAGGGAGAACACAATTTCAGGGATGGACATCTCAATGCGCTAGACGGCTGTGTACTACCTCCATCACCTTCTTGTCGATCGATCGAGAAGAGGTGCCACACTTTATACGTGACAAAGATTTGTCCGTCATTACAACGACGGGGTCGGGAGGGGTCATCGCCGCCTCCTCGCTCACCGCCGGAGGGAGGGGAGGGGAGGGTGAAAATTCAGACACCCATGACCTTCACCGCGAACGTGACTCACAGTAGGCCTGCTGCAGAAGAGTTGCATGCATGCGACCTCGGGGCGGACCCGAGACCTTGCTTCTATAACGGATGAAGAAGAAACCTCTGCCCAAAGGCTCATGCAAAACCTCAGACACGAAAATGGTGCATGATGATTGCAAATGCATAAGCTGGGCCTTTGGTTCAGATCTCTACCCCTTTCAATGCGTGACATTTATCCTCTCCCGTACGAGTTTCCACTATTAAATCGAGAGGGAAAAAAATGGCCCGAGTGCCGTGCAGAATTTACGGGGAAATCCAACACCGCTGCGGATTCCCGAGGAAGAGAGAGGAAGAGAGAGACTCGCAAATGAGCGACGAGAGAAATGGAATCGAGGCCCTCCATCGCTAGGCCTCATGGAAATCACGTGGTCGGTCCGCCGGGCCTGAGAAACGGAGCAACGCGTAACGAATGACCGACGGAGAATGGGCGACGACCGGTAGCTGGCTGGATTCGGGAGCCGAGGATCCGAAGATTTCGCCCCGAAAAAGGTGCCCGAAAGTTGCGCCGTCGCGCAGACGACGAGCCCACCTCCACCACCAGCAGCACCAGCACCAACCGTGGTTCCCAACCAGCAGCAGCCCTCGGCGCTGGACCGGGCGGCGTGGAGCCCTCGGATGCCGTCCGATCTTCCAGATACGGTCGTGGCCTGCGGGTCGGCGGCAGCAGCAGCCCTTCTTCACCAAGGAGGGACGGTCCGGCAAATGCGAAAGAGATCTCTTTCCGCTGGCTGCTGGCGTAATCCGTGCGGTGGCGAGGGATCCCGTTCCCAGTCACCGGACGCCCGGACGACCCGGTTCTCGTCCGCCTCTGACCCGGTCCGAGGAGGAGCGTTGGAGCTGTGGCCCAGGGAGCACGCACCGTGCGAGGGCGGGAGAGCAAGGGACGGAACCGAGCCACTGACCGACTGACTGCCTGGGAGCGACCGCGTGCGTGTGGCCGCGGCGGGACCTACAGAACTGGCGGTCTCGAGAGGCGGTCTGCGAGTCCGGGGTCCGGAGAGCGGAGGACGGAGGACGGAGGACGAAGACGGAGGGAGGAATTCGATGGACGTTTCGGGCGAACGTTTATAAGGCCGCAAACGTTCACCTCTTAAAGCGGGTCCTCCAGCTCTCGTTCTCTCATCCATCCCCCTCGATCCTCAAGGACCTCCACCACGACCACGACCACAACGACGACGACGAGGAGCTCCTCCCAAACCGAATTCCTTGCTCCTTCTTCTTCTCCTCGTTGTGACACGAGCTTCCCCATTGTTTCTGCTGCTGCTGCTGTGACCTAGATTGGCCCTGTGGCTGCAGAAGAGCGAGATTTCTCGATAGAGATTGCGGAGATTTAATCGTTTGTTCGTCATTTGATCGAGAGAAGAGCGTCGCTTGCATTGCGTTTAGTGGGTCGAGAAAGCATGGCGATGGCGGGAGTGGCAGCCGGCGGAGTTGGGGCTCTGACCCTGCCGCGAGCAGGTGCCGGATCCAATAAGCGCCTGGCGTCGAGCCGAGGAGGCCTGCGGGGAGTGCGTCTCGTGGCTGCTGGGAAGAATGGTGGCGTCGGCGAGGTTGTGAAGGTCGACGGATTGTGCGTGTCGGCGGTGCACGCCATCGAGCCTTCCGTCGAGGCGATTGAAGCTCCTCAGAGTCATCGCAAGACCTGGAAGGTCGATAGCTGGAAGCAAAAGAAGGCGTTGCAGCTCCCCATGTACCCTGATGCGGAAGAGCTGGCGAGAGTTACCGAAGCGCTGGCTGATTACCCTCCTCTGGTCTTCGCCGGAGAGGCCCGAAACTTGGAGGAGAAATTAGGCGAGGCTGCTCTAGGAAAAGCTTTCTTGCTGCAAGGAGGAGATTGTGCCGAGAGCTTCAAAGAATTCAACGCCAACAACATTCGAGATACTTTCCGTGTGCTCCTGCAAATGGGAGTCGTCCTCATGTTCGGAGGACAAATGCCCGTTGTCAAGGTATGTCATCCGAGAAATTGCCGTGCGGACCCTCTCGTAAACAAGATTCACATTTCGTAGATGCTTTTAGAGCTATGGAAGCTTCGGATCCGTGTGGATGGGTTTTCGGATACGTGTGTCAATTGCTTCGCCTTAGTTTAGGGAAGAAGAGGAGCTTCATATTTTGCATTCTGGCATGGCTCAGTTCTAGATCTTGGCTTCCCTTGATGCGCGTGTCTGATTTTGTTCTGCCATGGATCTTACTGTGTCTTCAATCTTCGGTCTTCTTTTGCTTAATGTGGATCATTTACTGTTTGGTTCAACAGCTTGGACGCATGGCTGGCCAGTTCGCCAAGCCCCGCTCCGCAAACGATGAAACCTTCGACGGAGTGTCGCTCCCAGCGTACCGTGGAGACATCATCAATGGAGATGTGTTCGACGAGAAGTCCCGCATTCCCGACCCACACCGAATGGTTCGTGCCTACAGCCAGGCTGCTGCTACCTTGAATCTTCTCCGCGCCTTCGCCACAGGAGGTTACGCCGCCATGCAGCGTGTGACCCAGTGGAATCTTGACTTCATGCACAACGAGCAAGGTGACAGGTGAGAGACCGAATGCACCCATTCGCTCAATGTCCGTCGTCCTCTCTTTGTTGCTAAATTTGTGGAGTCTTATCTGCAATATCCGTGATCCCTCCACCAATGATGTGTGCCTGCATGTTCCTCCGTAGTTCGCCGCGTGCGCGAAAGCAGTACTTTACTTAATTCTGTCTCTTCTCCACAGGTACCGTGAATTGGCCAACCGAGTGGACGAGGCCTTGGGATTCATGTCGGCTTGTGGATTGACTCTCGACCACCCTATCATGAAGTCCACCGAGTTCTGGACTTCACACGAGTGTTTGTTGTTGCCGTACGAGCAAGCTCTGACCCGCGAGGATTCCACATCCGGCCTCTTTTACGACTGTTCCGCCCACTTCCTGTGGATCGGAGAGAGAACCAGGCAGCTCGACGGTGCGCATGTGGAATTTCTTAAGGGAGTGTCCAATCCCATCGGTGTTAAGGTAATTTTACACAAACATTACTTCCTGGCTTTAGTGCCAAGAGCTCTCAATGTGGTGATTGGTGCAGGCTTGAAATCTTAGGTTGAGGATTGATTTCTCGCAGTGTTTATTTCCCTGATTTGGCGTGCCCATGCTGTTATCTTCATATGGCTTATGCCCTGCCTTGCCGACTGTCGTGCAGGTCAGTGACAAGATGGACCCTGCAGAATTGGTGAGGTTGTGTGAAATTCTTAACCCATCAAACAAGCCCGGTCGATTGACCGTTATCGTGAGAATGGGTGCCGCCAAGCTCCGTGCCCACCTCCCGGCTCTGATCCGAGCTGTGCGACAGGCAGGCATCATCGTGACCTGGGTCAGTGACCCAATGCACGGTAACACCATCAAGGCCCCAGGCCATGGTTTGAAGACCCGACCATTTGACGACATCAGGGTAAGTTTCGGATTATCTGATAGCTTTGAAATGACTGCTCCTTCGGAAACCCTCAATTTAAGCTTTTCCCCATACAGTTGCAAGATTTTGTCTCCGAGCTAATTTGATCTTTAACGATGTGCGCAGGCTGAGCTGAGGGCGTTCTTCGATGTCCACGAACAAGAGGGTACTCACGCCGGAGGAGTTCACCTGGAAATGACCGGACAGAACGTGACCGAGTGCATCGGTGGAGCTAACAACCTCCTGTTCGAAGACCTGAGCTCACGCTACCACACTCACTGTGACCCTAGACTGAACGCTTCACAATCTCTCGAGTTGGCCTTCATCATCGCAGAGAGACTCAGGAAGAGCCGACTTACAAAGAAGGAAGACGTCAAGAGCATTCTGCCTTTCTAAAAATCTGATGACGTCTCGTGTCTGTGAATATTTCGGCGTTCATGCGTAAGAAGCATTTCTTTGGCAGGCTGCCAGGAAGGTAGTACTAACACATTGAATTCACTGCGGTTGCGAGCTTCTGAATCTCAGTTGATTGGACAGATTGATCTGAGTTTTGTAGGTGTAGAGGATTCGGGGCGTACAATCGTGATTCACCTAGAGCTAGGTAACCTGGCCCAACATCCTCGTGATGTCCCCATCCGTCCAAGCCGTCTCTGTGGAGTAGTCGTCATAGTAAAAGAATCCCCATGGGAGACCTGTAAGAGCAAGAGATAGTACACATTCTCATAATTGGAGTTGTGCAACTAGATTATCAACTCAGTACTTTCGGAAAACCTTGAAGAAAGTATTCTCTAATTGTATATCTATGGTTTGGAAAACAGCAATTCTTTCTGGGCTATCATTCACAAATATGCGATCTCTCTAGCCTAGAGTAATGTAGACAGCCTAGTCGCTTTCGTTCGTGGAAGCGTTTCTATCATTTCATAGGAGAATGTAATTTGGACTCCCAGTCTACTTAGAAATTAATACAAAAGATTTTCTAAATATGCGGAATATGAAGTGGACAGCTACTTTCTGTCTTACCATGATAGCGATTACGTCACTGATCTCCGTCCACGCTCTAGCTTCAGCTCTTTTTATTCCTTCTGCATGACGTCTTCTTGTGGTCCCACTTGTATTACGCTTGAAAGTTCGCAAACTTGGACATGCTTGTGGAGTTGCTAGATCTTGTCACGTTCTGTTGTCCCTATCAGTGCACGTGAGAGGTCTGTGGAATTTGCTGTTTGAATCTCGGGGCTAAGTGCTGACCAATACACTCTTCTTGACGTATAGCTTCTCTCCTTGTGGGCCACGACTTGTAAGTATATTTGAGGGAGAATATTTCTCGGAGAGTCGGAAGGAAGACGATTGACGAGCGTCTAGCTGTTTTGGCATATTTATTGGGAGAAATGCATGAAAGACAGCTAAAGCTGCCCTCCAACCAGCCAGCCGTATCTCATTCGCGAGGGTCTGTTACACATTGTTGCCAAAGTTCACATTGTTGAAATTCGTTGGTTCTTAGAGTCCTCACTGCTGTAGTCAAAAGCCCAAGAAACGTAAGGACGTTTGCTAAGCTGGTGACGTCTCTTCGTATATTCCCAAGATTCGTACTTGGAGCAGATCGGAGTTTAGTCGTTGAAATCCCTATCCTGTATCTTGAGTGAGAATTCCGTGTTCCTTTCACTACTTTTGTGTGAATTGGTCTACGATCGCGCACGAAGAACTGTGTCGCTATATAAGGACATGACGTGCGAGGTAATGCAAATGATAGTACCATGATGGTACTACCATCCAGGGTTTGAGACTTTCATGTACACAGCTCACATATCCACCATAATGAGAAGACTGCTAGATTCTTGTAAAGATACCAGTATCTAAAGTCACACGTCGGAGATTTAAATGAGAGAATATACGCTACACTATTCTGATGTTGAAGTAATAGGTAGTAGCCTACCCAAATGATGATAACTGATTACGTAGCTATTGACTGGTACGGAGGACTTTTAGGATGGAAATGTTATATCGTTTCATATCCAGGGTCGAAAACAAGACCTCTTGTTCTGATGACTTTATAAGTTACAAATCTACAGGCCTTTGATACTAGAGTCAATATGTCGACTTGAGATTTGTCAGCTCGAGAGGGAGGAGTGCGAGTAACTGCACTGTATGGCCCAGTTCTAAGTCTTAGGATAAGGAATTTTGTTGGAAGGTACTATCGTGACACAGACAGCCACGAGTACGTAGCAAGTCCAGCGCCTCCTCCTCCTCCTCCCCCTCCCCCTCCTTGCTGGCTTTGCCCCTTGTACTGCATTAGATGCCGTAGATTGGGCTCCACTCAAGTCTCTTCTTATGCAGAACAACGCGAACGGTTGGTAATTAGAGGGTCCTAGCGCTTACAATCGTGTCCATGAATTCTTCTGGTTTCAGAGCCTTCGTTTCACTTAGTATCGCTTTAGCTGCGCGTCCTCTCGAGATTAGTGTCACCAGTTTCTTATAAGGCCACTTGCTGCTCCTCCACTAGCCTCTGTCAACTCAAGGATCTTGACTCCAGCGGATGCTGGATACACTCTCATCAAAATGCTTGATATCTCCCATCTCTTTCTTTGCATTCCACCAATCTTCGGCTTTCCTCGTCACTTTCCACGTTTCATCATAGACTCTCATGTCCGCTCCCTTCACCCAATCCCATTCAATTGAATCTCCTGTACTTTCATGTCTTCTCTTTCTGATCGGAGACTTTGCTTGCGTCCTGTTATGTACTTCGTAGGGTCTTGAACGCCAGGCGTGATTCCTCGTGTTTTGTCATATACTGAACATGGGAACTGAGTTCCCATACGACTGATATTGAGGAGTACAGGTTCAAAATGGTTTTGATAAATGACACCACCAGGTTTTAAGAAATTGACACGTTTACGTGAATTTGATATCACGACTGAAACAGAACAGTTAGGTGTCCATACCACTCCACTCGTCAGAACATGGACTTGCGTGGATTGCCGATGTAAGAAGCACATCTTAAAGCACTCATGCACTCATACCGGCAGCCGCAAGAAGAGCTGGAATACGAGATAACAAGTTCCGTAATGAACTCTCTTGAAGTTCGTAGGGCCGATCGCCAAACGCAAGCGGCGAAGGCAATTACATCACATGCCACATGATCGGAAACCCTGAAAGCTCCTCGAAGATATATGGGCTATGTATAGCTTAATAGGCATGGGGGACCTGCTAACTCATGAATTCACGTGCAGGACACTCGAGGACATCAGAATTGCTCTTCAGAGTAGATTTATGGCAGATGGATGCAAGGCCCCTGAACCTTAATGAAGGAGTCCTCGGACACCCAGAGGAACTGCACTGACAGGTAGCAAACCAGATCCCCCACTCAAAACCTCACTCGTCTTCGATCTGGCATTCTCAAGCATAATTTGAGGGTGTTCACACGGGGGTACTCGTTACATTGAAGTTCCATATCCTTCTCTGTCACAAGAACGGCAACCAATTCGTAAGTTGTTCGTTAGGTCATCACCAGGAAATGGATATGAAGCTTGTTCTCCAACGTGAGACGGAAAGTGTGAAGTCTGTCAGCGAATGAGTAATTAAAAGGTTTTTCGGTGGCTGGTGAATCGGTGGTGATGCCTGGTAACTCGGAGCTAAACTAGTTCATGACAGCACACCTTTCATGACACTCTCTTCTTCTTCTGGTCCTACTTCCATCCCGTCTTCCACATGCACTCATTCCGTTCATAATAGCACAGCTCAGGCTATGACAGGCTCATTCTCTGTAGAGTGGAGCTCCGAGGATCAGCATGTTCGCTTCAGGTCATCACCAGTCTCCACTAGTCTCCACCATCCACTCCTTTCATTCCTTCTTCATGTACTCGTACTCCCCGTTTCCTGCATGCCTTTCTTTCTTCCAAGCATTCCGTCGTCCATGCCACCGAAGCTTGTGCGTCGCATCCTCGAATTCTCCCTTCTCCTCATAGAAAATTTGGACTCATATTCAACACCAAAATCTTCATGGCTTTTACGGATTGCATTCACTTTCATTCACAGGTCAATGAATGAAAGTGTATAGAATGCCCGAGACGTATCTCTAAAAGTTTCAACAGCCGAAGCTTTGTTGATGAAATGCACATTTCCTAGGCTTGCGAACAGGGCACGAAGAAAGGTGACGGCCGCCTTTCGAACTCCCCTCACGCAGACTGAAGAATAGAAAGTCTGACAATTGTGTCATCCGGTCTTCACTATTACTTTGCTGCACTCACAGAAACCATCCATTGAAAATTCTTTGACAGTTACCTCCATGGGACTCTTCACTTCCGTGTGCCAAGTATCTGGTGGCTGGCCTCCAGTCACGACAAGAGACACTAAACGGAGGCTTCAGTGCCAAGAGATCCAAATGATCTAAAAAAACTCAATCTCGAGTGTCAGGAAGAATTGCATTTCCGAATGCAATGTGCTCCTCGGCTCCAGGTTGCCAACTATTCAAGAGCAGTTTGCACTTTGCTTCTGAGACATGGCCGAAGGTTGATGAGATTGACCCTTACTGGAACAGTTTCAACAAACACAGTTCGAGTTTCTAGTTCACGCTATCTGGCCGACGAAAGCTTACACTGTGATTTGATCACGTGTGCCGTGTGTGCTAGGAAGAGCATGCATGCTGCTGCTTCAATGAAATTGGGCATCCTCCACTACAGATTTCTTCAATCAGCGTCAGAAAGTTGTTGAACTGGTGACACTGTCGGGCCTCGGGCTTGTTCTGAATGAACTCCGGTGGGGACAGATTGCTCTGTTGCGTGAGCTACCATCACGACGTGACGAGGTTAGTTGAAGGGCTAGCCAAGTGTGGCGGAGTGTTGGCCCACATTGGCATTGCCGGGCCTTTGGGGCACATGTTGCTTTTGGATTCATAAGGCGATGCAACCCATAGGGCACTCGACGCCACGACCAAGTCTGATAATAACAAATATGAGAATTCTCTACATATTTTCCATCAACTACGTATGGAGATGGATACTCAAGACCTTTGGAAATGTGTTGTATCCAACCAGAAGGAGATCATACCAAAATGAATCCACATCTGGTTGAAAATAGTCAACCACAAGACATATCCACCATCATAATCCAAGCGTAATCCGTATATCTAATGTCTCATAGATAAGTGTACCTAGTTCCAGATATGCAATGAATGATATGAACTTTCAATTTATGGTACATCATAAAGTTAACGAATTCCAATGAGTCACTTCTACTACATTCTAAATATCAGTAGAATAATTAGAATCCTTTTCTCTTGTGGCAGAGTGTATTTAATATTTGCCACAATAATCTCCGCGTACTTTTTAAGGATTAAACATGTCCTAAGAAAGTTAAATTCTAACAATTTAGAAACCCAATCACTGGATGGAAGTTATCTTGATTCGATATGTTATATTGTTATTATAGGATCTACAAGATCTTTAATGACAGGATCTTGTGACCTAAGAGTACATCCTCTATAAACATGGTCCATGTCACATGGATATCATCTTCTGTAAACGGTTAGTTAACAGAAGATGATATCCATGGAACAGATCTCTCCGTATGAAGAATGAAATAGAGTAATCTTTATCTACTGATAAATTGTTTGTAATTCACTTGTCATGGCCGGTTTTATGCCTAAATGACATGTAAAAAATGATATATGACTATCAACGACATCGCTATTTGACAGTTGATTGTTCAAGCGATTTCAGTCAGTTATTTCTCTTTGCTCTAGATGGATGCAAAGGCTAAAAGTGAGGGATTTTATTTGTTTTCAACTGATAACAGAAATAGATTCATGCGAGAAATTGCAATTGAAGATATCTTAGGTGATTTCTTGGTAGTATCTTTGTCAATCAACTTTATTTAACTTAAAACATACTCTTTGATGAATGAACTTTTACTTTGGCTTCATCAATGTATTTTTTCCATCAGGTATGTGAATAGAAAATACTTTTTCATGCACTTTTTAGATATTGTTAAAACTTATTGCTCATTCAAGTGTCGAAAGATAACTATCGATTATAACATTGAGGATGTACCTCAAACGGATCTATATCTTACAATAAATAAGAGTTGGTACGCATTGACCACAATTCATACTAGCTCTACCATACCTTAACTGACCATAATATATATTTTTACTTGATTGAGAGAGCGAACTTATTATAGCAAACGTGGTGATGATCCATCCGCTTGGATACAATGCAAGTGGTGCGACAATCGCAAGATCTCTAAAGGGTTTAAAGTACAAATAAGGTCATAAAACTATTTATGCTTTCTTCTACCAATTGAGTTACATTAAATTGTGGATATATAGTGAGACGGTGCACAAGACTACCGTAAAGATACATAGTGCATTAAACAAGTGCTATAATATGCATATATTTTTCAAATTTTTTTGTTATTTTTTTGTCCAACGAGTTGATCATGTTTTCCCAAAGGCCTGGCAATAGGCACACACGTATCAGATTGCAATTATCAAGTTGAGAGACATGCATAATCGGTGCATCAGAGGATCTTGAGATGCGAAGAAATCTATTTTAGTTAAGAAGGTTGTGATAATTATGTCAATCATGCATCATTCTTTCTTCAATTTTACATGAGCTTTTAAATTACAAAGTGTATTGGAAATATTATAAGTGAGAGAAGATGATACTTATGGAACTATGGTTTGTGGCATAAGGATGTTTGAATCAGATAAGAAAGCTTACAAGCGCTTTTGCTAGCAGTCTCAAGTATTAAATTCTGCTAAGGTAAAATCGAGAGAAATTATCTTGGCGTAAAGATATGTTAAAATTAATGCATGTATCCAAAAAACAATCACCATTTTATGCATGATCAATCATGAGTGTAGTTGAAGTACATAATAATTTTAGGAATCTATACATGTATGAACACACGAGTAAAGTAGGAGACATGTCACCATTCGCACATGAAAATCTGAATGGTATTGGCTACTAGAAGTGTCATCACGCACAAACAACTGAAGTGAATGACAAGAAAATGTTGCAAGTACATGCACTTCACTTGAATTGATCATGAATGCAAGGATACTGTTTCATTCACTTTTCGAGAGACTGTTGTTAAACTCTGTCATTTGTTGATTCGTTTGAATAAATGAAACGAACTGAGCCGTCTACCCTCTACCTTTACTCGTTCTAGTCGGATACTTGTGGTTTACTCTTTTTGAGTGGAGGTTTGTATGTCAAACATTGGTGAGATTCGCAAACAACATCCACGAGCTGAAGACAACTTATTGAATGGATTTTTCATCACTGAGGCCCCGAAAACAATTAATAGTAATTTGGAGATTGTGAATTTGGGACATACCATCGAAAGGGTTGGATTTTACCTGAGTTCAGACTGTACTTGTTTATAAGTATGACGATTATACATGATCACACATTCGTTCGAAATCTAATCATGTAGTTCATCAGTCAACCAAAATTGGACTCGTCTATAGTGGCTTTTACCAGACTCAAGAAGATCTACAAGTGAAAATCCTCGAAAAAGTCCGCAGCCAGCTCCAAACATTGTTCACACCACTCAAATTTCCTCTGCTGCCTCGATCATTAAACTAATATGAAGCTCGTTGAAGCCCTCCGCCGACACTACAAAAAATACTTACCGGATATCACATTCGCGGTGTCACTTGCCTTCAGACAACATGAGAAATGAGTTTCTGGAGGTTGCTGCAAGCCTGAAAGGCAGACAGCAGAGAGACACACATCTCAGTTGGTCCTGTGTATGGAATGCCGGCTGCACTTAAAAGTAATCACATAGAAAATCGTCATTTGTGTACGATGTTGGAGAAAGGTTTTAGTAAAGTACTGTAGACAATTTCTGCTGCCAATACTGAACATATTCAATGTGAATGGAGACGAGTTGAGGGTGAGATCAAGCTTACCAGCATCAGTGATCAGGGCTCGTACCACTGTGTGGTTTTCCTTCCATAAAAGGGTTCTGGAAAAGGAAGCGCAGCCATCACCTTCTTGAGATTCTCCTCATAATTCTCCTCAGTTTTCTTGGTATCTGCAGCGGAAGTGCGAAATTCAATCCAAAGCATTCAAAACGTCTACAACATTGTCGGTCGACACTTGTACATACCACATTCAGCAACGTTCAATCATTGACATGCTTTCCATTCACAACCAAACGGCCCACCGATGGAAGAGAATCCCAACAGACTTACGCTCATACTCTTCCCGTTTCTGCTCTTGCACAGCAATCGTTTGAGCTTTCTTGCCCCTGATCTGGGACTCCAAAGCCTCCAGGAGCTCTTGCTTTGTCTGTACGTAGAGTCCAAGAGTTAAAAAATGCAATAAATTAGAAAGCAGTTGGCGCAGCATTAATGAGGCATTCCGGACTTTGCCCACTTCAAACTACTTCTCTTTGTGTCAACTGTTGAGCTCTCTGAGCAAATCATGAGCGACACTTCTTCAATGCAGCGCAGGAGCAGTTGCACACTGCATGGGTAGATATCTGGGTCCATAAGGGCAGGCCTTTACAAGGCATGGTACGATATAAACAGTCTAAACATATAATCCCTCAGTACAGCTCGAGAGGTACAATTCTGTACCACAGAAGCTTTTCCTCTTTTCTCATGTACTGTATGGAGGGAAGAAGGGGGCCATGAACAACAGCTTCAGTGCCTCCTCATTTTTCCATTTGAACAAGGAGAAGCCCCAGCCTGCGCTCTGGCACTGACGAGCAAACTTTTGTGTGCCCACTCCCCATTATGTTACCGACCGCCTGCCCTTCTTGGGCTATTCCCGTTCGGACAACCAACTGTAGGTTCGAATTCGTTGGCACCATTCTCCCTTTCGAGATCGAATCAACTCACTCGTCACTGACTCGCTCACTTACTGCCTGCCTGACGGCCAACCAGGCTCAAACCAGACCGAACTATCGTGTTGCTAAATGTCGACTGGAAACCATGAAGTCTGATTAGGAAGATGAAATCTGAATCTTAGATAATCTGGGGGTCCCTATGGTTTTCTTCGAGTTTCAGTCATATTGTACTTTGCCATTTCTGGATTTCCGTGGTTTCATTGGCCTGTGGTTTTAATTTGTTTTCTTATTCTACTGTACGTGAATCCTTTCTCCTGTGCTCGGTTCTGATTTTCTTTCTGTGACGCGCATTTAAGTACGAGTTATATTCTTCTGAACAATTGGACCTGGAGCTGTTTGACCTGAAGGGACCAGCATAATGTCGAATCAGTCAGTGAAGCAGAATATAATCTATTTTGGCCCAGGGAGGTTCGTTAGTTCCGCAGTTGCGCCGGTGCCTGGACCAAGGACATCTGGAATAGAATGGCCCCGACAGGATTCGGTGCCGCGGATTCCTGAATCGTGTTGACTTTTGTTGAGGTGGTCATTTATATATTTCACAGCATGGTCCGCCACAAACAACTGAAGCTCAGCCTTGTCAGTGAGTGAGTCGAGCGAAAAGGAGATTCTGTTTAGGATTGTGACTGTTGCTGTTTAGTGCATTGATGGGTGATGCTCACCAGCCTCTCATCCATAGCTCTAATCTGCCTCTCTTCTTCCATCGCCCGCAGCTCTGCTGCGTGCGCTTCTGCCTCCGCTCTCCTCTCCGCTTCCATGGCCTTACGGTTCGCCTCTGTACACAGTCGACGCAAATTTGGTCACCACATGTGTCAGTCTGTCGGGGAATTGAATGCCATCCGAAGAGACTGTCTACCTTCAGATCAAACCCCAGCTCATCTCCATCATCATCATCATCACGTAGACTTCACGACATGTACCATAATTCATGAGAAATGTGATGAGATAAGCTCTGAATGCATGAAATTGAGAATTCAGAGTTGGTCGATGTCTTTCTGTCAAAATCAGAGCGCAGTCTGGTTTTCGAGAGGGAATGGTGACGAAGTGTACGATGGCTCGAAATCAGAGACGAGAGGGTAATTTAGAGGGTCGAGGGATGAGGGTACCCATCTCCGCAATTTGCAGCTGACGCTCTTCGTGAACACGGCACCAGAGTCTCTGTCTCGCGTCCTCGTTCTTCTTCCACACGGCTTCTCGTTTATCCCATTCCTCGTCTTCCTTGGCTTTGAACACAGCATCGGCAGCCAAATCGTCGGCTTTCTGCCGGTTCATCATGTTCCTGAGGTGCGCGGCGTAATCTCTGGCCTCTCGTCGATGGGAGGCTTTCAATTCCTCTTCGGCCAATTGATCGGCCGCTTCCTTCTCGAGATTCTTAGCGAGCCTGTCTCGATCCTGGGCCTTCTCCTGATCGATGTTGTGCTGCTTCATGCCCTTGTTCGCCTCGTTGTACTGCTGCGTGTGACGAGCCCTCTGGCGGAAGAGTTGCTTATTCTCGTCCATCTCCATCTTCAGGGCCTCGGTCTCCTCCTTCCATCGCTGCGTCATTTCTGCCATCTGCCTCTTGGCAGTTCTCTTGTCCTCCTCGCGGAGCTTCTCGACCAGCAGCCGCTGCTCGTTCAGCAACTGAATTGCTTCCTGCTTCGTGGCCTCCTTCTGCGCCTGCTCCTTGTAGAATCTCGCATCCTGCTTCGCCTCTTCGCGCTCGATCTGCTTCTGGAAGAATTTCGCCTTCTCCTCCTCGTCCTCCTTCATCTTCTCCAGCACTTGGATTTGCGCTTTCCTGCCCTCGACAGCCCTGCGAACCGCCATCTTCGAGTCGTGCAGTCGGCAGTCGTCGTTGTTTTCTCTCCAAGCTTTGAAGAGCATGTCCTCGGCGTACTTGTCTTTCTCCTCCATGCGATTGGCCTTGAGCGCTCGGGCTCGAGCATCGAGCCACGCCCTGCGCTCCGGCAGAGTCATGGCGACGGTTTTCAATTCGTCGATGAGGAACGATTCCTCGCCGTCGAGCAGCGCCGCAAGCTTCTGCTTCCGGGTGATGGTGCTCTTCTCGCTGTGCGCCTGCATCGTCTGCACGATGGCCTGCGTCTCCTTGAACTTGCGCTTCGCGTCGAAGGAATGCGCGAATTCCGCATTGCGCATGATGTGTTGGTACTCCTTGACTCCCTGCAGCCTCTCCTTGAGCGAGTCCTCGTACAATCGGAACTTGTAAATCCGATCCTCATTGGCAGGCAGCCTCTTGGGCCTGTAGTAGGAAGCCTTCGCCTGATCCATCCTCCCAAATCAATCAATCGATCGATCGATCGATCAATTTCCACCTCAATGTGAATCTCTCTCACCCTCTCCTCACCACTCTCACCACCACTGACCTCATCTCATCGACAATGTTTCTCTACGCATGTTCAATCGATCGACGAATGTCTCAGCGATCGATTCGATTCGATTCTTTCGCACCGAGCAAACTGAAGACGGCGACAATCCGCCCTCGGAAACCTCTCACATCCAGATGCAGCGGATCTGGTGCAAGAAATGCCAGCTCTCATTTCGGTTCCGATCCTCTCTCGATCATGCAAAGAAAGACTCGGACCTCGCTTTTGCCAGAAAAGAAGCGGCCATAGCAGCTACGACGTAGCGAGCGACGGGTCGAGGCATTCAAGGGATGCATGGCACCACCCGGAAGACGAGGGCAGGGGCGGACCCAGCATCAACCACTCGCGTAGACTCGCGCGGTAAAATCTCTCGGTGAGGGATTGAGAAGGGAGGGGGAGGGGGAGGGCGAATGGAGTGGGCGTGGAATCCAGCGAGCTGATGCTCGTGTGCTCGTCAAGATGTGAAGGACGCGCCGCGAGTGAGTGGGTTGTTGGAAGGGCACGAAGAGAATGGCGGGAGCGAGAGGAAAGACGAGTCATAATTGTCGAGCGAGGCCGATGGAAGAAGATGGTGGGCCGAGAGAATCCGCAGGCCAGGACCACGCAAAAGGCGAAGCTATGTCCATAGCTATGCTCTTCCGGCCCCAGCCCCAGCCCCAGCCAGCTCCGGCCCCCGGCTTCCTCCTCCAACTGCCTGCAGTCGAATCGATTCTAGGTTTGGATCGTGGCTGTCGAGCTTTTTGCAGCCGGAAATTCTTTCTTGTTCTTGCTAGGGCTCGCGAGTCGAGCACCCCATCCTCTAGCAGCAGACCACGTGTGCGATGTAGCCCCGGGGTCCATCGCAATCGCCATCTCTATCGGTGCAAGGTTTCACATGCATGAGCTCGCATTTCGTGCTCGCCTTTTGCACACGCACTTCGCAGGTCCACTTCCTCCATTTCCTCCTCCTCCTCGTCCTGGCGGAGAAAGCTTCTCCCGCCGCGTTGGCCCCGTCGCTAATCATTTGATTCTCTGTCCTTTGTCCTTCGATCTCTCAAGCTCTTTTTGTATCCTCACTCATTCCTCGACCTTGCAGCCAATTGCGGAGTAATTACCAATCGGCTCGAAAACAACCTTTGGGGTTTGTGCGTATGAATGATGATGATGGCGCTGGAGAATCGGTCGGATTTCGGTCTGCGCTGGATCGAAAGCAGTGACCAGGATTTTTCTAATCTAAAGCCTTGGCTGATGCAACAAATGGTGGAGACGACTTTCCGGGAGCAGAACACGACATGACGGATCGATTGATCGATCGACTACTACGCGCAGAGGAGGGATCCAAGACTCGAACATCCAGGACCAGCCAGGCTCGCGCCATCATGAGCTCGTCGATCCCACAAAGCTCCGCAGAAGAGCCAAGTCAAAGAGAGCACGTGCGATCGAGAGCCGAATCTTCGAAAGGCGAAAGCTCTCGAATATGCATACGGATCCAGAGAGAGAGTCAGTCGGTGGGGCAGGGCAGAGACCAAAAGGCCAGACGGGCGCTCTGATTTGCTGCTTTTCCATCGCTCGAAAGTCGTCGAGAAAAGCAAGCACCGTGCATGTCCATCGGTGAACGCACTCACGCCGATCAAGGAATGGATGCCATCGCTTTTCTCGTAACCTCTGAGTCCTCGTCCTCGTCCTCGCCCACTTGACGAAAGTTGACCTCTTGCATGTCCAGCTGCTGCTGCTTTGCATACGTACCGCAATCTATCGCACGACCTCCGTCTCCCTCCCTCCCTCCCCCCGTCCCTCTCGATCGTCGCCAGAGACTTGTGTCGGACCCTCGTGCGCAGCATTTCGACATCAGGTGGAAAATCTTGTGTCGAGAAAATGGAAGCAAATAATTTCTTGGAGGCTGGAATTATTTCTTCGAAGAGAATTATTCCATGAATTCTTTTCTTTCTGCAAGTTGTCACGAGGACCCGAGGAAGGTGGGTGTTGGGGTGAGCCCTTAAACAATTCACACCCATTAGAACATCACCTGCTTGGCCTACTGCTGCTCGATGATGAGATCAATTCTCGCTTCGCAAAGCATTTGGCAATGACTCAGTGTTCCGCACAAATTGAACAACAAATGGCTGTGGAAGATTTCGTGGTCCTCTAATTCTTTGTTTCTTGCATCTCCGTGGATATCGTCTTTCTTTCAACTTCTTCCACTTGGTCTCGTGGACGCCGCCCTAATCGCATAAACCAACCCAAGCCCCTGCCCTGCCTGCAACAGCATGGCCAAAAGTAAACGGATGTTGATGAGGGAGACAAACAGGTATGATGAACGAATTATGAACATCGATCGATCGAGATTGGGATATGTTTGGGTGGACTTAATACTTCCTCGGTACTCGATTACACTTGTCTCGTCATGCAGCCATAGCTTAGGACGAGCTGTTATTGACATTGATCGACCCAGGTGAGAATTCGCGCACCTTCAATCACTCCTCATCACTTCTCTTGCTCTTGTTCTGCTCGTCCTTGTCACATCTACTTGAAATGGAAGATGATTCATTCAGGATTAGGGTCAAGGAGATCGAAACCACCAGAGGAACCAAGTATGAATCTATTCCTCGGTGAATTAAATGAAGCATGAACATGTTTGCACGAGAGGAATATTGATTGGGAGGACGAGGGACGTTCTCTTTTGGTCTGTCGTTCTTTGTCCATCCACTTGGCCCGCAGTCTCCTTTAATGTCCTTTGATTTCTTGCTTTCCTGCACTCGTATTTGCATGCCCATCATTCGCACGCTTTCAAATGTAGATGCTTCCTTGCGATGCACATTTGCAAATTTCAACTTCCGACTTTTGTCGTCCTCCACTTTGGTCACATGTCGCCTAACCAATTCCCTTGCGGTCTCTCTTTCTCCGTCTCGCCATGGCTCTCTGTCTGATTATGTCTTCCTGTCTGTCTAGTGCTAACTAACTAGTGCAGCCCTTGCATGCACGGCCAGATGGGCACCTCCCAAACAGCATACAACAAAGTTGGAGCATATGCATCGCTTGTCCATGGACGAAGGAATCCAGAATCCAGAATCGTTCCAGCTTTCTCACGACATATCCTCACTGATACGCAGTTCCAGTGCCTCGATCGGAGGAGGCGTCAACCGAGGTCTTCTTTTTTTGCAGTTTCTTTTTCTTCTCCTGATTTTGTTCTGTCGATATTTTGGGGTGAAAGTTCATCCAATTAGGTGCGATAGAAAATTATGACTTGCAGAAATATCTCAGAGCAGGAAAAGGTTTTCACAGCAAACCGAGGAAATAAAGGTTTGTTAAGGGCTATAAATTGCTCCGTACTCGCACTCAGGTGTTGCTTGCTCGCTTGCATTTATCTTTTGCTTTTGAAATGCTTATACTACTCCGAAACACTCTTCTCTCAGCCATCGATAAATCAATGGATTGGTGACCCCACCCACACACGTCTTTGCCTCTCCTTTGGAAGGGAATTGTTCCTGTAGTGCCTGAATCTGAAATCTGGAGGCGAGGAGCAGCTTATGGAAACATAGGAAGCTTGCAAACCACATGTGGCAGCTCAATTATGCCTACAGAGGCTAAGGAGACCAAAGCTCAACTGCCGAAGACGATTCAAGTGCTCGAGCTTTGCTAACCTCTATCTGAGATCTCTTGTTCGAGACAAGCACTTTCTGTTGACAAGAAGCACAAGCTCAACCTCCCCATTCTGTCAGTCATAATGACGGACACATGTGCACGAGGATCCTTGACTAGAGGAGAGCTATTCGAAGACACATAAATTTAGGATTAGGAACAAAGTAATGGGGCAGATTCCCATGGGCGGTCTTCATGGCATGATTCTTTCGTCCTTCCTTCGTAGGAAAATCTTTTTTAGCACTGACAGAATTCTTACATATTCCTTGACCATACCTACTCTCATTCCACCTATTCCTTCCTTGCTACACTTGTTATATCAGTATCACGATGAAGGCACTTTTGAGCCTTTCTATGACCGTCAGACGAGAAAGATTCCAACATCCATCCGCACATCCAAGCATCAGAAGTCCAAATGCAAACATCTGGCTTCACACATCTCTTCTTTCGAGAAATTTATGGACCTGAATAGTCACAACATCGAGGTGACGAGTCTAGAACTGGGACTGGAAAGTCTTGGCGTTGCTGCGAGGATCTACACTTCCTTTTATGGCAGAACAAGATGGTTATCAGTATTTACGTGATGATATTTGTAAAAGTTATTCGAGGCAATAAATCGAGAGGCCGCAGTATTGTGCATCACTTCTGAGTTAAGACGAGGCTACATATACCATTTGTCGAACGGAATGGAGTTTAACGATGGAAATGGACTAACAATGAAAGAATAGAAATTGGAATCTTTGTGGGTCCAGGCTCTCAGAAGTTTCATTCAAACATGGCGAAAAACTTCTCGTTATGGGTACAGAAGTACGAACTACGTACTGATCATCACTAATCTGACTATGGCCAGGTGCTGTACACAGTTGTGGATGTGGCGAGGGATAGATAAGGAGGTGCAACGTAGTTGAGTTTGATCATTGCTTCCACAGGGTGAAAGGTCTAAAGCATCTCTTTGATCCTACCCAATGTCGAGGAGGAGTCGAAAGACGAGAATTCCTGTTGCACACCCAAACCGCAGGCCAAAGCTTTTTCTTCACACATGCCAACTTCAAGGTGCCAGCTGATGAAATATGATAGCTCTTGCTCTGTGTCCACCATAGGTGGGGATTTGGCTCCAATGTAGTCCAGCAGCAGGGTTTCATATCTTTCCATGGAAGAGATCAGTGGAAAGGTCTAGAGAAGAGAAGTACAGACAGCCTGGAAGATAATGGGAGAATCGTCCAAACGAAGACTCACTCCCTTTTCACAAACATGACACAGCTCATCCACACGCTCGACGTTGTTGACCTCTGATTTCTTCATTCTTTCTTTTCTCCTGATCTCTCGTACATGAAAAACGAAAGGTGCTGGTGCTGGTGCTCATGGTGATGGTGGGGGTAGACGACCGGGTCCTCGGAACACACCTCGATCACAATATCGTTGTATGAGACAAAGATCAGGTAAGTCTGTTAAATCCGAACTACCCAACCAGCAAAGGAAGTAGCTAGCTGGAGTTCTAGTGCATGAGAGAGGGGCAAAATCCACACAAGGACATGACTTTGGCAAATGGGAGCAACTAAAAAAATTTGAGTGGGATGAAGGGGTGGGGTGCAAGACATTCCACAAGAGGGATGACATGGGCAAACGAGAGAGAGGGAGAGGGAGAGAGAGAGAGAGGGGGAGAGAGAGTGGAAGTGGCATGTACCGGAATTGTGAGACAGAAGAAAGTCAAGAGAAATAAATGCTGGGGTTGTTAGCTCATCTGGATTTCCAACTTTTGCTCTTCAGCTTACCTTTTGTCATTACTGTACTATGAACGCCTTTTTGTCTCTTGGGACTGCTCCTTTCTTTCCTCCTTCCTTCTGTAAGCCCTTTTCTCAAAATCAGGAGTGGTTTAGTCTTTCCATTCCTTGTTGGTTGGTCGTTTGAATGTAAAGATCGTTTCCAGCCTGCCCAGGTTTCTTCTCTTTATTCTATGTTTTTGCAGCCAGCCGCAAGGTGCCCAGCAGACAAGCTAGACGAGCATGTAGGGGCTCATTTTCAAGGGACCCTGTGACGTACAAAGTCTTTCGGACCTTGAGGCTTTTCTTCTCTCGTGCGAAAATCAGTTGGTAAAAACTTGGCCCACATCCCAATCTGGTTAAGAAGAATGATGCTTTCACTCTTCATGGTATCAGTAAGTGATTCGAACGCGCATGAATAAGTAAACTGCATAAAAATAAAATCACGCGATGAGTAAAAATAAAATCAATCGAGGCCAGGAGGAGGAGAGGTTAAGACGAAATTGATGGATATATGCATTGATCTCCTCGAGATTGAGATTGAGATGATGATTGCTAGCTCCCTCTTTGTCTCCAACATTCATTCGTTCAAATCCCATAACAACTAGCTTAGATTCTCTTCCTACGCAAAGAATCCAAAACGCTTGGCTGGCATATTAAGTGTCACATCTTCTGTATCATGAAAGGGTCCCTGAGCTTCCCAAGGGAGACAACAGTGAGATATGATTCACATAAAACCAACTTGCCTTGGACATTCCGAGCATGGTTTGACTCCATCAACACCTCTAGCAATTCTCCCATCCACGGTCAATGCTTGAGCCTGGATTTTATTGGCCTCGATAGTTGCAAAATTGGATTTGTCTTGGCTTTCTTTTGGCCGAGTGCAGTACTCACTCAACAGTATCATCTGCATGCATAATCACTGCACCTCCAGATGAGTGGTGCCAGAATCCAATAAATGGTTGACCTGAACCCCTTAGACAACTCAGAGTACTCCAATACATACTCCTACGAGATCCGTCACTAAATCCAGCATCCTCATAACCGATTTGTGTGCTCAGTTGCTGAAGCTATCATCGTGCAGTACCACCGTCGATGTATCAGAAAAGCTTTCTCAGACAGACACATGGCATTGTCTTCACATGACTGACACCAAAAGTGTGGAGTAGCCCCCAAGTTGGAGGCGTCTCTTGCAGTCTTCGATTTCTTCAAGACTCACACTGCATCATCACTTGCAGAACCAGAGCTCACCTGAACTCACTTGGAAAAACTCTTCGCCTTGTCCTCACATGACTGACAAGATATGTGCAGAAAACCCACGAGTCGCAGTGGAAGCATCAACTTGGAAGAAGCTTTCCAATGTAGAAAGAATGCGTACGCTTTTCTGATTGAAGAGCTAGTTTTGGCCAAATTTGGTCAAATTTGGTCAGAGGTGTGAAGAAAGGTCTCGAAGGTTGGGGGAATAGGTTGGGGGGTGGGGACCTCGAGTGGTGAAGAAGAGAGAAGGAGCGCTTGCATTGGCATTGGTCAGTGCATGGGACGGAAGTCCAACTCGTGCTTCATAATAGTGAGGATGGGAAACCCATGACCAAGGAAGGCCATGAAAAGCAGCGCTGCACCGGTTCTGCTACTCTATCCACAGTAGTCCAACAACTCCACATATAGATCTGCCCCTATCTGCCCGACCATAATCCACTTTCCTTTCCTAATCGAGAGCGTACGTACTCCAGCCCCGTGACTTCTGAGGCCTGACGTCGACTGTCATAAATCACTCACTCACTCATTAGTTACTGCTTAAGATGCAGGAGATTATTACAATCGAGTACATTACCGCTAAGCAACAGGATCGAGATTATCCCCGCCACCATTTTCAGACATGCAAGCAGTTAGCCAGGCAGCCAAGCTGTCCGGCAGGCGGCAGCAGCAGCAGCCGATCAGAAGAGTTTTGATGAGAAGACTGATTATGGAGATTTTTGGGCACTCGCGAATAGGAGATGCGCTGTAAGAGCTGCGTCACGAAATTCAGAGAGCTCGAGAAGTGGAAGACAAACTCGTCCTGCTGCGACTCAGAGCAGAAGAAGAAGACGTAGACTCTCTGACTCTGAGAGAGAGTGAGAGCGAGAGAGTTTCGTAGAATGCTCAAACAAGGTCCGAAACTTTTTCAGGACTCACGCCTCATCGTCTATCTGTACAACAGACCTTGACATCACGCTAAAAAAGCAACAGGTTCCCAGAAGACAGGTAAACTCTTGAGAGCACTGACAATTCATGACTGCCTCAGAAGGCCACCTCAGCTCGTCGTCTCATGTCCGACCATGTACGTCTCGAGCTGGAGCTAGCAGCACTCGAGCTAACGAGGTGGTGGCTCCGGTTCTGGCTCTGGCTCTGGGTCTACTAGCTCTTCTTGCTCTGGAGGTGGTGCCATCGTCGTTATGGGGAGATAGACTCTCAACAGCGATGGCTGATGTAATGGACCGGAGCTAGGGGAGAGAAGACGTCTGTCTGTGTCTGAGCTTAACCCACATCCCAAGCCATGGCGTGAGCCGGTTGAGCCCGGCTCGGATTCTCGTTGAGTCTGACACAGGGTCGCACTGTATGGGCCTTGCAGCTGGCCTGCATTCAAAGCAACCGTTGCTCGGCGAGGGCTCTTGGGGACTGGATGGTCCGGATGCTGGAATTGGGTACCGTGTGGGAGTTGAAACAAAATGCGTATTTTATGCTCTCTCGGGTGTCGTATATCAGAATCGGTGCTGTAAAGCTGGGGAAGCATCTGGTTCAACAGGATGGGATGGGGGGAATGGAAGAACTGGAGGTTTGACACAGAAGGGCCTGGGCCCTTGACCTAAACGCTATTCATCATGGCAAGAGCATTAGAGTTCACTTTACTTCCAAAAGGTCCGTCAGAGCTTTCTGCCCGTGGCGAGATAATCTCCATCTCAATCTCAATCGTAACGTAATGGCAACTATGCCATTGATTGCGATGGGAATCAGAGCTTTGTCGTTGAGTCACCACGCGCATGTGGCTCGTTGGTATGGCATCACAATCTCGATTGCCTGCGCCTCTGGCCCACCCCTTGAGGTGCAAGCTAGCTGCTGCTCTGCAGGATACAAGTTTAATGTCATCGCTGCTTGCTGCTTGCTGCGCAAGATATTATCTCATCCCGCAACCTTACTCATCCTTTGCTTATGCCCAAATCATCACCACCATAACCCAAGTGCCAGGGAAACGCAGCCGCATACAAATGCACCCTCCTGCCCTGCTCATTGGGCAATCTCGCTGCAGCAGCAGCAGCAGTCAGTCAGACAGACGCTCTCAGAGGCCCTTCGAGATTCACTCTGAGACCCAGTGCTGCTCACAAGTACTGCTCTGAGTACGGCATCGTCCTAAGTGTGAGCAGTTGGCATTGCACACAAGTGGGTGGGAGGGGTAGCCGAACCTCTCCAGCACCTCTGAGCTCCATCTTGTGGCCTGCAAGTAAAGCATTCCGAACCTTTGCAATCTTCTTCTTCTGAAGCCAGGCTCTCTTTCTGTACTCCACCCCCCAGCTCCGCCTCTCTTTGAGCTGCTAGCACTCGAGAGTACCCACCCATCCTTCGATCCACCTCGCAGAGAGCAAGAAAGGTGGAGACATTTCACTGACATTGCCGGGAAAGTGCTTGAGGGAGGAAGTCAAGTGGGGGAGAGAGTGAGTGCCCACATTGTCTCGAGGTTCTTAGTTTCCAGCCTCCCTAAAAGTCACTCCCTGCCTCCCTCCATTCCTTCCATTCCATTCTGCTTCCTAGAAACTGATTGACACATTGAATCGAAGGTTCTTCTGTCCTGGGCAAATGACGACGAGGAAATGCAGCAGGAATTTACTGCTCACTGCGTTTCTGCTGCTGACTACGTACAATGCGGAGGCTGCTCCAGACATCGGTACAGACTTCTACGTAACATGGGCAGATAGGCTCGTGGAATCACCTGATGGCGGCAAGACCATTACTCTCAGTCTTGACTACAACTCTGGTACATCCCAAACCAGCCACTGCATCACTTCACTTTCGCCCACCACACTCTCCCATTGCCATTCCAGTTGCGAGTGTTCAGATTCCATGCGTTTAATGACATTCTTAGGCTGAAGCAACTCTTGGCCCGGTTGAAGCCTGTGTGAATATATTGTCACTGTCAGTTCTCACAGTGAAGCTAATTTGCCCTCGTTGGATTCCGGTCAAGAGATTCGCTAGACATGTATGGGCTTTTGCAATCAGTAACATGGAATCTGTTGGAAGCAGTGATACGGATCATGAAGTACGTGCATGAGCCAGTGCTAGAAACTGACATCACTTCGAACCTAGTCACTTCGAATCTGTTTGTCTGTCTGTGGCATTGCATCATGTGGGCTGCGTCCTACTATATAAGTTTTACTCTTTCAATTAGATGCTCTTCAAATTAGATGCTGGCACCACGTTATGGGAAGTCCACCTCAGTCCGAGAGTTTGAAAGTCACGTCACCCTGACAGAAGCTTCCGTAGTTCATGTAGCTGCTACTCCTTGGACGAAACTTCAGCCTTCAATTCCAATTCAGGAGTGATCCGTATCTACTAGAATCTTACATGGCGTCTCCTGTACCACCGCCACCAGTCACAGGGCGCTTGAGCTCACTAATTTTGCACACGCTCCCATTCTCGAGCTCAATGACTTTGTAATGGTGTCTAGACTGACATGTAGATACCATTCTAATGTTATCGAGCTCAAATTGGGACGTACGTGCAGCAAGCAAGTATTGCATTGCTTGGCATAGTAGTCGTCATCGTCAGACTGACTCAGTTGACGGTTTTCGAAGAACTGGTTTTACAGGCATAGAACTGGTATCGCTTCACAGCAGCTCGTTTTAAGAGCTGCTGATTGGACGAATCTTGGTTCAAAGGTCGGTTGTGTGCAACATCTGTGCGTGAAATTCATCTCTTTGAATTGTAAAATTGAATTTGCAGGCTCAGCCATCGGAACGACGAACAAGTACATGTTCGGCTACTTCAGCGCGGACATCAAGCTGGTCGGTGGGAATTCAGCAGGCACGCTTGCCACTTTTTACGTGAGTTTCTCCTCCTCTCCAGAACTTGCACTCAGGCACTCACTTACTCAGACAGTGATGAATTTTCCGTCCTTTCCCAATTACATCCATTCAGTCCATGCATTCATCGTGTTTTTCTCATCCGGCTGCTGGTTCCTGATCGAGGAACGATCAGGAACCAGCAGCCGGATGAGAAAAACACGATGTGCTTCTCCTGATCGTTCCTCGATCAGGAGAAGCACCCGGAGCGTTTCGCTTTCTTCTTCTAGCTTTCAATTCAATAATGCATGAACGCATTGAAGCTCAGCTTCGAGAGAAAGTGAGTGAGTTAGTGAGTGAGTGAACCAGCAGAAGCAGACCAGCACTCCAGACCATCGGTAAAAGCTCCATGATTTATTGCCGCGGCCGAAAATCCCTCCACTTGGAAGCCACACGTACCCACAACATTTATTCCACATCTAAAGTGCCAAAATATGCCGAAAATCTGCGAATCATGCAGCCATCGATACGCAGATCGGAAAGGCAGTGAGTGAGTGAGTCGGTGAGTTAGGCAGCTGCATGAGTTAAGCCCCATGACTCACTAAGGGGACCCGTACGTCGGTCGGATCCCACGATGGCCTCGAGTCCAAGGCCGTCAGACGAGATCCATGGACATTGTTGATATTCTGACCATCCTCAATCGCTCACTCGCTCACTGGCGCATGCAATCGAAGGGAGTAGAGATCAGATCAGATCAGTCCGCCACCTTCATTTACAAGATGCGGATTTCGGATTTGGATCGGTCGGTTTGTCGATTGGTGAGTGTGTGTGGGGGCTGACGCGTAAGATGTGGGCTGTTTTGGCTTGGATTTGATCTGAGCAGCTGAAATCCATCGGCGAGTACGCCGTGCACGACGAGCTGGACTTCGAGTTCTTGGGCAACAGCAGCGGGCAGCCCTATGCTCTGCAGACGAACGTGTTCGCCAACGACCTCGGAGGACGAGAGCAGCGCATGAACCTCTGGTTCGACCCCACCGCAGGATTCCACAATTACGCCATTCTCTGGAACCGGCACATGATCATGTAAGTCCGAATCCTCAATCATCGTCCCTCGACAGCTTCATCGCTTCACCTTCTTGCACCTCGATCTCTTCTCGCAGCCATTCGTTCGATCGAGCTCGAATCACTCAATATATCAATTAATCAATCAATCAATTCTGTCGAATCGATCATTCGATCGAGCCGAGTCGGTCGATCGATCGATCGATGGAGGCGGCGGGTGCTCAGATGCTTCCATGCTCTCGATCGTCTCGACAGGTCCGGATAACGTGTGGTAGCACCCGGCAACCACCTATCGAAGACCGGTCGACCGGCAGATGTTTCAACCGCCACTTGACCGGCCTGGCCTGTCATGGGCCCGGCGACGGCAGCCCCACCCACCGGTCTCTGACATGATGGAGACCGGGACATAAGGGACCGAGAGGGATCGGATCTCCCCGGGAGCGGCAGCCCTCGGTGGGCCGGTGGGCCGGCGGTCGACGTAAGTGAATTTCGCCACGGGGACCGGGACCAGCGGCAGCATCGCCGGTTCGTCTGGATCTGGTAGCACACGCAGCCGGTCAGTGAAGGCAGGGACCGACCGCCCGCCCGACCGACGGACCGACAGACTGACTGACTGACCGCTGGAGGCGGCGTGTGCGCGAGGTCGAGGACGAGAGCGGGGACCGGCCCTTCTGTAGGCACGAGGGCGTGCGTGCCGATCTTCTGGAACGCACGCAGCCCCTCTCTGGGGCGGGAGGAATATTCGTTTCGATTCCCCTCGCAACCAGCAGCCAGAGCTCGATGCTCGATGCTCGATCAGTCAGATTCCAGCTCGGGAGAGCCAGTGATGAATTCTTCAGAGGCAAGGGCCAATTGGAAAACTCCTGATGGTCGAGAGAACTTGGAGACCGCCAAATTAATGAATGAATTCAACACTCTGTTCAGATTCCCAACACACAGAGAGAGAGAGAGAAATCGAGCTCATGCATTGAGTGTGAGCAAGTACAGTCGGTGGCTATGGTGTGTGCTGAGGAGTCAGAGTTCAATGGGTGTGGTGAGTTACAGCTTTGAAGGAGATTGGCTTTTCTAATGAGCTGTGTGTATGTGTGGTGGGAACTGGATGAGCAGATTCTACGTGGACAGCACGCCGATCCGAGTGTTCCCCAACAACAACCGACTCGGAGTGAATTACGTGCAGAGCAACCCCATGAAGCTGTACTCGACCATCTACAACGCCGACGACTGGGTGACGCAAGGCGGCAAGGTGAAGATCGACTGGAGATGGGCTCCGTTCCGCGTCACCTTCAAGAACTACAACCTGCAAGGCTGCGCGTCTCAGATGAGCGGGGCCACGCAGTGCTCCACCTCGTGGTGGGATGAGCCCCGGTACTGGAGCCTGACCACGGGACAGTACGACGGCATCAAGTACATCCAGCAGCGCTACGTGACTTACAATTACTGCACCGATCTGAGACGCAATCCCACTCCCCCTCCTGAATGCGCTAACACCTAAGAATTTTGACCCCATCTCCATCGATCCATCGATCCATCCATTCATCTATTCATCGCCTTGCAACCTTCGCTCCGCCTCGATCCGAAAGTGTTCTGCAATACATTCTTGTACTATGCTCTATTCTACTTTAGAAAGTGCTTTCCAATAAGGTCAAGAGCAACGATTCATTGATCAGCTTGCTTATAGGGGGTTATACCATAGATTCATTTATTTTTTCATATCCATTGTGAGGTGGATATTTCTCCCTTCACCAGAAAAAAGGGAAAAAAAATTAAAGAGCCTGAGATTCAGCTGTTAATTTCCTAGCTCGTGTCAAGTGGAGTACAGTAATGTCTTCTCTAATGCTCAACCTGATGTGAACTGCTTTAAGTTCCAGAGGCCTGACGTCAGGTGTTGTCGATGATTCCCAAATGTGTGTGGGGACCTTTTCCAGACTCATGGGAGAGCTGCGCAGTGCACAGGTGTGCAAACAGTGGTAAACTTCATCGCTCACTTGATTTCATTATCACTCTGCATCGTACAGCATAAGCTGCGTGAGTGATGTCATTGACTCAGATGAATGGACGGACATGGACAATAGAAGACGCCAATAATTCCGAACCGCACTCGAGAATGTCCAAATGGATTTTTAAAAGTTCACGTGGATTGATTGATTGACTGATTGTTAAAATAAATATACACTTGCCCCCTTCAAGACCTGATCGGTCACCCGTACTGGACTGCATTGAAGGGATGTACCTATTTGTACAAGTTCTGATAAATGAGACTTGTGTTCGAGTTAAGTGGGTTATGTTCAGAATGAAGCTAACGAGGCCGGAGATCCCTAATGGACTTTGGTGACTTGCATTCTCAAGTCAATTGTACACTGAGCCTCGAGGTGTGAACGAATGAATGAATGAGTAAATCACAATTAATGGGAGGGTAGAAGACGAGAGGAAGATCAACGGCTTAGGTTCTAGTGTAAAGCTCTTCGGGGTCCTCTTCCACTTCCTCCTGCCGCTGTTATGAAACTGATGAATGTGTTCACTGAATTGACTGGCATTAGTTGAAGAATCTGAAGTTGAAGAGGGCGAACAGATCCACGCATCATGAAAAATGCTCGCCTGCATGAAACTTGCTGGGAGCGTACACACCCTGTTGACAGAGAGACAGGACCACACCATTCGAATCAGACAGATCTCCCGGAGGGCACTCTTTGAGCTCAATCCCCAATGGATCAAGTAGTCTGATCAAAATGACCCGGGGAAAATACACCCTGTTGGCAGACAGACGACACAACGATCACCATTCGAATCAGACAGAAATGGAAGTGCTTCATAGATATGACAGGTGAGCAATCAATCAATCGATCAATCAATCAATCAATCAGCAGCACCCATGGACAGAGAAATCGATCGCACGTACCTGAGCGAAAACGACTGCTGTGAACAGACCGATGACGAAGAGGGTAGCCACCCAGGAAGCGAACTGCTTCAAAAACTGGGACCAGTTCACTCCATCAGAGCCTTCCAGAATACCCACACCGATGATTGCTCCGGTAATGCACTGACTCGAAGATGTCGGCAGACCGTATCTGTCAAAACAAACCACCAGATCGAAGGGTTCTCCCCAATTCAGTTTCAGAGTCTCCACTTGAGCATTAAATCTCACGTCCAAAGTACATTTCAACAGTTAGCTGTGACAGCAGCTCCTATGGCTGGCACGTCAGTTTCAGTTATCCTCTTTCATCCGAGGGCTTGCACAGTCATCCCTCAATTAGGATCTGTAGAATCTGTGTTTCTTTTGTGATCAGATCTGAGTTCAAAATCTGTGGGCCTCGTTCTTGGGAATGGGTGGAGGAGCAACTTGAGTATCATCACAAGTGGAGAAGTCATAAAGTAAGAGTGGAGAGGAGATGTGGATCACGTACTGGGATGCAATCATGATGACGAAGGCGGTGGCGAGCTCTGCTGAGAATCCTCTAGTGGGAGTGATTTTGGCGAGCTTGACACCCATAGCTCGGGTGACGTTGTATCCATAAGTGGCTAGACCGATGACGAGACCAGTTGCAGCGATCAGAATGATCCACACTTCTGCTCTCACGGTATCTTCGAGCACACCTTTCTGGTACACATCCCAAATCGCTGCCATGGGGCCTGCCATGTACCCGACCTCTCCTGCCCCATGAGCGAATATGACACAGATGGCCGAGAACACCTGCACAGGCGCCAGTGGCCATTGGTACACACGCTTGCAACTATTGCTCGATCAATCACAACTCTGGAACCGTCTCACAGAGGATTTAAGGGCGGCTTTAATTCCAGCACCACTCTTCCATGGCCAGTCCGGGCAGTCTTATGGTTGTGAGGATTTTGCCATGCACTAGTAAAGTGATTAGCAGGGAGATGTCTCGCACAGAAAAAGGATTGATTGCATCAAGTTTTTGCAGAATTTTGTAATATTTTTTGTTTTGTTTACGATTCGTACCTGCAAGTAACTGAATGCGTACTCCACCCTCGGCTCGAAGCGCTCGGCATTCTCGTGCATGGCGTCGAGTACTTCGTCTTCTTTCACGCTCTGCAAGCCAGTCAAGAGCCGCAGAGATTTAGCAGGAGCAGACCTTGAAGCGAAAAGCAGAGGAGCCTTGGTTTTATGGGGCATTGGTATTTTTCGTTGTGTCGAAATAGTCAAGCAGCTTGGAAAATTGGGTGGGGGACCATCATCTGCGGCCAGGAAGGATCATGGAGGTGACAATCGTACCTTGTGAATGTCGACATTCACGCCGTGAGTTGCTGCCTTTCTGGCCCTCTCGATCCAGGCCATGCTCACAGGCTCGATGGGTGCTCCTCTGTCGTGGACTCTCTTGTTGTCCAGCGGAATCTCCTCCAGGTCATGGTTGATTCCATTCTCGGCGTATCTCTTGGAGTTCACCGCCGACACGCTCTCGACATTTCTCTCGAACTCCGTTTCGAAGGTTTCGTTTCCTTCTGGCGTGGGGCCGATTGGCCTTCCATCACTGTCACCGACCAGTGTCGAAAAAACAGCAGTTTCAATTCCTAGTACCACTCTTCCTTTCCAGTACATCCATGTTGGAGCTAAAATTGATGCTTCTCTCTCTCTCTCCAAAACAAAACGAGTCTCAGATTCGAAACTGGCAGCTCGAAGAAGAAGCTGTGTCAGATGTGAACCAACCTGTCGAACCGGCGGCGAGCCATTTTCTTCAGAAGGGGAATGCCAACGAAGATCGAGATCAGAGTGAAGGCGACTGCTATGACCATCGAAACCCAGGCCGCTTTCCCATCACTCCAGCTGTTATCGTTGCGGAGAGCCTTCCTTGCACCCTGCAATTCCAAATTCCATCCATTCATCCACAGACTTGTGAGCCACCGACATAATAACTCATAATTTCTACATCCTGTCTTCTTCCCAGAAGCTGCTTGCGATGGTACCTCATGACCTTCAAACAGAGGTACACATTCTCACTCTTACAGTCAGCTGGAAATTACATCGCTGGTGCAAAATCCAAATAGAGAATCGATGCACGACAATCTGAAGGCAGATTCAATGTCAGCTTCTGTCGGGGATCGAGAGATCTGACCTTGGTGAGCACGAAGTAGATATTGACCCAAGTGGTGAGCAGAACGAACGGAGGTAAGGTGTAGAATGCGAGCTCGTAGGCATTTTCTCGTCTGAGGACGATGCTTCTGACAGCCCAGAAGATAAAAGCAGCCACTCCGCCGGTCAGCAGAGGGGACACGAACCAGGCCAGGATGATGGCGATGACCCCCTTGTAAGGAGGGAAGGAGTTCGGGTCCTTCTCTGCCCATTTGATGGCATCAGCTCCATCCCAAACCAGCGAGAATCCGATAATGCCTCCGACTGCACGCACGCACATTCAAACAATTCTACCCCTCAGCTCTTCAGCTCTCGACTCTGGAGCCTTCCAGATTTTCAATCTACCGACAGAGGTCTGAAAAATTCGTCTGACTGACAGGAGCTCTGGAATGTGAGGACTGGACAGAGTCCATGGCACGGGGCAGATGAAGCTCTTACTGATGGTGTGGGTGGACGAGACATTGAGGCCGTAGTAGGAGGTGACGATGAGCCATATGCTTCCCACCAGCAGCGCACACACCATTCCATAAGCGTACGCCTCAGGATGATTTTCGAAGGATTGTATGTCCGCAATCCCAGATGCCACAGTGTTTGTTGACACTCGCCCCAAGAGCATGGCTCCTGCGAACTCGAAGATTGCCGCGATCTGTCCAACGAGAGCAATTCAGACAATCCATTCATTGGTGAGGGAAGGCAATCCAGCTTGAGCTCAGTACAATGTATCATTACTCCATGGGTGCTGTTTGTTTATCGCCTGGTAGGGCCGTAGTCATCATGCTGTGAATCCGTCGCTTACAAGATCCGAGCTCTGGGTGAATTGGACATTACAGCTCAGTGAAGGGAGTAGACTCCATTCCATGTCGCTAGAAATTGAATTGGACCTGGACTCGAACCCACTGAGAATTGCAGCCGACTACGGTAGAATGGGGGCTATTTAGTCTGCTGCTTGTGTAAATTTTGGAGCTACATCATCGAATAATGTTTTTCCATAGAAGCTGGGTTGAAATTGCTACAAATGTCTGCACTTGTCTGCTTCAACTTTCTCCCAATCTAAATATCCAGAAGTCGAATTCTCCATCGATCACCTGGCTAGTCACACACACCGATTGAACTATTGCTACACTCCTTTGAGAAAAATTGATACCGTTCTTAATCGATGGTTTCGCGTAGGAGGAAACGAAATCAGAATCAAGCTACATTCAAGGAGGGATTGGAGGTCAGTTCATTGAATCCTGGGGCTGACGATCAGAATCAAGCAGTGGACAGAGAGAGCTGACAAGTCAAGAGAAGCGGGGGGTGCTGGAGAAATGCTTACAATAACGGCTTGCTTCAGTGTCAGCGTCTTACTTCCCACGGACGTCCCAAACGCATTTGCGACATCGTTGGCACCTGCAAATGCATACGGTCCCGGAGTTGTGCTTAAAAACGGGGATCCAATGCACCACCCGAAAATCACTCTGAACCTGAACCTGATTCTGATTGTTGCAATCCAAGCCTGCAATATAGCATTCTACTTGCTGCCATGAGAACTCCAAAATCTAGTTGCTGAGTCCTCGACTCACCAGTTCCCCAGCCGAATGAGAAGGCCAAGAAGGCCCCTACTACTACCAGCCACAAATATTCTTCCATCAACGGGTTCGCCATTCTTGCTCTCTGCTGACAGAATCTCTCACGTCCTTCCTTCCTTGCTTCCGATGCTCTGCTTCGAGATGTGTAATCCTTTCTGTCCGCTGCTGATCAGAGAGGGAAATTTTGAGGCTTAATGTTTCCAACCAGTTCTCTAGACGACGATTTGGACCGCGTTGAGCTCGTGGGTTTCTCCCTGCAGCTGATCATTCATTCAAACCTTGAGCTCTTCCCGTCTGAGCTCAGTGGCAACCAAGCTGCAGCTAAAAGGCCCAATGTGATCGCACCCAGTTTTTCTGGCATTCTTATAGAGAAACTCTGACTGTGCGACCTCCAAATCAGGTGCATTCACTTCGGATCGTCAGTCTTCTCCCAACATGGACAAGAGCTGCTCGAATGTTGGAAGAGTCTGAGAAGATGACTGAGAAGATGAAAGCCCATGGAAACTACGCTCGAACAGTGAGTCCAACTTGCCCGAATTTCGACATCTCTCTCTCTCAGCCGCTAAAAGCGAGCTTCAAGCTCGGGCTGAGGTTTTCGTGAAACTATTCAGTGCCAGACAATGCGGCAAAAGTGAGCCCCAGATTGAACGCGAGGGAGCGAGTGGCTCGATGTTCTTCACAGTACAATGATCGTAGCAAGGGAATGTACTTCATCCGTGCTCAATCCGGCACAGGACTCAGCATCAGCAGCAGCATCAGCAGCAGCAGCAGTGCAGTGCAGACTCCTTGGCCTGAACTCCAAAATCAGAGTATTAGACTACTTATATTCTTCTGAGCCACCGCCATAAGGTCAGAATGAATATTCAGATGCAAATTCATTTGTGAATCAAATGTGTTACCCATCCCTCTCGCCCCAGAAGAATCCAGGAAACAGAACAGCCATCACAGATTGATTGATTCTGCTAGCGCTGACTTTGAAGAAGAGACATGAGCAGTGGTGATGATTCGTTCGCGCTCGATCACAAGCACCGGCTGTTTCTTGTGGAGGAGCGAACGACAAGACTCGAGCAGACTCTGATGGCTTTCCACGATTTTTGGACGCTAGCTCGATCGTGGGGAGCACTGAGAGTTCGGGCTCCTGAATTGATGGCCGCAGCTGCAGCACTTGCAGCCGGATGACAACATTCATGTGCACAGCTTCTGCGGCTTATGCGGCCATGGTCCATTCGCTGGGCCGACTGTTTAGCAGAGACTCGGCCCCGTTTTGTCTGGCAGCTCGTGGCGGCCACCAGAAGCGCGATATTCTGTTGCAGATAACTCTCATTCGCGGCCAATCATCAAGACGAAACGTCATGTTCACGAGCTCATGATCCGAGCCTTTACGCGGCGCTTTCCCTCCAGTACAACTGTTGTTTCTGTTGTTGGGGCTGGGGCTGGAGCTGTGCTCGAGCGCCAAGCTTCATGTGTGAATCTCAGGCTCATGGATGGATGCTCTGCTTGGTGTCAGGCAGGACCCCGAGCTTGCTTGTCGAATCCATGTGCGATGATGGCCTCAGCGTCTTTCGTCCCCATCATTCAACACAGTGAATCCCTCCTTTCCAGGAATTTCAGTCACTCGATTCTTCCCACAGACTGTGTCCCTGCCATAGTGAGACAGAAGTGTGGAGTTTAGAAGCTTTAAGTGCCCATCGTTTGAACTTGCTCGTGCAGTTGGATGACAGGACAAGCTCCCTGTCACACCATGGAATATCACTCTTCTCAGTCTGGACATTTGAAAGGAATCCCTTCTTCTTCTTCTTCTTCATTATGATCTGAAGTTCTAAGATCAACTCAATAAATATAATTCAGTATCAATTCAATTCGCCATACTTGATTCGTTTTCCAGCTTCTTCCGAATCAATGCCTCAATTATTAATTAACTCGGTTCCTTCTCAGGTGAACGATCAATCGATTGATGGATGAGTGGCCATACGATGGCAATCATAATCCGAATCGATGATAGTGCATGGACTTCTGACGAATCCAAAGCATGCGGACCCCACAGTGGTCCACTTGCTGCCGGAAGCCAGTTTGAGATGCTCCCTGTTTCTGAGTAGACCCAGAGCAATCAAACTCAGATGAATAATCGGATACGGTTTGATGAGCAAAGCTTGTGACAGCTTTCTGTTTCGCGACAAGATCTACTTCTTTTCGTTCCTGCCCTCTCCGAATGTGATTCTCACTTCTGAGACCTCGTGAAGCTGCTGGACCTGAAGACCAGAGAAAGAACCTGCTACAGGAAGCACTGGAGGCTGAGAGTCACTGGAATCGATGAGGTCTATGACCGACAATCATCAGCAGGAAAACTCTCGCTGGTCCAAAGCTTCAAACACTCAAGCAGTCTGGAAAGTTACAAAAGCCTTCTCTCGAACTCCGAAGGGGTTCCAATTTCATATTCATTTCCGTGCATCAAACGGATCGACAGACAGAACCAGATCACGCTTGGAGCCATCTTCCTGTTCCAAAAGCATTCCCCATTCTCAGCCGAGCAAACCTGCAGAACGAGCGAGTCTCAAGCCCTCGCCGATGAACAGCTAGACAGACCTCCCGAAAGTATGATTTTATAATATCAATTGCTGTGAATCAACATTTAGTTCGGAAAAGTGCAGCAGAAGCTACAGACCTCCGAGCAAACTCTGCAATATGAAGTCCCAATCTTGTGCTACCGACTGCTAAGCAGGTGGGAGGCAACTCAGTCTAAAGATAGGCCGATCCCCTGGACCTCAGAGCTGACAGTAAAATCCATCGACGGAATAGAACATGAAACATCTGATAGCCCGAAGTCAGATGGAAGGGAAGGGATGGAAACCTGAAAAGAGCATGATGAAGGGATCTCGAGGCTACGCTCTATAATTGAACAGCCCCAACAATGCCACGTACGGTGGGAAGGAGCTCGCCGTGGGCAAACTTTCCATGTTCTGATGTAGTGGGGTCATGCTGAAAGCAACTCTTTGTCTGCAGCAGCAGATCGAGTCTGCTAAATTTGGTGTGAGATCGACTGCACGCCCAACTACAGGCAGGGCCCCGAGCCACGGACCCTCTCGTCTCGTCTGAAGCTCGCCGGCGGCTTTCAGAGAGCTAAGTTTGGAGCCGTCGGCGAATTTGCTGTGAAGAACGAGAGTGGACTCAGGCAGCATGGACACTCCATCATTTTGACAAGTCCTTTTGACTATGATGTCATGATTCCTCATGGTGGGACCGCAGTCGCCGATTTCCATCGTACCTGACTGATGCCGAGGCGAGGTCCCTTTCTTTCAGCAGCGAGCGATCGAGCAAGCGTGTATGAGCTTCCTCCAGCCATTGGTGCATGCACTCGTAGGAAATCGTACTTCCAATTTCGCCGTGTCGATACGGGAGCTGAGGTCTGCTCTGTTCTCCTGAGCACATTGATCGGCACGATCGATAGCGATGGGGCAGTTTGAGCTCGTGAGAATCTGTTGTACGTAGTCGATCCGGGTATATACGGAGCATATGCTTTCTCCAATTGCATGAAGAGGTCTCTGAACCTCTGGAAGAGTCGAAAGCTGGTCGCTTGGCACGACAGTGACTGGAACCAAATAGAAGACGAGTCAATTTCGCAGTACAAGGAGAGAGACAAGAGAGGGAGGAAACGGAGTCTTCTGATTGTGATTGCTTTTATCGGCGTTCGTTGATGATGCCCTGCACTATCGAGTTGCCATCCTCGAGTCTACTTTATCCGGGTTGTGAATCTAGCACAGTGCTGGCAATCTGCAATTTTGAGAAGGAGAATTACTGTACTCCACACATTCGATGGTGCAATAATATATTCGAGGTGAAAAGCTGAGCACCGGGTTTCAGCATATTATAGATATGATGACGACGCTGAGGGATGGCTCCCGGTTCTCTTGCTATGCGTTTTCTAATCATTGTGGTGGATGCTGTGGATAAGAACCAGAAAATTGAACAAGGACTGTGGATGAGCGAAGAATTAAATCAGTTGAAAGGGGAGAGCATATGCTTCATTTCCTCTTCTCTTCTTCTCTCTCTTTATTATTTCATTTTAAATTCTTCTCTGTGTTCCTGCTTTACTTTGGAAATTTGACTACCTCGTGTTCCTTCCGCGATTTACTGTTAGCTACACATGGTTTACTATACCTCAGCTGCATCTCAGTTGTTGAGACCTTGCTTGCGTATCTATGGGTATTCTTTTGCTTCTTCTTATTCATTTTTTTCTTCTTTCTTCTTTAATTTTCCTTGTATATATTTGGCCCGCGGTGATTTTTGTACTACTTCTCTTCAGTCCTTCTGCTTAGTGTCAGGAAGGTGCCTCGTAATGAGTATTGCATTTCTGCGAATTTGCTCTCGTGGTATAGGTTTCATAACATCGGCGATTTCTTGCACTCTTGACTCTTGCAGAAGTCAACGGGAGTGTAGTCTCAAATAAAAATTCAATCGCATGGGTTTATTAAGGAACAAGAACCACTGCTGCTGTAGCAGCAGCGAAAACTCCTCGTATGCATGTTCTTGCCACGAAACTTGATGAAAGCAGTGGAAGAATCTGTATGGGTACTGAACAGAAAGTGGTTTGGAATCAACAACAGTTAAAATTTAAAACCCCTCATTGGAAGGTGTGTGAATAAGAATAAGAGGCAGAGCTAAATCTGAAGGCCGTCACAATTCATCTGAGGAAGATGTGTCGACTACATATCTTCAAATATTCAGAACAGTGAAAGTATATATTACTTGGCCCCCTTTTTCTTCGAATGATCAAAAAGTACGAAATTGCATATGGCCTTCGTGCATGCCCAGAAGCAGCTGTACGTAACGACTTGTTAACCATTCGTGATGCCTGTTTCTTAACATCTATTTAGCGAGAAATCGCTTGCTCCAGTGGACCTGAACACAAAAGACGTATAGTTTCTGAACGTATTATATTTAGCATCAGTCAGTTAATATTACTTTCCTTCAGATTTGGACCTTAACAAGAATTGGGTATACAGTAGAAACTCTATAATCTTATCAAGTTGGGACCGGCCCTTTTTGATAAGTTTATAGAGTTGATAAGTTTCTAGAGTTTATTAAAATTGATTCATTTAATTTTGCTTGATTGGTCTCAGAACCATCCGGAAGGTTGCAGAAAAGTTATGGAAGGTTAGAAAGGTTGCGGCAAGGAATGCAGACCTCGAAAAGACATAGAAGTTGTTTGATACCCAGGTTCCGTGTGTATTGGCTATGATATTGTAATGGGGTGTGTAGGGCACTGTATCCTGGCGTACTGTATACAGTTGGACTATGTAGAAGAAAATTTCTCAAAATGTAAACAACTTAACCCAGGAAAATCCCTAACTCACGTCAGATACTTAAGCAGCCAACAAACAAATGTGAACAAAAGCTTAGGCAGACAACCATTACAAGTTTCTTTAGTCGATCATAGTCGTACAAATGTAGCTCGGAAAGCACATCAATCTGAATATAAGTTTATAAAAAATTCGGGGCAGCCAAAAATTGATAAGTTATAAGATTATAAATTTTTGACCTGGTCCCATGCCGGGACCGCACAATTTGATAAATTTTTGGAGGTTATAAATTTATGGAATATAAATTTATAGACTCTCTACTATATTCTGGTTTTTTAATGAACTACTCCAACCCTGGTTTCAATATAAGGGCCCCTGGTGCTCGACCAACGCGAGAGGGCCTTCCAACCAAAAAAGATGCTGAAGCAAAAACGAAACAAAAATTGATTTTAGGTCATATGTAATGGAGACTTCTTTGGTTGCCAACTTCTTTCATCCTTATTGCATGTCCTCATCGTAAAACTGATATTTGTTAGCCCGAAACCGACCCCTTCACTATAATTGACACTTTGAAAGTCTGACATATGTAGGATTGTTGTCTCCTTTCGTACTACTAGTTTATCATTCCAGATTAATATCTATGATATTCCATCGATCAGACTAGTTGCACCGAAAGTGCCATATTTCAATATTTGTTAGTCTCGTTGAGAACGTACCAATTATTAATCAGAAAACTAGAGAGCTTCCGTTTCTTCTGTCTGAAATTTACATCTACGAATGTAGGTGTAAAACTGCATTTACTTCCCACTTTGTCACAATGATGTCCCCCTTTATAATGTAAAAGGGGGAAAAGAATGTCTCAATCTCTTTCTGTGGGCAATCAATTTATTGCACATTGGACTCTTTCTTGGAGGAAGAGTCCGAAGGGTTTCCCTTCAAAGGCCACGACCACACCTGCGTGCTTGAGGTTTCAAGTAAAGAAACAAATTAAGATTTTCTAGAAAAGAAAATCTTAATCTAGCTACAACACGAATCCAGACACCATATCCTACTGAGAGCATGAGGCAGAGCGAACTAAGTTACAATCTCAGTATCCAAGAGCTGCATGACTTCAGAGATGCTACACATCTTCAGCAGCCGCCATTTATTCCTCACTGCTGATTCTCTGGAGTCCAATGTGTCGTGACGTCTGTGTGCATGTCAGGTAAGTAGTTCGAGTGAGACGTTCCTCATCCAATATCGCATATCTAGACGGGAAAGAGCAAATCAGAGTTTCCACTCTGGTTGATATGTAGATGTCTACCTGGAATAACGAGAGAAACTTATCGAGTGCAGCAAATTTCTTGGTCTCCTAAGCAAAATCTTGAATAAGAATTTCTCAACTGCAAGCAACACCTAGAAGATTTCCCTTCCCTACGCCACAATATACAAGGAATCTAAACCTGTGGAAAAGACGATACAATGCACAAAGCCGAACTATCAACATCTCTGCTAAAAGAAAAGCAGGACACGAGAAACACAAAAGCTCGCCCTGTCTGCAGTTAACTCATCCGTGGGCTTCAAAGTTAAGTTACTCACATAGGCAAATCACAATGAAAACAATGAATTGAGCAAGAATACGACAAATTTAGTTCTGAAGTATGATTGATTTAAATAGCAGATATATTCACAGGGTACTAATGACAACGTGGAAAGAGTTTCTAAAAGAAGAGCAAAGCGTCAGAAGTGCATACTTTCGAGGATACGTTTGATCTTTCGAAAGAAAGTAAGCACACCTGGTAGCAGTGTTTCACCTCTAAGTCAAGGTGGCCCACATCATATCGTTTCTTTCATGATTCTATGATCACTACATCTAATTTATCACAAGGCAAGAGCCGTTCTCATCGGCCTTGTCATGCATCACAGTTGTTCGTAAAACAGCAAGCTGGCGTGTGCACCAAAAACCTCCTGTTCATGCACTCTTTGTACGTTCGTGTCAGACACTCTAAACCAGAGAACACTGCCATCATCCCTTCTACCAGATTTTCCAATGCACCTTGTGGAGTCTTCCGATACGGCCGCTCTTTTCGGTTGTACTTGAGAATAATCAGGCGTACTGACACAATGAAGCAGATCGTCCTTGGACAGTCCACAATCATTCGAAATCTGAACGCTACTTTTAGAGGGTTCAAATCTCTTGCTCGACGTAATGTCAGGTAAAGACTCCAGTTCGATCAACTGACCATAAATTGACTGCAATCTGGCGCCCTCTGCAGCAGGCTCCTTCACAGCGAGTTGTGGTTCTGAGACAGATTTATTTCCGGATACAATGCTTTCGCGTGTATCACCTCCTCCGTCGGCTGTGGGATGTTTAAGTGACACTGATTCTTTAGTCAAGGACTTTTCTTTGGTCCCAGTCAATCTCGCCTTTCTGTATACAATATAATGTCCATTTTGAGGTCCTCCTTGGTGTACGACAACAGATACAAGCTCATAGGGCAGCTTTCTGGCATACTTGTAACCTCTAGGCGTCAGCCTGGAGGAGCCCTTAGACATGCTAGGCAAACCTGGCAACTTCTTAGAGTATGGATGAATACCCGCAGACAATTGCTGGCCTTCATATGGTATCGTAAATGACGATAGTTGCTGTAGAATAGAAGGAAGCACCCGAGGAGTATAGTGGGAGTAGACAGATTCCGCGACGTTTAGATTTAGTGTCGATAAGCTAATACCTGTATAACAGAAGACCACAAAGTCAGTGAATAATTTTGAGAGATTGGAAGTATGATCTGAACTACCAAAACGAAATAGGGAAGCTAATAATTCACCTCCGTTTGTTGTTGAAAAACGGTCAAAAGATTTGACTTCGTCTACAATCTCGCTATCATGATTTGAGACCTGCACAACAAAGTCGCAACCACCATCAGGCGTAAGATTTTCCTTTGTTAACAAGGTTTCTTTGCGAGCATTAAGAAGAACTCTGAATAGTTATAAAGGTTCATCAATTTCAAAGAAAAATCAGACTTTCCACTAGAGTTCATTACTGCATCCCTGTCCCTCTTTCTTGTTGAACTTTGAGTAAATCCTAAATAACCAGACGGTTCCGCTGTTTTCGAGTTCTTCCTTACATAAAACTTAACAAATATAAGAATCTGACAGTCAGAAGATATAAGAATTTGATAGTATAAATAACAAGGTTGGGGAAAAGTTTGACCTCCTCGTTGCGCAAAAGCAGATCGCTAGAAGAGTTTTTCTTGACGTAGATATCAGACATAGGCTGCGTGCTCGACTCCTCGTATCTAGCAGGTTGAATTTCAGTTACAAGTTCCACAGCAGGACTATATACTGGAAATACTCCTTCCTCAGGTAGTTCTTGACATGCAGGATCGATATTGACACATGGAAGATTTGATTCTTCGTCAGTCCTACTTCGAACGCCAATCACATCGACAGGTTCTGAAGCAAGCGTCCCGCTCAGTTTCTCTTCTTTTTCAGATGGATTCAGCGTATGAACACTACCCAACAACAGACCTGAAGCAGGTGAAAATTCAGTTTCAGTGTTTCCAGTACGAGCTTCTGAGACGATTCTTGTGGCACTCCTCTCCTCTCCAGCGCCTTCCTTCCCATCTGAATTCAATGTCTCGCAAGTTTCGGCCGTAGGGTGGCCCAAGTCTGCTCCTCCTTTGCAGCTTATCTCTGAATGAGGCAGAGTTTTATTCACAAAGGCGAAGTGGTTTGCGACTGATGATTGAGATGATCTTGACTGCATGGATTCCTCATGATCTCCTCTACTAAGGGGGACACTCTCTTTTGCAGCGACGGTATAAGGAAACATATCCAAAATCCTCGGAAAATTTACATGACCCTGCAAGATGAATCCGAAACCTTTCCAGTTAGCCAATTGTAGACCTCTACCCTGGTCATGTCTTCTTGACATGAGGGTCCAATCTAACTAACCGCACATCGGACCCCGAGCCTTCTTCTTAGGATTCAGCCTTCCCTAAGACAAATAATCAATGAGGAAAATACGCAACAATCATGTCAAAACCCAATAATCGTATAGATTTGGTACTATACCGTAAGCTTCTTCATAGTTCCATCGTTGCCTATTACCACGCGCTGAATCTGGAAGCAGAGAACCTGCGAACTGAAGATGCGACTTAGCAAATTTCGTGCCCAAGACTCAAATCTCTCGATCAAGCTGCTCTGTCTCACGGAAATCTTGAATAAAAGTCAATAATGTTTAAACATACCGTGTGTTATGAGAATAAACACAAGAGGTCGCACAAATGATGATACCAGGAGCCTTACCTCGGGACACCGACCAATTTTGAGTTGCTTCGAGGCATTTGTATATACATTTCTCCAAACCCCTCCTTCTTCCGCAGTAAGAAGTTCGCAATTGCAGTCTTCATCACATCCACATTCCTCGATATACGTAACCTTGCTCCTAGACACCTTGGACATAAAGTGCAACACATCATAGAACGGTCGTGGCATGCTGAGAGAAAAAAATCAGACGATTGCTCTGTGTCCTCTAGATACCTCTTCTCTAGAGACTTTCCAAGTGAAAATGTCTAAAAAATCATAGCGAGGGTTGGGAACTTGTGCGTTGACACCAATGAGTGAACACGTCATGTTTTGGAAGATACAGCTTAGGGTGATAATAAAAGGTGTCTACGTCCATCGACTGTGGCTGTGCTTTGAGCTGATGTAAATGCATCCATGTCTAATTTCATGGTTAGTAATTTACTCAGTTACTAAAAGCCTGAATTTCAGTTACCTACAGCTCTACTCTAAAATACTATCAAATGACTGGTGCAGATAGACTGCTTCGAACGATTTTCCTCGGTTGTATCTATGTACTTCAGGATTTCTCTACACTGCATCAGTCTGTTGTCCACATAAAGCACGAGATAACATTCCTCTGGATCCAACTCAGAGTCCACTCTCAGCTTGATAATGAAAGTGGACACTCCACTCTCACTATCTTTCAGGTCTACAACACCCAGTAGGTGCGTGCACACTCTACCCCTTGAATGTATTTAGATACATTTGTTAAAAAAACCTTAGAGGATTAAAAAACATAAAATATAAATTACCTGACTTCAGGAAATGCTTTCGCTAGTTCAAACAGCATGACCTTCACCAGAAGTAAAGCATTACACTGCACTTGTGCAGGGGTTCTCAAGAGAGCTCAGTGCTCTTCATTATCCCTGGTTTCTCACCTTGATGATTATTGATGATTAAAGGTTATTACCTTGCGGTTACTCGTATGGCTCGCAGCTGCTGCTGTCATCATCGGTTCTCCAGATTTCAAAAATATCGACAAAAGAGCAGATTTATGAGAGCAGTTGCTGCACTTGACACTGTCCACCCACTCTGGTCGTGTAAAGTGATCCAAGCAGCTTTCTAATGTGCAGCCTCTTGACTGCAATACGTAGAAGGCCAGTGTCACGACAAGAATATCGTAATAGCGCAAAGATTTAATGAGCAGAATGATAATGACATCATGAACATAGCTCGTTAGATGACTTTTAAAAATGGCCAGCAAATAAGGTAGGCTTTCCGGGTAAGAGAGGAGAGGTTACAAATTGAAGACATGACATGAACAGTACTAGTGCAGATAGAAGTTCACCATGTTTCCTTCTCGATCGTATGAAGGTGTAACAGTTATGTCGTTGAAAGACTGGAATTGGGTTGAAAACTGAAAGACATTGAAAGATAAATCTGTAAGTACTTTCCAATACGTCGTCAGCTCAAATTGCTCAGCCACATTAGCAGACAAACAACCCATCTTTTTGAGGTCGAAAAGATTAGACCCACTTGATATCCACATCGCTGACAAGTCAAAGAGCTGGCTATTGTTCCCTCCAAAGGCCAGGAGCGCCCTCTCCAAGAATCCAGCAGTTGATCACTTCCCTTCACGCTGTTACATTCAAGTCTACCATGTGTAGAATCGCATGCCTCGCTGAAACCAGGAGCTTTCACGAAGGATTGTAATGTGGGCCTCAACCACTTGAGATAATTTCCACGCTCTTCTTGTAGTGCCGAAGCCAAATGGATCAGTGCTTCAGCTGCATCCTGTCAATCATCATTCGAAAATATAAATTTGATTATCTCGTGAGGGCCATTGAAATTATCTGCTGAGATCTCCACTTTACACATCTGGCTCCAAAACAGTACAGTGTACCTGCTGAGACGCTAGATCGAAATGTTGCACGTATAGACTGAGTGCCCGCATAACTGGGCAAGGACTTGAAGTCCGTTGAACATTACCAAGCTGAGAAAGGTCTGCATCAAAGAATAGGAATGACATACTTTGCAATTCAATTCAAATACTGTGTAGCCTGCAAATTCAAAAAGAAATATAACTAAAACCTTCTAACGTAGTTACTACAATGTGTCTTCATAACTTTTGCTTTGAACTTTGATCATATGTGAACACCAGTAGCTGAAGTTTTCAGACCAACTGCGGTGCATTTTTAGTTTAACGGTGCGTCGAATCAGCACAAACGCAATCATCATTATCGAGATGGTCACAAGAAAGTTCAGTGATGCACGTTAAGGAGTTGCATATAAAATGCGATGATATTTCTTCAGATGTGGATCTGCATATGCGCTTAGACTCTTGCAGATAAATTCGGAAACAACTATCAGTCACATATATGTCACCTGCGATGAACACAACACATATGTTGAGGCTCTAGAGACAGTTGTTGATATCACCACTCTCTCTGTTTTCGGCCCAAAGATGGGATAAATGAGTGAGAAAAAAGATGAGAGGTGATATCAAAAACAGTCAACCAAGCTCAACAATACTGGGTGAAAAGCAACTGGTCGCGGCGTTCATGTGCTTCCTAAATTGGTGTTGGAAAGGCAGGAATAATAACGAAACCAAACTCATCATGAACATGAAAAAATACCTTTCATTAGAGAAGCTACTGCAACAGCTAACGGCATAGATACTTTATCAACGCTGCCTGTCATTTGACACTTGGTTTCTGCTTCTGTAATCAATTCAGCACATCTGTCCATAAAGTTCAATAATGCCTGTGAACTTGCCAATGCCTGCACAATTTACAGTGAAGTACAACAAATCACCAGATAAGAACAAGTAGGATTGTAGTAGTATATTTTTCATATATATATCTTAGTATACGCCAGTTGCACCAAAACCTTTCATCACTTTGTAAAATCATCACTCGTGACGCATGTTGTAAAAAGTCCATCGGACATAATCAAGGCATCTCTTGTTCAAACCCATGACTCTACTTCCTTCTATGATCCAGTTACCAACAATTGTGAACCATGCAAATCGGAAACTAACGACTGAATGAATACTATGAAAAGACAAGAGTCGTTGCAAAATCCCAGTTTTTCTTCTTTCAAAAAAGAATGAGAACTTGAACAATATTAAAAGTAACACCCGTGTGAAACTCTTCTTCGATAATCAAGCGTACTGGCATACGTTAGAAACCTTCATTGGAAGTAATAACTATGCTCCAAACTATGGGTCTGTACATAATGCAGTTGGAGCATTAAGTTCTAATCCATGCAAACAGAAAGCCAATTTGCATGTATAGAACTCAATCCTCGAAATGCACTCACTGTAAAATCACAAACCCCGCGATTGTTCAAAAGGTTGTTCATAAAATAATCCAAAGGCCGATTCATTCCAAAATTTAAGAGGGTGCGTCAAAAATTGAAGGAAGAGAAAATACCTGGAGTATAACATTCAAAAAGCAATTGTTCCCAGTGTTCTGCAGACCTGGTACGGTCCACATTTTTTCGACTGGACTCGAGCTGGTGGCTCCAATTTTTGAAACAGAATTCAAACTCCTCCCCAAAATGAGTTTTGGAGCACACTTGAATATTAATATAGCGCCTAAAGTTCCAGCTCCTATGAAGCTAATTGCCGTTCTTAATCCTGCATTTCCTTCAGGGCCCAAAACCCGCCACCGAGGAGACATCAAAATTGAAGAACCAGATACACCTCGAAGACTGACACCCCTCCTCATCGTCCCCGTATGCCTCACGACCCGCTCTGCAGCGAGAAAATTGACGGCCAGGTCCCTCAGCTCCTCAAATCAATTACGCGAATTAAAACCTCAAAGCCCTGCAGCATACCGCATTCTACAATTAAGCCTCCTCAAAAAGAGGAATTTTTGTCCGTCAGCAGAATCCTCCTGGTCGCGAATCCAGACCTTCAAATTTCACTCATGAACTCTCGTACTCATCACAGACTGAACCATCGATGCTCCAGAACTGTCCACTCGAGGCAAAACCATAAATTAGATTCGGTAGCTAGGGCGATTCCGCCTTCACGCGAGAATCATTTAATCGAGAGGAAAGCGAGAAGCCGAAACGCCAAGATGCCCATCCCTCCAGCTCCATTCTCCGATTCGCGGCTCCAAAAAAAACCTCACCATCATCCCCCGAGGACACTGGGCTGTCATCCCAATGAAACAAGAGCCCGGCCAGCTCCGGAAAACCTCGCAGCTCCGCAGCAGCTCGCGACAATCGTCATGGTCGTGTCTGCAAGATCGATCGCCGTCGTTCGTTGTAGCGCAATTGCAGCATTCCAAGAGCTGGTCCGGAGGCTTCCGCTGACGCCAGAGCTTCCGTCGCCATGTCGATCGATGCCCACGAAGCTCGACTCTACGTGTCCGCGACGCCGTGCTCTGCGCCGGCGCGGAGATTCCGTCGCGAAGAGTCGGTGGTCTATGTCGATTTCAGGCCTTTCACGAGAATCTCCACCTTGGGCGTCAGGAATCTTGGGCGAGTCGCGGCCTGCCAGGCCCGCCCGTGTCATTGAATGCTATTATGCTCGTTCGTTATGAGCTGAGGAAATTCTCGTTCCTGTTAATCTATGCAAAAGGCATTACAAGCCACCCACAAATGCAAGTCATGACCCGTATATCCTCATATGTTTTCTATCCACTTGGCCTCCTTATATTTCCATTGACATGGGCTTCTTCCTTTTGACGCGTATACTTTATTTCCTACACTCTTATCTTCGCGAGTCTAGAGGTGATTAACGTCATTGTGAGTATCATATAGATATATCCGAATAGATATAATTTGGATCATCTGACATTCTTCGTTTGTCAAAGGGTTGACATCTTGTAAGTTATTGGAATTAGTATATGTGTGAGTACTGAGTATATAATACAATAAAAAAATTCGAAAAAGTCATCAAATCTATCTATGATACTAGATGGATAGTGAAGCAATACTTGAAGAGAATAGGACATAGGAAAATCCCTCAGTATAAGAATGTCAGTTAGATTCAATACATTGTCGAAAAAGGTCGTGTCCAAGTGTAATGAGACAAATATACTTGAGTCTTATTGGTACTCCAAGCATGCATAATATATCTATCGATTTCATTTATATTTTTGAAAGATAGAGCTTAATGCTCAAGAAAATTTGTGCCTTAGACTTTTTAACATTTTTTTCTTCAGGCCTACAAATTGAAATGACTTTTCATCATCGAATATGTCCACTGTGATATGCATTTTCATTGGTGGATTTCATCTCATAAAAATAAACCACATCTTGCATAATCAAAGCAGTAAATGCAAGAGCTTTAAGATGAATCATGTCAAGTAGAAAAGTCTCATGGAACTTTTCAACAATGACCTTCAACAACGACAACAACTCAAGCAACGGTGACTATTGTATTGAAAAGTCATGCTAATAGAAAAAACACGAAGTCTCAAACTCTCTGGAGATAATGAATCTCTACAAAGATGAAGTAGACTTTCTAGCTCGTTAGAGATGTATGCATATGAAATAACCTTCAAATCTTTGTCAATGTTAACCTTAAATGATATCTTCAAATTGTATTAGTTCTTTAAGTGTAAACACTGTTTACATTGTTTGTATCTCAATGATAACCTAGGACTCTTCTTTATGTAATTTTTTTTATATATCATACTTCATTATTTGACATTTTACTTTTCTCAATCAAAAAATAAGTAATGACTTATATATTTTCTTAATTGATCCAAGTAAAGAACCATAGTAAAATTTCAATAGTTCATTAGTAGTCACAAGATGTGTTGGAGCATTCCGCCATCTGTAAACTTACATAGTGAGCTTGCATGAAGAGTGCCATAAGAGAAATAAAGAATAACGTTTTTTTTGGAAATCTTATAATAATTATATATCTTATAAGTATATAATGTTTTTAAAAAAACTAGTTAATATGACAAATACATGTGCTTGTAAGTAAAAGATTTTACAAGAAATGTATGAAAACAATTTATAATCTACATACAAAGTTGAGCTCATACCGATGGATGTGAAAGTTAAACCGAAAACCTTCTTCTTTCGTTTCGTCTTCGGCGCAGGCTTCAAAGTCGCGGTGGAATGGTAGACGACGCAGGCTGCAGCCTCTAACCTCGTGACGCCCGTTCTACGCCGTCAGTCAGTCGATCAGCTCATGAATGGGTCACGATCTAAGTGTCCGCTGCGCTCCCGTCGCTTTCTCCCTCTCTCGCGCAATCGCTTCGGACTTGGGGACCCGTCGCGCCGACTGAGATTCCAAGTCATGGCGAGTCAGATTCCGACGTGCAAGGAGGAGGTCTCAAAACCAGGATGATGCCCATAAGATGCCGATTAGATGCCGATTTATGTTTGGAGGCGTACTCAAACACGCACGTGTGTTCCGACCAATCGCAACGTCGTGCGACGATGCCCGGGACCTGGTACCCACATTTTCTGATATTCTATGGTCCTAAACCCAATCATGAGTCCCAGATTGGCTTGGAGAGGCTTCAATTCGTTCTCCTCTCATAGCTTCTCTGCTTCCCTGTAATAAAGGCATTCTGCTTGTATGATTCATTTTTGTAAAAATAGAAGGTGCCATTTTTGGATTCCATTTTCTAGCTTGGTGACCAAAATAAACACCTGCTTCCATCATTTCTTCTAAATGAATATTCCAAGATTTATGTTTCAATTTTTATTTTTATAATGAAAGAGTATGTAAACTAGGTTAAACCTCTATTTTTTATAATTTATTTTTCATAGAAATTTTATTTTATCAATTGAAAGAGTTTCTTCTGTCAATACATTCTGGATGGTCAAATATCATGGATCCCTCCGGTGATTTATAAAATATCTCGGGCCATGTTCATATTTCATACTCGAATCTTTTTAGATCAGTCGACGGTGAGCACCTGTCGGAATAACGACGAACGCTATCGGTATGTCGTCTTATAACATCCTATTGGATCAAGAGAGAATGCAACAATCCCAGGTCTAAAATGCATAAACGAATCGGAACCTCTTCCAACATTAGATGGAACCTGGGGCTGTCCGGACTCAAATAGCATCGCACTGGAGGATATATAATTTCATATTATGGTTTACATGTGGTTTCATGGGTATATGGTCATCATGCAAACATTGTAAAGTTATGTGATTACAAATGAGTGACGTGTCAAATTTGGTGTTTGTAGTTGATTATTATTTTAAATTATAATAATGTGATCTCCCTTGCTATACTTTGAGTAATGAATAAAAATTTGACTTTTATATACACAACAAGCCAGAAGAGTTTGAGTTTCATGCTCCACTCATAGCAAATTTAGAACGATGAATAATCATCAACTCCTAAAACTAACATGTAAAAGTTGCTGTATATATTTGAGTACAATGCCAAAGCTAATCTAAAAATCTTGAAGTCCTTGCGTATCTTATACTCCGATAGAGAAACAAAATTCTTAGCTTTTTGCATAAAATAATTCTAAAGAACTTGGTAGTTACTCTACTACACTTTTCTCACATCCAAAAGGATTTTTCATCTCCACGGGACGGTTTCTCATGACAAAGAGTTTCATCACAAAAATGTGCATTCATGCATTAGTTTTGACTTAACACGCAGTTAACTAAATCTAGATTCATTCAGTCAATAGTCACACAAATAATGAATGGTCATAATCATTATGAATTTTACATTACAAAAAGCCCATTTAATTTTAAAATAGATGCATTTTAAGTGAAAATTGAAAATAAAATGAATATGTAAATATTACATCAAACATAATTTTTACAGATCAAACATGTGATAGAAAAAAAGTTGCATGTTAAAATCTTACTCAGAAAATTACCATGTTGGAGAAAGTTAACAAATAAGTAAAAAAATCTTAGAATATTTCAACATTACTTTTGAAATTTAACGAGTGGTATTTGAGTTATGAGAATTATTTATTAGTTTATTATGACTTATTTAGACTTTTAACAAAACCTTCATATCTAATAAAATAAAGGCTTGAAGCTTAATTTCAATATGATAAATAATTCATCTTACAATTATTATGATTAGTGATTATTGTGATTGATGCCTGAATTTTTAAATGATAATTTTTTTATTACTTTTAATATAACTAAAAATATTTATTTACAAGAAAATCACATTTTGAACACAAAAACTATACTAAATTTTATTTTAAAATTCCTCAAAGATTCCGGAAGCTTATGAGAACCGAACCGTCATAGAATAGACAAAGTACGTTATCTTGTAACCAGATCTCTTTCCGATTACGAGATATAACCTCAGATCCATCATGTAGAGCACCACGATGCATTTAGAGCAATAAAGTACTTAGTTTACCATTTAAGATTCTATACTTTCTTACTTGAGAGCATGACATAAAATATATTGACTTTGCAACAAAATATCCCGAAAAGACTTAGAAATGTAAACATGAAATTTCTATGCAGATATTTTTAATGTAAATCACAAGTTTTATGTAGTAAACATCTTGTTCATAGCGAAGAGCAACACTGGAGTAAATAGAGCTATACTTCTTTCTTCGAAAAAGAAAAGCTAAAAAGCTTCGAGATATTTCGGGTTTTGATTGATTTAATAACATCTTTACACTTGAACCATATTCTACATTATCGTTCTCCTTTATAGTCGACACCATGAACTTGATCCACCACCTTTTCAATATGTTGCATAAAATTCTTTTTCCAAGTCCCCAGGCTTTTACTAATCCAAAAAATCTCTTTTTCTTATACGTCCCTTTTGGGATGATAGTTGTAGGAGACAATGATTGATCAGCTAAAATGGCAAAATCTTAGAAGGATATCATGTAAATTTGTTCTTGTGATAATGGAAACATTGAGTGAAAAGTACAACTTACAGTATGTCACTATTTCACACCTGTGCTCATGTCAGAAACTTTTTTGTAAGCAGAAGAGTTTCACCACAATGAAACCTTTACACGAGACGCTTTAGTGATTGGGTCCCAAGTTGTGAAGTCACTTTTCTGTAAGTCAAATTTGATTTTATCTGGTACATATACTATACACATACACAATCTATAATTATCTCAAATAATCTACTAGAGATAAAGAAACACCAACAATGAGTAGTTTTTCACCGTTGACCTCGTGGTGTTCAATGTTCTCACATCTGAAGATAGACTAGCTACCAGAGCAGCCACCCCTCCTCCTCAGCTTGTCGGTTGTGGTACTACGAAATCCCTAGTTCTACGATACTACCCGAAACAGGAATTTAGATTTCAGACATCCCCATTTTTCCAGGTTTTTAGACGAACCCTAGTGATGAAATAAAACTGAGGATGGAAAGGACTGCTCAAACCAGACGAACCGAATTTTCTTCAATAACAGTATTCGAAATGTCTCATAAACCAATGCTGAGGAACTATATGAAAGTACTGAAGCCAATTGGACTCTTGTTGATGTTGTTTTGGCAAATCTATTCTAAATGATGACTATCCAACTCTGCTAAATAAATTATCTGATCTTGGTTTTTTGAATGCAAATAGTTCTATTGATCCATGTTGGCTCAAACACCCGAATAACATGCCATTCCATCGTTTATAAGGCTAATATATGTCTTCTTGATTATTGATAGATTGAACTTAGTAAGGATTCATTGTGCATCCAACAGTGCAGCAGGAAAATAATAATAATATTCTCTCCCACGTCTTCATTTTGAATATATACAGATTTTTTTCATTTATAGAAGAAAATAAAGGCACTTGCAGAATATAAAAGATGGTAGAATAGAATATTTATTTTCCATCATACAACTCAATATTCTCTTTCACTTCAAAAAATCTAAAGAACATAGTCAATTTTTCATCAAACCAACATGTATAAGAGAAACTCAAATACTTTTGTAATTTATATGTCTCACTCATAAAGCGGTCGAGCTCACTTTGATGGACATTTGGGCACGGGCCATTTTGATTTTTCCTCGAGGTCGTGGCAAAGGAAAAGGCGTGATTCATTTCCATTATTTCCCTTGATAAATCATCACAAAGGAAAAAACCCATAAAAAAACAATATACTCGGCGATGATACTATAAAAAATTGGGAAGAATAAGCAGGCAGAGAACAACGTAAATACTCTATACAAGATATAACTTTCCAGTCACACGCGCCAATGATATCAGAAAACGTCACGACCTAAAAAAGGAAGGACCCGGTCAACGGATTGGGGTCTGCTTCTGCCTTTGCCACATCAAGTGATGCACCTCTCTCCCTCCGGTCGTCCATCCGTCCGTCCATCCATCCATCGGTAAATCCATCCCTCCATCGTGGACAATCGTCCACGAAGCAAAAACCAGCCATCCAAACCTTCGTCCACCCAAACCCCTCCAAATAAATAGACGCCTCCAGATAAATTCCATACTCCTATTTTCGTCTCACCCCCACCCCTCCCAAAGTAGATCGTGCAAGGTAACACCATACTCCAAATCACGTCACAAAGGAAGGAAGGAAGGAAGGAATAACATTTGGTGAGGGACGAGATGGCGCTTTGACCGGAGAGGATATGTTGTGTCTGGTTCTTAGAGTAGCCCCAAAGGAAGGAAGGAAGGAAGGAATAAGTGAAAAGTGTGGATCGAGAAAAGGCGTGGGTTCGTGATCGTCTGCCAAAAGGGGGAGTGAGTGAGTGAGTGAGTGAGTGAGTGAGAGCAGAGCGTGCGGATGCAAATGGTGAGCCCATCCACAGTCATCAACACGGTGACCCAAAAGGGCCCCTTCCCGTTCGTGCCTTGAGGGGCTCTGGAGCATTAATATAAATGGTCAAATTTACAAATTTACAAATGTCCTTGAGAACACCATTTTTGGCGCACTTGAATGTCTGCCGTGCCTGCCTGGACTTGCCACATGCCAATCATGGTCCCAGATGCCACGAGCTGTCATCATAACCATCTTCCCTCCCTCATCGAGGTCCGGTCTCAGTGACCCGATATGATATACCGAATTTTTGAAATCTGGATTCTTCGTTGGATTAGGTTTGTGGGAGTGAGGAGACGAGTCAGTAGGTAAACGAATACGTGCTGAATTCACCTACGCCTCCCACGACTTTTGCAGACATTTGGTAAATCTACTACCAATGTTGACTGAGAAAACATTGTTCTTCTTGTTTTTTAAAATCGATATCATGATCTTAAATATGAAAATGGATTTTTCAATCATTTTTTATTACAATTTTTATTTTAAGGGATTGAATGATATTTTAAAATTTTTTCTTATGGATATGTATGTTTATTGGTTCAAAAATTTGGATCGAAGAATATTTAGCAGGTTTTTTGAGTTTTGTAAAATAGTAGATATAATTGAAGATTTTAATGATTTTGTTGGGAAGTCCATTAATTTTTTTAAGTGTTGCTAAAATGAAATATCTTGAGAAATTCAAAGACGTAAAAATCAAGACAGAAAAATATCAGAACTCATCAAATTTACAAATAATATTATTGAAAAAAATAATTTTTTAGTGAAAATGTCAAAGAATGAAACTTTTATAAGTCTTAATTTATTAAAAATAAATAAATAGAAACAAAATTGGAAAAGATATAACGAATGGCGAAAGAAGTCATGAGGTGAAAATTATGAGAGATATTGAGAAACCTCTATGAGTTGGAGGAAAAATTCTGTAGGAAATTTCGACACAGATAACAGACCAATAATGTGATGTCATGAGCTTACTATTTCTATGATGAGTACCAATCAACTTCCAACACTACATTCAAACTTTTGGGAAATGAAAAAGATGAAGAAAATTCACTATAAGATCCAAAGAATGTATTCTCAAATCTTCAAGTCCATGTATCTAAACCGCATGACTTGGACCGTAGATGTATGTTACCTGCAATGTATTTCCCACTGGGATCCTATTGTGGACTATTGAACTTGTTGCCCTTCTCTAAAATGATCGAAAATAGCACTATCCTCTACTCAGCTCATCGCATGAGCTCTAAGGGGAAACTAATTTTGAAATGGAATTTCGGGAGCATTCGTAATAAATCCATCACAATTACGAACTACCACATGGCTTTGAATAAGGGCAGTTTGGGCATACGCCATAAAAAATCTTGCGTAATCCGAGACTGACCGACAGAACCCGACTGTCTTTGTCGGAGAACCGGCAACTGGGACGGTTGCCGGTGGGAACGCAATAAAGAACTCTAGGGACCGCGACAGAGCTCTAACGTGTGTAGGCGGAGGAGGGGGTAGGACGGGACGCGCGAACCACGTCTCCACCGTATCTCGGATTGTGTGATGTACGGGTACGATGATTGAATCCCAGCGCGACACCTGTTGCAGCCTCACTCGTCCAAGCGAAAAGTGATCGTTGTCTTTTCGGGCCGCTAAGGTCGTTAAGAGTTGAGAGGCAGTGACTGTATGAAGGTGAGGAATATTTACGACCTGCCTTTTTGGGGTTCCGGATAAAGCCCTTCATGATAATCTATCAAACTCTGTGGATGATTTCATTTTTGGAGCCCCGCAGTAACTCTTCGATGTGCTTTCGTATGCCCAAAGAATATATGGCTTCAAGCCATCCGATGCTGCATTTATTTGTTTGACTTGAACTCTTTAGGAGCTGGAATGTTTAACCCATGTCAGTGCAACCACGAGTTATTCAGGGCACCTCTTCTGATTAGAATGCGAATGATTATCACTGTGCTTAGTGTGATTAATATATCTCCTACAATTTAATTTATTACCCTGTTCTGCGTGACTCCGACGTTGCCGGGCTCTCTCTGTGCATTAAAATGTCTCATAGTGTGTCCTCGATGTTCACAAGCTTGAAGGTGTGATACACCTTCATAAATTCGTTCAATCATGGATATTGGATTGCATACCCATCCGAGGAATAAATGAGCCACGATATGAATGATTAGGAAGTGTTTAGCATGGAATTAACATGCGATGATATAAGTGAACTATTTAGCTGAATTAAATGCTGTTGACTGGTAGTGTAATTATCTTTATTGAAAGACAAGACACAAAGAGAAGTAATGGCTGTATATTTCTGACCCTGAACATATAAAGGCAGGAGAGGAATAGACTGCGATCCAATACCAAAGCGAAAGAAATTAGTTCGCTGGGCATCATTTCGACCATGTGGATGAGTATCATAACCATCTAAACCGTCAGTGTACGAAACTGTCTTGTGTAGGTAGAAGTATAGTAAAAGCATACGACCAAAGTTAAACAACGAGAATAAGATTGTTAAATGACGTGGAGTTAAGACATAAGGCTGCGTAAAGCTGCTCGGATTCACGCTCGGCTTCACTTCAATACGAGTACATGGTCTCTGAGAAAAGCAGTACAGTACATCCAGAAGGGAATCATCATAACCGAACAATGAACCTCCTGGCAAAGTCCAAAATACAAATATAATATAATATTTTCGAAGCCGAAGTGTCACCCATTTCTTTCTATAAGTTACTGGGCTTGGTGCTTTTGTTACTCAGAGAGGAAGATTCATCTTGTAACAGCTCAGCTTGGAAAAGGATGCTTTGAAATAAAAAGAAAGTGAGATTCATGGAATAAAAGGCTCGATGCAACCGACTCGACTGAGGGCTATGGCTTTTGCCATAGCTGGCAAGAAGTATCAACCCAAAGGCCAGAGGAAAATGAGCAAGGTCATATCCCTCGAGCTTCGAAATTGAACAGACCTCGTAAAAAACCTTATTTAGATTCGACAGAGTCTATTTAGAGTAATCAACCAAACCAGGCTCAAGACTACAAATGTAAAATTACTCGAGAAACATTACTCCCGCTACATATATACTGACCCAAGATAAGAAAATAAAACTGAAATTGAACAGCAAGGAAAACTTATTAGACCACGCGCAAAATAACGCATTTTCATAATTCAAGGCACTACGAAAGTACGCTGACTTAGAGTGTTAACTCCTGACAGTAAGCGAGACCCCAAAGGCAATTAACAGGTCAAATATCTCAAACCAACTAGTACACTGTCGTCTTGCACATCGCTCTGACTGCCGAAAATTAACTCCAATCGAAGGTCAAGTAAAAATGTGAAGGCAAGCTTGAGGGAGGAGGTCGTTATCTGATCCAGGCCCGACGACGACGGCGACGTGGGGAGAGGAAAGCCCCCGAAGAAATGGAAAGTGCGGGCGAAACGAGGGGGAAATCCAGGCCCCGAAGAGCGCAGTAAATGCAGCATGGAAAGGCTATGAGTGCGAGGGACCAGCGGTTGCTCACGTGTTTGCTTCCCTTCTTCTGCTGCTGCTGCTGCTGCTGTCGGAAGCTCGTTCGAGTTCGCGGGACAGGGAATGCAAAGAAAGCAAAGCTGAGCTGAGCAGAGCAGAGGACAGCATAATTTCGGTGCGCCCGATGCCTCCAACGGAGCAGCAGCTCGGCTCAGCCCAAGGTCTCGGAAGGTGTACCGAACTCGACAGGAGGGAGGGAGGGAGGGGGAGGCACGAGATTCAACAGATGGCACCTTCGGCTCCTTGTCGCGCCGCGCTCTTGGCGGATTGATTGGGCCTCCGAGAGCTGCGGGGCCGGAGGAATGGCCTCCTGCTGCTGAGAATCAGCTGCTGCTGCGCCAGCTTCCTCCCCGACTCCGACTTTCACTCCCACTTGTGCTGCTGGACGTAGACGAGAAGGCGACACGACGAGGAAAAGGAGGAGGAGGAGGAGGAGGAGCAGCAGCAGGAAAGGGAGAAATTTGGACAGAAGAGTCGTCTCCTTCTGGACCGGGTCCGGAAGCGTGGACGCGACTCGTTTGGTCGGATTGGTTGGCGTGAGGTGAGGTGAGTCGAGTCGAGGTGAGGTTGGGGAGGCATCACTGTGTGCAAGATTGTGCCTCGAAAAGCCGGGCGTGAGTGAAATCACGCGGTCGTTGCGTAATCACGAGGATTGCGCCGTTCTTCTCTTCTTTCGAGCAAGATCGTGCCTCAGACGTGCAGCTCTGCTTCGAAGCCTCCATCTCCATCTCTCTCTTTCTCTTTCTCTCTCTCCTTCTCGTTCTCTGGGAGCCTGTGGATTTGAATCTGTGCACCGCTCGTGCGCGCAGCGGAGCCGAGCTCTGGAAATGTAGGTTGCAGTTTCGGCGCGAGAGTGACAGAAGGACGAGATTTGGTGGGGGATGATCTGATTTCGAGACCATGAAGGAGCGGAATGGAAGCGCCGGGGAAGCAGGAGTGAGAGGATTTGCGGCCGAGGGCGACGAAATTGATATTGGAATTGGGAGTGGGATTGAGGATGGGGAGGAGGAGGAAGAGCGAGTGGCTGCGGGAGGGGTATGGTGCGGGCGGGAGAGGCAGAAGATTGATTTCGTTGAGGACAAGATGATGCTGCTGGGAGGAGGAAGAGGAGCAGGAGGAGGAGCAGCAGCAGCAGCAGCGGAAGGGATGGACGCGGCGGCGCTGGAGAAGCTGAAGCGCGAGGTGTCGGAGTACACGTCCATGCTTCTGTCGCGGCCGAGATTGCCATATCCTCCGCCTCTGTGCTCCATCTGCCAGCACGGGGCTCCGCTGGTGGGCAGACCTCCGAGGAAGTACTCCTACAAGGAGCTGAATCGCGCCACGGGCAATTTCTCGGCTGCGAATTTTCTCGGAGAGGGAGGATTCGGGGCCGTCCATCGAGGAGTGCTCCCCGATGGCCAATCCATCGCCGTCAAGCAGTACAAGCTGGCCAGCACGCAGGGCGACATGGAATTTTGCGCCGAGGTGGAGGTGCTGAACTGCGCTCAGCACCGGAACGTGGTCGCCTTGATCGGCTTTTGCATGGAGGAGAACAGGCGATTGCTGGTGTACGAGTTCGTGTGCAATGGGTCGCTCAATTCACATCTCCGGGGCCAAGATCGGGCACCGCTCGAGTGGCAATCGAGGCATAAAATTGCCGTCGGTGCCGCCCGAGGCTTGAGGTACTTGCACGAGGAGTGCCGCGTGGGGTGCATAGTGCATCGAGACATGAGGCCGCACAACATCCTTCTGACGCACGATTTCGAACCCATGGTGGGGGATTTCGGGCTGGCGAGATCGCATCTCACGGGGGATTTCGGGATTGAGAAGCACGTCCATGGATCCTTCGGGTACCTGGCCCCAGAGTACGCACGAATCGGGCAGATCACCGAGAAGGCAGACATCTACTCGTTCGGCGTGGTTCTGCTGGAGCTCGTCACGGGGCGCAAGGCCGTGGACATATCGAGGCTCAAGGGCCAGCAGTGCCTGACGGAGTGGGCTCGCCCTCTGCTCGAGCAACCCAGCAGCTACAAGCTGCTCGATCCCTGCCTGAAGAATCGAGTGGCTGATCACGAGGTGTACAGCATGATGCACGCAGCTTCGCTCTGCATACGCAGAGATCCGCAAGCGAGGCCCAAAATCTCGCAGGTGCTGAGAATTCTCGAGGGCGACAACAGCCGCATGCAGATGGTGGGCCTGCCATTCCAGTTCTGCAGCATCGCCTACTCGCATATCCCCTTCGGGGGCGGCGGGGTCTTCCATCCTGACGAGCGTCCAGATTTCTCCACCTTCCAGCGAACCCAGCAGCGCTCCAAGTACGAATCCGACAGCCTCGATTCGAATTACGAGATTCCTCGATAGAATTGGCATGAGGCGGCGGCCAGCAGTGCACCGCAGGAGAACGAGTCGAGTCGAGGTTGCGAGGCCTCGTTGACTCCCTGCCGCGAGCGCAGCATGTACATTTTCTAGGTAGGCCACACTTGTCCTCACACATGTCGTCCTGAGAGTACCACGTCGAGGAGGAGAAGCTCTCAGGATCCGGATGGCCCTTGCAGGGGTGCATCACGTTTACCGAGAACACCACATACTGGATTTTGATTTTACCTCCGGGTCAGGGTCCAGTATGAAATGTTCTCGCTCGAATCGTACCGCAGGCACCCACAAATTCTGACTGAGCTTGTCCGGATTTCGGAGCGCGTGTCTGGCTATGAAGAGTGTTCTGGGATCTGATTGAGTCTCGTGGTTCGAGGGGTGTTAGTACACATAGGTTTGGAATCGTCAGATTTTTGTTTTGATGGGTAGCCCTCTTCCAATAGACATCTGCAGCAGATGCTTAAAGGTTGTGGATAGTTCGGTCAGCTACCCACTAGATGTACACAAACATTTACAGGAGTCTTTAATTTCCCTGTGATCAAGGGGAAGAGATTGTGCACTACAGACTTTTCAGTTTATACCAATTCAACCGATTTCCGTTCCGCCTCCGAGTTAGCCGAGTGCCGGAATAGGGGAGTTATGACAAAACGTTTGTCATCGTTTTCCATCTGTGCTGTATTATCGTTGAGTGTAAAGGCGAGAGCCGATTTCTCTTCAACTCAGCCTGACAAAAGTACAATCCACTTTCGGGAAGTTTTCTGATCATTTTGCGTGTTTCATGGTATGGAATCTGCCTTACATGTCCGACGTTCAGCGGTTTGCGTTCTCGCCAACCTTCTTCGTGTACATTGTTGCTTGCAATTCACACCACTACGCTGTCATTATCACTTCCTCACAATCGTTTATTATAATCGTGCATGAGCTTCAACAAACCGACCTTCTCAATGATAAATTTATGTACTTGGTATGTATGTCGAAGCTAATTCAGTTTTGCGTATGAATCTCCCATATCTGTACATATTTCACAAGTTGCGATCACCAGGTTCTCTGAGGTCTGACCTACGACTACATGGTACCCACACCTTTACTTAGCTCCTTTGTTCCGTATAGCCTGCTCCTAGTAACTGACCGAAGTCTTGATTGCATCGAGGATCTGCACATGACAAAATATTAGTGTTTGGATGTAAACCTTCAAAGGGGTTTCTGTTAGAGGACAAGTTTCAGCTACTCCATTAATTTATTTTAGAACATATGTTGATTTGGATACAATTTTATCTTATAGTTTCAATTTTGAATCTGTGCTCAATGGTATCTGCTTCGAAAAGCTTGAACATTATAGTAGTGCTGGAAAGTAGAACATGGGATCTTGGTTGCCAACCATGACTGAGACAAACATTCAAGCACACCAGTTGCAAATTGATGGAGTCTGCCGTACCTTATTCTTTGTTGGCATGTAAAAGGGTTCAAAAACTAGAGGAAAAGGGGTGTCGTATCCACAGACTCTTGCTACTGGAGCCTCCAGCTGGACATGGCAGCGCGGAGATGACACTTGTTAGTGACGTTAATGGCAGTGGGTTCTAATGAAACCACAGGAGTATCGAGGTGTACTAAACTTCTCATAAGCAGAAATGACAAACAAGTACTTTCAAAGCGGAAAGACTGTATTCTTGAAACTCACCCGCAGAAAACAACGCTCGACAATGGATGCTGAAATCTCTGCTCCAAATCCTCCAGTAACTGGGGCCTCATGACTTACCTGTATTCAATTTATTAAAACTAGATCAAACTTCTATGACAAGCGTGCTCGTGGTGGGTATCTAAGACCTGAACTACAAAAAGTTTTGCCAATGCTGCAAGGACCTCGTGTCTAATCGAATTGATTTAAGGACAGCTGGAAGATAAAGTGGAGGAGTACTAACCAACAATCGACCTGTTTTGTTGACAGATGCTTCCACGGTCTCTCTATCCCACGGAATCAAAGTCCTCAAATCTATGAGCTCACACGAAATACCTTCCTGCAAGGTTTGAAATAGAACACTTCATCCCTATTCACACTTCAAGTTACACCAAGCATCGGAGAACTGTTTCAATGTACACATGACAACTGCAAATCTAGGACAAGATAGAGCCTTCTTATGGAGAAAAACTTTCATCAATTTGTGAACCACGATTTAGGCTACGTTAGCTCCCACTGACATCTAAAGACATTTTCTCTTCTTCGAAATCTCCTCAACCTATGGCTTGATAAAACACTAATTTGGACCTCCAATTAAGCTTCTGAACAAGCATAAAAAATCACCTTGCTAGCATCAATGCACGCTTGCTCCATAACAGAGAGTTGAGCTCCCCATCCGACCAATGTTATGTCCGTCCCCTCCCGCATCACCTGCCAAGGATAATACGCAAAACATCGATCATGTGCTCACAACTGAGACCCAACGGCTAGGTAAAGCACAATGCTCTGCATAGCTTTCATCCTGCTCTCAATTTATCTTTTCGGCACACAAATTGCTATTCAGTCTCAACCCAAGGACACCAGGTTGGAAATGGAGAAAACCGCCACAATCCTGTGAGCCTGGTACACCCACCTCAGCTTTTGAAAGAGGCAACATGTAGTCACCCTCTGGCACATCTTCAACCGATTGACGATACAACCACTGCAAAAAGCACAACGACAGCAACAAGATTATCGCCCATACTGTAAACCACACTTTACTTGAGACCAACGATGGAACCTCAGGTACTTTCAAGTAAGCGCAAATGCAAATTTGTGAGACCCGGGTCCACTCATTATCTTTTGTCGAACCAAAAAATCCGTTGGGCCATTTAAGCTGACAGCTAGCTAATTCGCCATCAAAGATATAAACCTTGCCTTAGGTTCAAAGAATACGACAGGGTTTGGATCGCGAATCGATGAAAGAAGAAGGCCCTTTGCTTGAGCAGGGCTCCTAGGAATTACGACCTGCAAAAAATATGCAGGAACAGTGAGAAACAATACATGTAAATTCTTCAAATTCGAATCATCTAACGGCACTTCTAACCTTAATGTTCAAATCTGATCGACGTAAACTTGTCTTTCATCATGTTGTCACTTTTAGCATGTTGAGTTCCTAGTGAAACAGACCATGACTGCTCTCTACTTCGCACTACACCTGATTTCGGTGAATGGGGTAGTATAGATGTACACATTCGCCTTCTAAAAATATAGTACCTTGATACCGGGAACATGACAAAAGAATGACTCTGGTGACTGAGAGTGATAGTGACCCCCATGACCTACTGCCCCATAAGGTGCCCGTATCGTAAGTCCTGCAAGTTCGAAAATACAGGTGTTACAACACAATCTCTTAAACAGCCACAAGAAACTACCAACAATGTTTGAAGGAGCTGGTGCAACGCCTCAGGTACCTTGATAGTCGAAATGATTCCTGTAAAATGCTAGCTAATCTTGATGCATTAAATTTATGAGTCGACACATGTACTCATGGTTCATTTTCCAAAGTAAGCCTGAGGCTATTGTTGTAGGTGTTTGTGCTTTGTTGCAGATTTGTCTATAATCTGGGTATACTTGCTACGCTAAGTCAGCTTTTGCAGCAGGTAAGGACTTGATCCAAATACACATGCAGTACCTCCACAGTTGAATTGGTTGCCACTCCTGTAACGAAACTTTGCAGCTTCGTTCACAATCTGCACAAAAGCAACGTTAACTTCAGTGAGAAACGTATTGCAGACTTCGCGTGACGGTACATATGTCAAATGGCACTTCGAGGGATCTAAACCGATGGACAACGAGCTGGCCTGATGCTTGCTTCACAATAGTGCACTTGTCGCTCACTTACCTGGTCAAATGCTGGATAAATGTAGTCGGCAAATTGAATTTCAGCTATTGCTCGGTTGTCCTGGAACAACAATGCTTTATCAGATCCTCGCTACTCCATACATGGACTCTTCTCATCTTTATAAATTTTAGATAAAAGGATATCAACCGTCTGAGTTTAGCACCTGGGTGGTGGCGCAGAGCCCAAAGATCAGAGCCTTGCCCGGTCACCTGCATTCAGCAGGTGACCAGGCAAGACAAGCAAATGCAAAGAAGAACCAAACCGATAAAGACGAAAATCATGTCAAAATCATGTCAAAATCATGGGGAGTGCGGTGTGGGTCGGCACGCCAGATTTAATTGGGCCCAGTGACCATCCCCACGATCTGATTGGCAAGCATCACCTTGCCGTCACCCGATGCGGCAGTGTCATCAGAGTATACGCATAGGTTTGTGCCCAGAATCGCGTGAGATGGTAATACAGTTTGCAACACACGAATGCAACTGTATACTAGCTGGCAGAACCCAACGAATGACATAAGGTAGACAAGCCTGGGCTGCCTGCACAGACCTATGTAAGATGTTGGTTAGCACAAGGAGAATATAATCTAATAAGAAACTGGAGTTTCTTATATCAGAGAGCAAAGTACTCAACCTGCACATGTGTATACAACTCTCGCAACACATGTGCAAGTACGGAATTGACAAGTAGTAAGGCACGAGCAAAGAAGTAACAATGGGGAATCCTCTATCAAATGACATGTATCCCTACATTAAGATTTAGGGGAATCTATCCGAAGGTTGATCTATGTAACAACTGATTGTTGGGAAAAATCTATCCAAAGGTTGAAGAAAAATTGGTGGTAAACTTTGCCAAAGATGGTCGCGACAGTCCTTATTCGGAATTTATATGAAGGAGAAAGAGATTACCATTGCTGCGAGACCAATTGCGAAACCAACGATACCCTGCACAGCAGAGATATTCATGGTTCAATCACAAGAGGAAAATGTAACAACTTGCTAGAACAGAGCCCCTTTAGATTCACCGTCCAATCCATTATTACGGTCGTTTTGCGAATTCAAATCATGAGTCTGTGTGCTTTGACACCGGTTCGACAATTCTACATGCCATAGATCTCTCCAGTAGCTTGAGCTCAATACCGAGAAACAGAAAAATATAAACTACATTACAGCAGGGTAACACATACCTGTTCACACAAAGGCGTGTTGAAGACGCGGTGCTTGCCAAAAGTATCAGCCAAGTTCGTTGTGCATCGAAAAACTCCTCCAAAGTTGACATCCTCTCCAAATATGTACGATCTGCAGGATTACGAACTCTCAGATCTCGGTTGTCAAAACTACCTTGCTATTAAGAAAATTTCAGTTATGACAGCTTAGCTTAGTCAATCTAATTGGTGCTGAGCAGAATCGTGAAAGACCTAAGTCGAATGAGAACCTCGACCATGAATATTAACGAAGTCCAAAATCTATCTCACTCTAACCTTGTGATCATGTCATGGCTAGATTAGTACAGGAATTGTTGTTAGAAATACTTTGCGAGTTCAGAGTAAATCATTATTTGACACATGTATCTGCAGAAACAGAAACTGTTGAAGTCTTTTCAGGTGCATATCTGCTATTTTCACACTTCAGTGATCAAACTAAGTTGTTTGAAACTGTTGCAGAGTCGTTAATATACCAACAAAGAGTTAGGTCATCTTGCAGTTACTTTTCCTGGGTATGGAGATGTGTATTCTAGTCTTTATAGTCCATGACATTACCTGGGAACAGAAGTTTTATTTTGCTTACTTTGAATTAATACTAAAAGCCAGGTCTTTGGATACGACACAATAAAAAGCTCTATCAAGCGAGTTTATCCACGGTTTACTTGGGAATAGTCTTGGTGCACGTTTTATAAATTCCATCTGGTTACGCATGTGAATTTAATTTGTGTGTATGTGTGTGTCTTTTTTCTGTCCTTATTCCTGAGCAGATCAACTTGGTACCATCCGGATGGTGTTAATTCTTAGCGTAGAGATGGTTCTGTGCGATTCGGCCTCATATTTGTTACAAGTGCTCTCTATATGGGCATACAAGGTCATCGATCTGTTTGACCGTATACTCCTCCGCACGTCATTTGTCATCCGTTTTACTAAAGACATCGTGCTAGTGTCAAACTTCGCATTCTCTCCGACGTTACAGACTCATGTAATACTTTCCAACATAATTGACACCGGCAGTTTCATCAACTTGATCCTGCTCCTAGACGACATTGCTTTCAAGAAATTGTAAACTACAAAAGGATGCAAGAGAACAGTGGGCAAGTAGGGGACGGCCGGACGTGAATTCTACTGGGACAAATAGCAACAATCTGAAACTTTGCTATGAAAAGAAGATGAACAAGAGTAAGATGAACAACCAAATGAAAGGAGTTGTCTACCTTGGGTCAGTTTCAAGAGCAATATGCAAAGCCTGGTTGATGGCAGAAAAGAGATTCAGACTCTTTTTTGGGACATTGCCTGCTTCAGGTTCTTTGGAAGTTGCAAGAGCTTGAGAAGACAGTAGCCGAACTGCACCAGATAATGTTGAATTGCCAACAGACGGAGAAGAATGCTGCTGCTGTGGGCAATCTCGCGCACACCGCTGGAGGATTGACAAGGCTCTGGTTATAGAGATCCTCATGTCTTCACTTCTTGTCTACTACGCTCTTCCGTGAACTCAGGTCGAGTCCTCGGCCCTCAGCCAGATAGTTACAGCAACAGCAACGTCCCCTTGCAGAAGAATTTAGGCACTCGTGCGATTTCTCCTCCTGAACAGATGTTCAGGAAGCAAACGTCAAGTCGGCGAAAGTATCAAATTTAGCATCACAAAGCTCAAAGTGTCTCCCTCCGATCCAATTCAGATGTGCGACATTCCAGGTACTCAACAACGGCTGAACAAGACACCAATATCTGCTGTTCTCGTGGAAGCTAAAACTTTCCGTGACTGTCTTCAACGCAGAAATTTTAATACTCGGCTAGACTTGGACAAGTGCCAAGTATAAACTCCGATCAAATTCTCCATCACCCGGTTGGCCAAAATCTAGGTAGCTACAGTTTCAAAACAGTGCACTTGTCACTAGTCGACACGCTGACCTGTGAACATTATCAAGTTCAGTTGAAGGACCTCAACCCCACCCAAATCTCAAAAGCTGCGAATTCGCGAGATCGAATTTGAAGTCCTACAGGATTTTCGACACAGTGCTGAACACAGGGCGAACCAAAAATCTACACCGGGACATGAATAGCCGGAATTTCGGACTTTATTTTGCAGCAGTCCGAAATAAAGCAAGCAAAAGTACGAACACACGCGCACAGACAGAGCTCACGATAGAAATCGAAAAGTAAATTGGAGAGTAAGAAATCGAAGTCCGAAGGATCAATTCTCAAAAAAATTCAGGATCATCGACAGGAAAAGATCGAGAGACGCAGCAATCCCGGCCGGAGGCACTGACCGTCTAGCTTCCAATTCCGCCTTGCATGGCTCGACGCTGAGCCGGAAGGAGCGATCGCGGTGGAATGGAGGGAGCCCGAAAACGAGGTGGAATGAAGGGAGCTCGAAATCTCGGCCGAACGAAGCTCTCGAGGCGAAGTGAGCGGACGGTGCAATCGGAGCAATGAGGACGGGACCATGCGGCGAGCGAGAGGCAGTCGCGAGGGACGATGACGAGGATGACGTTGGTGCTCGAAGAAGGGCCTGGAGCGCCATCATCATTATCGCGAGCGCGGCTCATGCTGTAACGCTTTGTTCGTGTCGTGTCGGGATTCTTTCCCAGGCCCCGCTGACATGGCGCCGAGGCGGCTGGTGGTCCACCTCCATCCGGCCACGTCATGCCATGTGAAGTCTGAGCAGGCACCGCAGCCAACTCGGACTGGGCTACCCGCGCCCATGTTCCGTCTCATGCTCTCCTCGCCGTGAGCCGGGCTTTCTCCTCTTTGGGAGGGTCTTCTATTTATTTCTTTCTTTATGCTCTTTGCGCTTGGGGCAATGATGCAGTTAGTGAGGTGAAACCGAGACGCGTCAATTGCTGGTTGAAACCTATTTCCAAACTATTTCTCTCCTTTCACTTTAGAGTTCTGTGCGACTTAGTTTCCGTCTTGTAGTTATTTTTAGGCTGCATCTCTCTTCTAGATTTTATCAGTATAATATCCAAGGGCAGATTCACCTGAAATGAGAAAGAGAGTCCGATACTTGATGCGACTAGAAAAAAATACAATTCTGATACTCCCACGACGGGTAAGTTTAACAATCCCCTTCATATATATATATATATATATACATGGACTCCAGACCTTCCCGTCTTCTTGAGTTTGAACATGCTAATAATTTCGTGTGACGATGTTCCGAAATTTTTCCATGTTTCCACGTGGCAATGTGCTATGCGCCACGCAAAATGCAGCTGGAAAATCTACTCGACTAATTTTTGCAATTGAACTTTGAGAAATATTTTCTTTTTGAAAGAGGTGACAGAAAGGGCTAGAGGGCATGAGGTTGCACAAGATAGCTATCGTGTGCTAAAAAATATTGGGCTCAAAATAGTAGATGCAGGAGGTAGCATCCCTACAGACGGCAAGAGCTAGAGAGAATATCTGATATCTGAAGAGGGACTAGGCTATAGCACCCAATCAATCTCCTCTCCTGGATGGGCTTATGTACATTTTCACAATTATAATTCTGATCAGTTTCTTTTATGTCCGATTTTTTATTTTTTTTTCTATTTTTATTAGATTCCCATAATATTCTGTAAATGAATATCCTTTTTTCGTTCTCCTTTTTTCTCACATATATCTAAAAAAGAAAAAGAAAAAGGTATGTTTTGAGTACTGAAATAGAACTACGTGAAAGGGTCAACTTCAGAAGTTTAGACCTATCGTAAGCGCATAGCTCCGTTGATGACACACAGACAGTTCTCAAAAGTGTGTATATTTGTATTATGATGAATAAAACATCTCATTGTGCAAAACCTTTTTAGAAATTTTGATGATACTTATGTGAAAGCATAATTTTTCATTTGCACTTAGTCGATAGATGCAGTTAATGATGATTGTTTCTATCATACATTATACTTTCTTACATGATTTACATCCAACACAAGTATGGCTGTAAATATATCTAATTTTTTTTCGAAGTTCAACTGTTTTTCTTGAAGCTGAGTACTTTTTTGATGTAAACTTCGTGCATCTCCTTCGAATTATTTAGGAATTTGAATTTGTTAATCCGAGATCTTTTTTATAAATTTCTTTATTCTGCAATAAATTAAAACTCATAGTCATACATGTATTTCAAATTTTCAATTTTAATGATTTGGCATCATATTTAAACTATGTATTTGGATAGATCTCAGATCTGAAAAATAAAAATCTAATATAAAAGTAGAGATAATCAATTTTTTTTATCAACTAGCAAATAAAAATTCTTGATTTTTATTCACTAAAAAAATAGAAAATATCCTGAGAATAAATGTGATACTTTGTGAAATTAAACTCTATCATGCAGATATTTTCTCATATTATTTAATACTTCATTATTAATATATATATTTAAGAAGTAAGTTATTTCAAAAAAGGAAAATCAACATAATAAATATATATATTTAAATGTTTGAAAAGTTAATAAAATTTAAAATATCTACAGATTCATCAAATTTGAAATGTAGATACCAGTCTAAATACAAAATATATTTTTGAGAATATGATAACATTACATATATATTTAACATATTTAAGTTTAGTATTGATATGTAAATGGTTCTTATAGAAATTTTAAAAGATGTATTTCATGAATTAAACGAAGCAGATATGGAAGGTAGCGGCTTACGACCAGGGCCCGCATGAGTCCTTTGGGACAATGAATTTCATGGGGCGTGATGATGAGCCTCGTGGAGATCGTGCAGAAGTCGTTCGATCACGAAGGTCGGTCGTTTGACGACATGAAATCGGAACGCAGCTGCTCAAATCACTGCGCAGCCAGCGCTCGAGGGGATCGAGGAGGACTGTATCCGAGGACCCAGGCCATATGTGTCGCCCTTTGAGCACCAGATGGAACGAGTCTCGAATGGCGTTGAAGGGTCAGATTCTGCGCATCTGCTGACATTTGCGGCAGCCAGCCAGCCCCGATCAGCCGGTGAGAATTCTAAATTATGGGGCTAGTCACTGGAGGCATTTTTCCACGAGGAGAATAGAGGAGGTCCTTGACGTGGCATCGAAAAAATCTGCACAGTGGTTGAAATCTGTGCCCAAACTGGCGGGTACGCATGCGCGGGGTACCTGATATTTCTGTGATCTTCGCCACGGAGCTGCAGGAAGCGACGGGGAGTAGTTTTGTCGTCGATTCATGGGCCGTCTAAGAATTTGTCCGAAGCGGCTGTTTGATAAGAATGGGGGAAGTGGATGATGATTTCCATCCCCGTTAGAGCTTCTCAGACATCAAATAGTGTTGAAGGAGAGGGGCTTAGAGTTCTGGATGCAGTATAAGAGAAGCTAAAATGGTTTAGTTCATCATCCCCGTCCTGTCTCTTGAACTGCTTTCTGCTGGTGCTCTGGTACTCCAGAAAGGTTGCCTTCACCTTTCATCACAATCTTCTCGAGTACATGCTGACTTCCAGACAGAATCGTCAAATTGTGTCTGAAAATAAGAGTAGCAGCTGAAATCGCTCGTCTTCTCTTAGACATGAAGTGCAGGACTTCTTCCATGGCAAGGACTGACGTACAGCTTTGCGAGAGGAGTGCTGGCAGTTGAACCAGCGTGCTTCAGGATTAGGAGCTGCTCGAGTCGATCGTTTCTCTCCTCGTCTTTATACAGGGTTCGATTTCCACAGGCCCTGACAGAGTTCCTCTTCCAGGCGCAGCCGATGGAAGGTAGGACCGGTCAGTCGTCGACAGGGAGCCCAGCGGAGCAGTTGTACTCTGTTCTGCCGTCATCAATGTGGGTCCGAGTGGAAAGGCCCCGGATGACTCCCGAAGGAAGGATCGGAACAGATTTCAGGCCCGGGACTTCTTCTCCATGCCGTTGGATAGTTAGATTTCCCCGTGGGTTCACGAATGGGAGGGCCCTGAAACGATGGTGAGCAGTTGTGGATGTGAACTGACGTAATTTACATACATGGTTCAGGAGTTTGAATATGGGGCTGGATGAATCATCAATGTTGCTGGATCTGACATGCCTGAAGCGATGGTTGTGCAGTTAACTAGCTCGAGAGGATGATGAAGAAAATCTCTGAAGTAAAACGTGGCGATGTTTCTCCGGCGATCCGCAAGCCTATGGCTACATTGATGACGAGAATCGTACACTGGTGAGTTGATATCTGAGTCCAACAGACGAAGTTGATTTCCCCGTTAGCTGGTTCGGCTAAACACCTTCTGAATGACAACGTGCGAGAAGTCTGAAGAGCAGGCCAGCATTGCACTGATGCAAGGCCCCTGCCTGCCAATGAACGAGTGGGTGTTTGTGTCCCGCGTAGAACGATCTCCTTTTTATTGCGTAGTAATTCTGACCCTTTCTTGAAGGACTCCTGGAGGGTCCATTTTGTGTGAAGAGGTAGTAGCAGGTAAGCCAAGGCTGGGGAAGGAAGCAAAATGTGATATTGTTTTTGCACATCTCATGAAGTTCTTCTATTTGGGGAGTGTCTGCAACTGTGTCAAGATTCCAAGACTTTCCAGCGGCTCATTGCTACGATCGAAAGAGGAAATTGGCGCTTGATTTGGCAGATTGTTCAACAGAGCCCTGAACTCATCTGCACTCTGACATCGAATTGCTCCTTGGTTTTCTAGTATGATGTTTGCTGATTTTACATCTCTTGTTTATACACATGTGTATCCTCGGAATGTAAAATCCACAGACATCATTCTAAATAATCAACCGACGGCCACTGAAGGATCCACTAGACTCTGCTTCGACGCGACAAGCTACGAGAAACACACACGCTCAATGTTTCGGGTGTCGTACCGCTCCTGACGAGCTAATAAAGCCTGGAAGATTTATGACTACCACAGTTCTAAAACGAATTCTACAGTTCTATATACGCTTCAGTCATCGTTGACGCCCTCGAAATGATCAGTTTTAGCAATAATAAAGTGCAAGAGAATATAAGTTAAACTTTTCGAAGATTCCTTTCATTCAAGTCTGGTTCAGGGCAGACTCTTTGTTTTGTTGATCCAGAAGAACGATCTGTACACGATTTGAAAATATTTGAGAAAACCAGGTATAGGAAGAAATATAGTAGGCTAAAAGGTGGATGGCTGCATGTGAAACTATCTTCTAACAACAGCAGATCGATTCATTACGAGAGTGATAGGGTGATAGTGTGCTTGTGCATGTGGGGAGCCTTAATGCAATAATGTTGGGAATTCTGCAGTTGTTGTGTCCTGGTTCCAGCCTGTTTCGATAGGCTGTGATATGCAGTAATCGCCCATCGCTGGAAGGATATGGTTATTGGAGTTGACTGATCCCCCGATGTCGAAGACTTGAGAGGTTAGGAGATATCAGGATAAGAAAATTATAAAATTTATGTGTGGTCCTACTTCTAGAGAGTAGGTAGAAACTCGGTGAATAATGAATCTCTCACTGCCAGTACAAAACTACCTAGACCTGTTGACCATGTGGCATCAGAAGGAAGGAATGTATAAAAAGTGTTTCAGAATGCCTACTATGATGGGAAAGAAAAAAATGGAGACTGTTATTATAATCCGACTGAGAAAGGCCGTGACGGCTTGCTCATATAGGATGGGCTGTTTTGGCAGGTTATACAAATTTTACATCGATTGTTCATCTTAATAATAGAGTAGAGATCCTCATTCAAGGTTTAGTTCGGAGACCATGAGCCCGTCAAAATCTTTCAGAATCTGCATACCTCACGGAGATTCATACCTTTCATCCTCATCAACCTCTTGAGAAAAGTTTCCATTGACTTCCTCAAAACATGAGCCACTCTTCCGAGTGCACAATGGAAAGTTTGAACTGAATTCTACCGAACTTATGTTAACATCTTTGAGAGAAGTATCTGGATGTAGTATACATGAATGGTTCTCAGATTTCACACTGAACTGCACAATCTCCAGGTACCTAATCTCCTACGGGTTTGTGCAATCTAACTTTAATTCTGCAAGCGACCCTGTATAGAACTCCAGACCATGATCAGACTAGGCTATAACAGGATCTAATCGGGAACATATTACATTTAACCATCAGGGTAGAGAGCCCAGACCATGAGGTTCCTAAGCAGAAGAAGCGAATGCTTTGGTCGAGGCAGGCCTGTCAGACCAGCCCTTGTCGTAAGCTGTGCTCAGAGTGACAGTGGGAGCTTGATGAGGATTTTCAAGATAGTAGTCGAAAGCCATAGTGTTGTTGAAGAGAACGGCTTCGAGAAAGCCAATGGCGATGCCTCCAGAAAACCTGCGCATAGGACCTCGAGTTCTTCCGCTCGTGCACACAATCGTCGAAGTGGTCCAGACCGAGTCGTCCAGGAAGTCCATGTGCCCATAGTCTTCGACGACGAAGTGGACAGCAGCAGGCGAGCTGTTCTCGAAAAATACTTCGTGGTTAACTCCTCTGGGGCCACAAGGCGGCATTAGAGGAAGAAGGGCTATGGGGCTGAGAGCTGCTCCGATGATCATGGTAGGGTACTTGAGGTTTAAGGAGTTTGGCTGGTATGGAAGCACTTGAGGTTTCAACGACGTGTTCTCGAACGCCCCGTCCACCGGTTCCAGCCCAACGATTGCCGAATACGGCAACGATGTCTTGCAAAACTCCGTAGCCAAGCCGAATGCTACTTTTCCTCCGCGACTGTGGCCGATCAGCACCAGCTTTTCCAGATTTGGCTTGATTCGCAGTGAGTTTAGTGATCTCTCTCTCAACAGGCTATCGGCCAAATTGTTGGGATACCAGTCCACGATAGCAGCCGCGAAGGAGATCTCATTAGATGCATCCGCTCGCAACAGCTCGAACGCATCGCCCGGCATCTGCAAGCGTAGATGGAGAGCCCACATATCAATTGAAAAGCATTCAATCACCTGTGGAAGCGCTGCTCATCTGCCTGCATATTCTCTACTGCGCTTGCAGGCAATAAACCTCACACTGGAATAGAGCTTTGTCCCGATAAAACATTCAAATTAGATCCTGGCCATCTTCTGAATGCCCCACCAAAAGCTGACGCTGACATAACCTTATGGCAAATTCCAGAGTAGTCAGGAGCATCACTTGCACGCCGGTCGTGTGCAAACTAAAGGCGAAGTTATGGTCGATCAAGTTGCAATCTAGCGTTATGGTAGTCCATCTTGTGGCTGAAGAAAATGTTTCACCCATTGACTGATTACTAAATTGAGTGAAAGAGTAAATGAATCAAAGTCTCAATTTCCATTTATTCACGGAAGAGAACATGTACAAATGTGCTCTCATGCTTCAGCTGCAGCATGAAGCTCATGAGATCGAAGTTTTAAGATGCATCGACCAATCCTGACAGCATACATAGACCCAATGCCGGTGACTGATCATGACATGAGAGCGAAGATGGAGTATACTGTGGTAACACACTTTTTGTTTTTTTTGCAGAATTTAAACAATTTTAGAAAACTAGTACCAAAGCAGTGTTTGTAGCTAGAGAAGGGTACGCTAAATAGAGTGGATTGATGAGATCGTCACGAGGGCACAAAGAATCACGTAGTCGGATGTACCAACGCCAACGTCTTCGGCGCCTTCGGCAAAAGCTCCTTTTTGAGGTGTCTCTACTCACGCGCCTCTAGCGCATAAGGAAGCTACGCTTCCGGCGCAGACACCTCAGGAGGAGGTTTTGCTAAAGACGTCAGGAGAAGGGCCCGGACCTCTAAAGGCATCCGACCATGAGTGCGCCTTCGGCGAAGCGCCGCTAGCGCGGAAAGGGAAAACCTTCATAACAATCGGGATACACGGTAGATCCAGTTGGTTGAAGTTGCATTAGAAAGAGCTCGGGACGCTCGTTCTAACGAGTCCAAGAGCGCCGGAGATGGATCAGGAATGGAGAAGTTATGAGCGTCGGAAAACTCGTAGCCGGACATGCGCCGTTCGCGCTAGGGTTCACAGCCGGAAAGGATTCCCGTACGCCCTCGGCGATGCGCCTTCGGCGGAATCACGCGCTCACAGGAGGAAACCAACTCAGAGTCGGAAGCGCCCTTGGCGGCTGTTCATGGAAGGAAAGCACCGGTCGGATGTACGCCTCCGACGTGGCGCTGACGGCCGGATGCGCTGGCATGAGTTGCGCTGACGGATATGCGCTGGCAGCAACGGACGAGGCATAAAGGACAAAATAGGCGGTACGACTGCGCGCCGGCGTAATTCGCTCCGGCTGGATGTGCGCCTCCAGCAAGGCGCCGACGGATAATGAACGCACCAGCGGCGACACGCCTCCGGAGAAGGGCGGGTTAGGAAAAGACAACAGGGCCGACGTATACCCTGCAGCGGACTCGAGTCCGGAAGGTGGCGGCAGCGGGAGAATTCAACGTTTAAGCATGCGAATGCGCGCAATGAGGAGACGTGAATTCGCGCATGCAAAGGGCGAACCGTTAAGCCGTATAGCCGGCTGCGTACGTTGCAACCAGTAAGAACGTTGGACGTTCTTGAAATCGGAGAAGAAAAGACTGCGCTCCAGTCTCATTCTCTCATTCTTGACTTTGCGATTTCCAGTTCCAAGATTACGCGCAAGGGCGGAGCGACCTGCAGTGAGAGTAGAGAGTGCGGAGACGAGTTGCGCAAGGATCTTGGCGGACCTTGAAAGAATTGTGAGTAGCGATCTTGAACGAGCGCAGAGAGAGTGAGCAGTCAGTGCTTGAGTGGCCGACGCACAGTGGCGATTGTGAGAGAGCGAGCGAAAGGGAGAACGTTTGTGTGTGTGCAGGCAACGCAATGTCGAAGGTTCCCCAGCTGCGAGTGTCTCCACTCAGGGTGCCGCAGATCGGTCTACGCGCATTTCAAGATGTGCTGTTGAGGTTGAAGCTCGATTTTCTCCTATGGGGGTGGAATTGGACATGTCCGGAGATGGTGCGCGAGTATCTGCAGGAGAGACACAAGCCTTCTCGCGGATTTCGCCCACACCCAGAGAGATGGGACATTTGCAATTGGGCGCAGGTGTTGGGCAGGTGTGCCGGCGAGGAAGGGGATCTCCTCTTCGAGGCCGATAGCGTGAAGGTGTCCCAGGAGGAAGAAGTCTCTTACAATGAGCTCTTCAAAGTGGCCAGACATCCCAAGAACGGTTTCCGGACACGGGATTACAAGGATCGATTGCGGAGAAATGTCGCGACGGCATTGCTGCAGATATTGCAGCCGACCAAGACCGCTTACATGCATGGTTGGCAGGTAGAGTTCGTGGAGCTAGTGCTGTCAGGAGCTCCGGTGCATTGGGCACGGCTCCTGTGGAAGGTGACGCGCCAACATGCGCAAGAAGAGAGGGGAGGAACCCTCAATCATCTATCGCCTTACTTAATCGTGTTTTACCGGGCGATGGGATGTTTGACGAATGCTGAGAAAACTCGGTTTCCGCAGCTGACCCGGACTTATCCAGGTAGATATTCGAGGGAGGCTGAAGTAGACACGGATCCGGACGAGGAACCTGCCAGTACACCTCCGGCTCCGGCTCCAGCAAGAGCAGCAGAAGAACGTCGAAGTGAGCGCATTCCGCGAAAGCGGAAGTGGGATGAGAGACCTGAGGACAGGCAGCCGGAAGTACCAGCTGCGCCGACTCGTGGTCGGCCCACCCCCGAGCCTCACAGTCGACCAAAACAGAGGGCACGCAAAATGCCAACTGTTACTGAGGAGATCAGGCGAACTCCGACCCGGCGGAATCTCACACAGGAAGAGATAATCGCTCAGATCCTAGGGAAGACGGCAGAAACCTCTGCACAGAAGGCACCACGGCCTTCGGGAGGAGATGGACGGACTGACAGCCGGCCGGCTGCGAGTCGGATGACTGAAGGTCGACAAGCGGAAGGAAGGCCAACTGAACGGCGCGTTGAACCGGACAGCAGGCCGGAAGCAGAAGAGAGTTTGGCTGACGAGCCAACAATCCTCAAAGGGTCGTCTTCGGCGGAAGGCACTTCTGGAAGAACGCCCCCAACAAGCAGGCCAAGTGGAGTCAAGACGCGCAGGGTGTATCCGACTCCCAGTCGGACAACTGCTGGTCGGCCGACTGCGAGTCGGACAACAGAGAGTCAGCCGGATTCGCCGACTGCGAGACGGATGGGGCCAACGACCAGTGTGCGGACGCCTTCGGCGGACGCACCTTCAGCAAGGACACCTTCCGCGCAGATTGCGCCGGAAGGACAGGCAGCAGAAGCGGGCGGTGCAAGAGTGACAAAAGTCACTGCGGCGTCGACCCCTTCACAAACCGAAGATCGAGCCGGAACAGGGGCTCAAGCAGTGGGATCTCCCACTGCCCTGGATATTTTAGCAGGCAGTGGAGCAGCAGTCGCAGCAGAAGCTGCTGCGCGCCACAGTTCCAGGGAGTCGCCAAGGGATTCGGTGGCGATTGAAATCCTCGAGACTGAGGATGATACGAGCTCGGAAGAGCAGGAAGCGGATTCGGTGCAGAAAACGCCAACAGGGGTGCTGTGCGAACAGATAGTTCCACTCCTGCGATATCTGGATCGCAAGACATCCAAATACGGAAGTGCCTTAAAACCGCAGTCTTATGTGGAGACTATCAGGCGAAGGACGAGGATCAAGGTGGCAAAGTGGGCCTCTAGTTGCCAAGTATATGTGGAAAGGAACACCGCCCTCAAACAACACCTGGCGGTCACCCAGAAGCTATACCAAGCCTTGCAGCAGCAGAAGGAGGATGCGGCGACGAAAAGTCAGGCGGATGCCGAACTAATACGGGCAAAGATCGAGTTGGAACTGCAGGAGGAGCGGAGACAGAACAAAGTCCTAGCAGCCGAGCTTGCGCGCCAGACGCGCGCCTTAGAAGAAAGTCAAAGAGCCCGCAAGGAGGATGAGGAGTTGTTGTGCAACTTGCAATCCGAGTGCTCGGATTTGAGGGCACAACGTGCGGGATTAGAAATGCAGCTGGCCGAGGTGGAGAGCAGCTGCAGGGCGCGAGGAGAGTTGGCGGCACAGGTGACTCGTTGCCTAAAAGGATACACCCATTGGGAGGTGGCAGCCCAAGAGAGGATCACACTCAGGGAGTTCGAGCTTCGGGCGGCGGCATTGACGGAAGGTGACAGTCGGAGTCGGCGGCGAGTGGCGAGAAAATTAGAAACCTTCTTGTCGGGTGCGCGCGACACTATGGCGCACTTGCAGTCGGAAGTCACCACAGCGCTCCGACGCCTGGGGTTACGCAGCCGGTCGGAAGACTGGCAAGGTAGAGATAGTACGCGGAGCAGTCCGGCGCGCAGGAGGCGCAGCACCGGATCTGCTGAGTGCAGTAGAGTAGTTTGGTTTCGCGCAGATACTGCGAGTGGTAGATAGGATAGCGTAGTGCTAGTTAGGATCTTTTGAGGGTATAAAGTAGATCAAGGCGTTTTGCCTTGGGACTCTTCCAGTTTCGGAAGTGCAGATCAGGAACTCACTTTCTTGGCGTGTTTGTGCATTTTGGTCCTGGCACCACGTAGAGAAGCTGTAGCATAGCGAAGTTACCGTATGTTGTAGTTGAAGGCCTTCGGCTGAATGTTCAGAGCTAGTACCCGGTTAGAGACTTGAGTAGTGCGGATCTGCACCTGCGGGTGATTTCTGATACTCAGAGCCGGCTGCGAGTTAGATACTTGAACAGTTCCCCCTTACTCCTTCGAGTGACATATCCTGATTGTACTCCTACGGGAAGTTTCCCCTGAATGCCAATGTGAAGTTTCATTACTTCGTGTAAACCTTGGTTTGTAATTCAGGTTGTGTGTGTGTTACCGGATCGTGTTTTCAGTAAGTTCTCAGTCGGGTCTGCACTCCCTGCGTTTTGTGTGATAGTCGAGGGTGACGTCCACGGCGTACGTAGAGGCTTCGTTCCGAAGTGAGAAGTCCAGTCCGGGTACCCCCGCTAGTTCCTGGCGGAAGGGCAGTAAAAGCCGGAGTGGGAGGCACTTCCTGCAGAACCTCTGAGTGAACTTGCGAGACACTTTCCTCCTGAAATCCGAAGCGGAGGTCCTGACCGACCTCCGAGTTGTGCTTTTTGCCAGTTTCAGGTGTGTGTGTGTGTGTTGAGTGACCAAGCTGTACCGTGCATCCTCCGAGCATCCTCCGAGTTGAGATCCTCCTCCGAGTCGAGCCTCCGAGTCGAGCACTGCAGTATTTCTGGGAGTGACAGTCGCCTAGAATTCAAACTCTACCAAAAGTCTGTTAAATGTGACACTTTTACTCTGTGTGTTGCCTCTGTCCCTGTGGGTTCGATCTTTTTACCACCATACTGCAGTTTTAGCCTTTGGTGGGTTATTACATATACCTGCGGTGCTACGACGATGTAACCGTGGGAAGCTATGTGCGTCATGAGCTGTCTGTAGTGTCCAGTTTGGAGCGTGAAGCCATGTTGAAGTTGAACGACGGGGTACTGTCCCGAGCTTCTGGGAACCACCACCAGGAGTGTGCGGGCTGGCATCACGCCGCTCGCAATCGGAGACGAGGCAACTTTCTGGCAAACTGGCACTCCCCGGCCCAAGAGATCATTCCACCAGCTGTCACTGCCACTGACTGTAAACCTTTGCGTTGCGTATCTGCCGGGGTCGTAAATACTCTCTAGATCCGCGTTCGATTCCTCTGCAAACCTCAGAGCTAGTGATGGAATACTCAAAAGACCGAGAACAAGACATGGGAGCAATGTGGATTGTACCCATGCCCGTCTACTCGAAATCTGTCCAAAATTCATCGTGCCTTCGTTTAGCTGCGCAAACTGATCTGATGCGGTGGAATGAGCTTGAGCATGCAGTCAGCCCCCGTGTATCACCTCAGATGTGGAATACGAGGGACAATTCCGCTGCTATTTATGCCCACAAAAAGGGCTTCGAACTCCATACTTTTAAGTACGTAGAATGTGGAGAAAAATTTCTGTTTCCAAGTTACCTCCACCAGTAAACTTTGATGGAGTTTATCGGACCAGTCAGGGGAAGTGAATGAGAGAATACAGCAATTGTTCCACCGTCATTCGTTGATTTGTGGCCGGTCAGCGCTAATATCCACATGTCGGGTGTGCATGCAAGATTACACGAAATCATTGGAGTCAGCGATTAGTGACTAGTAATCGATGGCATTTGACTGCTACATCCTTCCTTACATCATCCTCCAGTGGACCTCGGCTTCTTGGACAGGATATCACCGAATTCGGTTGCAGCCTATGCAAGTTGAGAGGATGGATAAGTACAGAGCTTTGCTTTGAGTCTAAGATGTGTCTCGGGTAGCACCTGGCACGGACTTTCCATTCAACGCGTTTTGCACGATGGCAGATGGACATGTGCAGATGGCGTAGACAGAATTGTAGGGGGCTAGATTTTTCTGGGAGAAGAAGATGAATGGAGGCACAGTCCTTTTGTCTTTCTTAATATTTGTGCTTCACGGAAAGCAAAGTTTCATGAATGCTTCCCGTACAGCTGTAGCTTCTATAAAGGACGCCCAATCAACTCGTTGATTATGAGTATTCGAGTCCTTCAGTCGCCACTACAGCTTGTGCCCTCGATGAGGAATACTGTGTCGGTCCTATCTAGCTTATCGTCGAAGATACCATAGCGTCATCGACGTTTAAGGTTGATTGCTTATCCTCCACAAGATTGGGAAATATTTTATGGTCTCTCTGTGTGCATGTATTTCCTTCTCCATGCCCTCGAACGAACAGAAGGCAACAGGTGCTCTGACAACAACTGTCTAACAGATCAAATTGCAAAAGTTTAGCTCAGTCGAACCCTTCCTTTTGCAGGGTTCTGGGTCCAGGCGTGGATCTAGTTCGGATACTACGATGTTACGATGCTCTGAGGAAATATCAAAAGATGATGATTGTCATGATGCACGAATTGTGATTGAGATGCACAATGAGATTGTGCATCATTGTGTGCGTGCATCATGACTGTCATGATGCACGCACACTCGATCACCGACTTGCAGGCCGGTATTCATTCACTCTTCCACTCAAAGAATGACCAAGTTAGCCTTTCTATAGACTAAGACCTTCAATCAAGCTCGATGGAGCTCAAAGAAGCCTCCTAGATTTTGAAACTATCATATCGTACTTTTCGTCGTGAAAAGCGTGAGGTCTGTTCAATCTCGTGACCACCGGCGGCTACAGATGTCTATTGGCTCCATTCAATGAACTACATTTTGTTGTTGGAATCGAATAAAGGCTGAACGAAATTGAAAGTACGTGCAATTGATCACTAGTATTCGCACTCAAGACCGACTGCAGCAAGAACCCGAGGAGAGTACTGCATCACTCGTTGATCCCTCCCATTCACAACACAGAGTGGGTAGAGAGGAAGACCAGCTGGCAAAAGACTAAGAGAAGACACAGCCAAAGACACATGATCCTGGATCGGCCATCTACTCTTCTTCTGCATCTCTCAGGATTGCTGAGGCTTTCAAGTCAGAGCTTGTGCTGACGAGCCCAAGGCCTGCCATGACAACCATAAAGCTTTTGACCAGGGAGCTGGAGGAAGTCCTGATTGAATGTTGGGTCTCATCCATACTGACGAGTGGTGACTTCACAGAAGGTCGACTCCATCAATTTTGTCAGCCTTTTATAAACCTTTTCCATGTCGTACGCAGAAAGAAAAGTTGAAGAATACAAATGCTTGAATAATTTAACAGCTCTATGCAAGAGAATTGCTGGCCTCGCCATCCTTTCCAGCTCAAATCCTAGAGAAAAAGTAGAGAACCAGACGAAGGGAAAATGATCATCATATTGACTCAAAGAAACCTTGACACAATTTTTTCGATACTGCTGTTCGCGGGGATCCCATTTTATACCTTTCTATCAGTTTCGGATCAACTGGTATAAATGGGATCCTCGATCAATACCCTCGCCTGGAAAATGGGAATTGGGTGAGGTTATTTATTCTGGGCTCGACATTTAGTTGCGTTTGGAAGATTTTGCAAAATCCAGCTACTCTTGGCCCCTCTGTGAAACAGTGGATAGCCCCATTCTTTCGTAATTTCCCTGCGGTCTAGTATCTTCAACCTTCTCATCTTTGTTTGAAAAGGAGTACCCTCGCCTCAAACATCCTTAGCATGAATAACTTGTTTAGACCCGAGTGCGAAGTGATGGTGCAGAGGTGCCTTTTATGAACTGTGAACTGGTATCGGAGCAGCTTAGCAGAGGCCACGAGGATGAAATCAGACCTTGACGATCTCGGTTTGGTGCAGGGAAGGTGTCACTCGCACTAGCAAAGAGTAGATCTTCTTCGCAGTACTCAGCCATCGTCGGGCTTGATTTGGTAGACGGTACGTTGGTCCCCAGTCGTCCCACACAAACCCAGAGACCTGAAGATCGAAGATCGTGGGGGCCTCGTACCTCGTGCTCCCAAAGAAGTGAGCCACGTCCAGTTCTTCGGGGAAGTTGCTGCTGCAGCAGTGCAACTTGTCGCCAATTGAGAACAGCCACCGGGATTTGGACTCGCGGTATAAACTGAGCACAAGGATTGGCCAAAGTGAGTCGAGCCACGACCCCACACGGACTTTTTCTGCAGCATGGTGATTCTATTCTTCCACGCAACAATGTTCGGAGATACTCTTGTGGCCCTATCGAGCTAGAAACAATGAACCAGTGAACAAGAATCGATGGTGTCCTGATGCTCAGAATTCTTGGATTTGAGGGCAACTTTTGTCGCAGCCATGACGTCATTTAGGAACGTTTAGAAGAAAAACACTTCACCCTCTTTTCTTCCGTACCATTTCTATTCCCTTTCAAGAATGGACTATTCCAGCGGCATAAACGTGCGGTATCTACGATTCGGGTCTACTGCTCTTCCTCCATAGAATTGACATGTTGATACCTAGGTAGAGTGCAAAGTCAAATCCAAGTTCACTACATAAAGTAGTTATCGAGCAATGCTTGAACATCATTTATCATGGATATTTTAAACAAAATAATAGATGGGTTGATCCATGTATTATCTCAAGACAAAAATAGGTTTGGTATTTCCTGAATCCACTAGCTTAGGATTTCCGAGAATCGAGATAAGATGGACTAGCTTTGTGACAGCAGTCCCAAATTTGAATCCAAGCAATCGGACTCATGAGCAGTTCTCACTTCTCGCTTACAATGTAAATTAAATCTAAGAGAGAAGAGTTATGCTAGAAGCAAAAGTACGTGGATAAAGCTGGGACGAGGACCCGAGATGCTTGCCAGAGACCGTTAAGCTCACTGCGTTATAGCTTCTGGTCACAGAGAGCGAGCAATAGATCAGACTGTCTCGTGTACAACATTGCTTGGATCCGGTCACAGCCACGGTCAAGTCATGTGGACTCGTACCCGATGGCTCGAATCGGTCACTCGTGCCAAGAGTCAACCACACGTTGTTCATGCATCTGGACCTATGTAAACGAGCATAGACGAGCATGCTCGTTGCCAAAATTGGCACTGCTGACGGTAGTACGAAATTTGTTCATGGAAACGAAGTATTGAATGTAACTGACATCTGATTACACGGAGGAGGTAATCTTCCGTTTTCAGCTGCGAGATGAAGTTCCCAAAGAGAACCTCAACAAATACAATTTCCTTATAAAATAGATCTAGAGACACAATATGCCACAGTCGACAGTGCTCTACACCTACTTTGGCAAGTTACTATTATGTTGACCTTGATTACTTCGAGGAGCTTATAAATTATGCTCCGGATCTAACCAGTATTATGGATTAGACGTGGACTTAGTCCAGGATTTGAGGAGGTTCCTGAGGGTTGTCAGATGAGGACAACCCTCCTTAGCGATCAGGCCCATTGGACTTATGATCGTCCGTTTATCACAGTCACGTTCAAACTAGTCCGTAAAATAATGGTGTAATCTGCCACCGCTGTCTCAGCCACATTATTGCAACAATGTGACTGTGGGACCGACGTGGGATTCTTTGATCATGAATGCGAGTGAATGTTTGTGCCACACTATAAAGGAGTCGAGTGCTCTTTCAGTTCACAATAATTCCTCTTCACTCTCTGGATCGTCGTCCTTCGATCGCACCACTCCATCCCAAGCACTACTCTCATCTGAAGCTAGGCTTGCTGAGGACTGACCCTTGTCTCTGCGATGGAGAGACATGGGAAGAAGGCAATCAGCTGCAGAGAGCTTTGGCTGGTCATGTTGTCCATCTTAGCGCTCATTCACTCCTCGCATGCTATAGATGACATTTACCGCCCAGGTCCATTTGAAGTGGATGTGTTCGATGCTCCTCAAGCCGGCCCTGACGAAGTTCCGACTTGCCATCAAACTGCTCCGAGTCCCAGCCCGGCTGGGACCCCAGTTCCAAGACATCTCCTCATTGCAGTTCCCCTGCAATCTGGTGTGTATCCAGTGGTTCAATTACAGCATGGGTTCGCGTTGAGCGTCGACTCCTACACGCAATTGCTTCGACACGTGGCCTCGTATGGATACATAGTCATTGCTCCTCAGGTACTCCAAGAATCCTCCAGCAGTTTAAAATAATTTATTTTCACCACTGCAAGCATCTCAGCCTTCGGAGTTGTATAATATATCATCGTTGTATTCTTAGTTGCCTGTGAAGGATTCAAAGGAGTAAACACTTTTGTCTCCAGGAACTGGATATTTGTACATGAAACTGATGTGTAGTGATCGTGTGGAAATATGAATATGGTCATGCGGACGTGTGAAGCCATTACCATAGCATGCTGAATAATGAGGCTAATCGTTCTGGTGATATTGCATGATCGTATTGCAGATGCCTCTTCAGATTACTTCAACAGACGCGACCAACGAGATTTCGACGGCTGCCTCTGTTCTGACATGGTATCCTAAGAACCTCGCAGCTCTGATCGAATCGAGGTTGCAATGGTCGAGTCTGCGCATTAAACCCGACCTGAACAAATTCATTCTGGCGGGACACAGTCGAGGAGGAAAGGTGGCCTTCGGTTTGGCGACCGGGGTCTGCAAAACATCGGTGCAGTTTTCAGCAATTGCAGGACTGGATCCCGTCGATGGCACTGGACCAGGCCAGCAAACGATTCCGAAAATTCTTCCAAACGAGCAATTCGGATTGGATCTGCCCTTTCCGACTCTAGTAGTAGGAGCGGGACTCGGCAGCAAGAGGAATTTTCTCCTACCGCCATGCGCACCTGATGGAGTGAGCCACGGCGCATTCTTTTTCGACAGCGGTCCTCTTGCACTTCACTTTGTCGCTCCCGCGTATGGACACATGGATTACCTGGACGACGAGCTAAGTGCCGCTGACGGCTTTCTGGCCAGCACTTTGTGCAAGAATGGGCCCTCTCGAGCTCCCATGAGGACATTCGCAGGAGGCATCGTGGTTGCATTTTTGCAAGCTGTATTCGGAAACACTGACGCGATTTTTCGTGCCCTTGAGAACATCCCTTCAACAGCTCCCGTCGAGTTAGACACTCCGGCGTTTACCGACTCTGCCCGGACAGCGTCAGCCTAGGAGGCTGCAACTTCGTCTAATTGCAGTCCTGCAGATTTTTGATAAGAAAAACAAGGAGTAGCTCAGATTGAGCTTGCTTCTTTGTAGCATATATGAGATTTCAACATGGGCGTCTCAAGGATTTCCCAATTCATCTCATCCACAAGTTATGGGATAGATTGACGGTTACACAACAATAGATACAATGTTAAGTTATACAGTTGACAATATTTGTCATTGTTTTTATAGTGTATAGTTGGTGATATACATAACATAAATCTAATTAGATCAAAGATAATTCTTCTATAAATAGATAATGACATACACAACGATCTTTGTAAACTAAGGAGAATAGTGTAGTAAAATAGGTTACAAAGTGGTACCACTAACATGTAATAAGATGGCACATTTTCAATTCTCAATCCCTGAGATATGTGGATGGATTCTGTAATATGAAATTTCAGCTGATGAAAATTCTCCAACTTTGCTACTGTAATGGTTACTGCAACACATGAATCCATTTTGATTGTTATGGTGACATGAGCTTATCTGACTTGGTCTTTTATCGTAACAAACAAGAGCACATCAATTACTAAGTGGTGTGGTGTTGCGTGGTCTGAGACAATATCTGTATTATTTACATGATCCAATCTCAGCTCCCTTCAAGGTACGGTCTGTGCTTGTCAGTTAGATAATATTGAGTATTTTATATCTCCCAATGAAACTAGTTATGATCGCCTTTTGCTTTTGAAAAACTTCGTCCTTCAGTTTCGCAACATCTACACGTGAACACTTACTTTCAATTCACAAAAGTAGCACTGTCATGTTAAGTTGTTGTGGCATTTACAATGAACCCTTTCTTTTAGGTCCATGCTAAGTCATAGTGATAGTGTATAAGACTAGTACTTTTTTGACTTGGGTATTCAACCGCGACATTTAATTTCAACTTTAGTGCATGAGAGATCAGTAATTTCTTTTTCGATCTTTTCCAGATCTATACACACAACGCGTCACTAACTATGTAATGGGTAGATTACCTGGTGTTAGTGCCAATAGCACTGTTAGAAGTTTTAGATACGAGGGATAGAGTTTAAATTAGGACTCCTACACAGTAAACTTTTGAAGTTGACGTGTGGAGACTGTGAGCCTAAACTCCCCACCCTTCAGCGTTTGTAGTCCAGGTGGGGGTTCGAGCTCCCATAATCTAACTTCTCTGATCTCAACCATGTGGTCAAAGTGTATTCAAGACAATGAGATCATAAACATTTGCTCTTTCACAGACAAATTATCCAGAACTGAAAATAATAACTTGCTGTCTGCTATCTCCACAAGAGCAGCAGACAAGCTCTTTGTTACGTAAAGATCTAACCCAACTCTGGGTGACTTTCTCAATACCACAGCTGCTGTGGTCTATCCTAGCTCCGAGTTCCACTCCCAATTCCTACTCAGATTACAGTGTCGATTTTCAGCTTCCATTCTCAGGTCTTCCACTCTAATCTCAGATCCCACTCACAGATTACACTTCAATCTCAGATCCCACTCACAGATTACACTTCAATCTCAGATCCCACTCACAGATTACACTTCAATCTCAGATCCCACTCACAGATTACACTTCAATCTCAGATCCCACTCACAGATTACACTTCAATCTCAGATCTCAATCTAATTTCACTCTCAAATACAACTCTCCACCCACGAGAGATTGCTTCCTCCTACTTCGAACTCTCCACACTCCCCTCCTAATCCTCATCACTTCCCTGCGAAAATCACTCACGTCCACACTCTATTACTCCTACCGATCCCAGAAGCGTCTCCACACAATGGCACACTACACAATCCCAGCTCGCAGGCCGAATAATCCTCTCCAACGTCCAAGGGCCGAGTCACCCACAGCCCGCGTGAATGCCGTTCCCGCGATGATGGGCAACGGCCTGATTCCCATGTGCGACTTCATGCCCCGCCGTCCTATTTCCACGCCTGACTTCACGCCGCCGCCACTGCCACACCTGTACAGTCTTTATTTATGACCACGTCAATATTCGCCGTCCGAAATCTTCTTCCGCGCACCGCCGAAGACATCCCCACTCCGAAGACACTCTTCCGCACCTTTGCATATCTATAATAGTCACCCCGACGCCCATAACTCACGGATCCCTGTTTCGTTTGAAACGTTTTTGGGCTCGTTGGAACAACCGTGTTGTGTTCTTTCTAACGAGCCCCTATTAAGTCAAACCGATAAGAATTGAGAAAGTTATGACGGTTTTACTCTTCTGTCAAAGGCATTTGCCTATGCATAGGCGTGCTACACGCAGGCCGCCTATGCGCATGCGTCCTACACGCAACCCGTCCTACACGCAAGCCGCCTACGCGCAAGCCTTCTATGCGCAGGCGTCCTACACGCAGGCTGCCTTGGGCCGAAGGCCCCTCTATATGTTAACGCCGAATGCCCCTCTAACTGTTAACGCCGAAGGCCTCTCGCCTAACCATGACAGCCGCTTTCGACGCTCATAACTCAGTGATGACTAATCTGTTTCAAGAGATATTGGTCTCGTTGGAACCAGCGCGTCGAGTTCTTTCCAATGAGACCCGAATTAAGTCAAACCGCTAAAAATTAAAAAAGATTTGCCGGTTTTACTGCTTCGCCGAAGGCCTGCAACCGCCGAAGTCGTTTGTCCGCGCATAGGACTAAAGTCAAACTCACTTCTGCGTAGGCGGAATCCCCGGCGGAGGCGAACTCCTTCCGCCGAAGGCGAACGTCTACGTATCTTCCGATAGTCATAACTCCCTAAGTTCTCATCCGTTCCAAGCGTTCTTGGGCTCGTTAGAACGAGCGTGTCGAGCCCTTTCCAACTAGACCCTAACCAATGCAAACCGTTAAGAATTGAAAACGATATTACGGTTTTACCTTTCCGCCGAAGGCGTTTGCCTATGCACAGGCCGCCTATGCGCAGGCCGCCAAAGGCCCTCCATATCAGAAACTTCCGCCGCTCCTAACTCGGTGATGCCTTATCCGTTTCAAGAGTTCTTGGTCTCGTTGGAACAAGCGTCGCGAGCTCTTTCCAACAAGACCCTAATTGAGTCAAGGCGTTACACATTGAAAACGTTATGAGAGTTTCACTTCTTCGCCGAAGGCCTTTTCCCGAAAGGACTTCACCGAAGGCACTTCGCCGAAGACCTTGCCCCGAAGGCCTGCTTCCGCACCTCTTGCCCCCTAACCATCACACCAACTCCTAATCTTGCAGAAACTTTCAGAAAACACCAAGCATAATTTTGCAAGAGCTTAAATCCAAAATTTTAACTCTCATAAGGGTAAAAAGACATGCGAGCACAGTTTTGTGTTCACCGAGACTGCAGCTTTGATGATGTAATCTGATTATATATATGTAAATAAATAAAATAAAAATGATCATTTTAATTTTTGAAAGTCTTTCAAGATAACTTCAAAAATCAAAATAGACAAAACAAAAGTATTTTTTGTAGAGTTTAATTAGAATCAAAGATATCTTCCAAGATATCTAGTCATTGCAGGTTTTTGAAATCAGATATGGAGTGAAGATTTCGAAATACGATCTACTGAAACATTTTTTTGATAGATCTGTTTTTGGTGCATTTCAATATTAGTCAAAACTAAAAGTTTTAATTTTTACAAACGGAAGCCTACTATTTCCAACAAATTGGGTTGAATCTATATTCCTTCACGGAATTAAATAAAGATCAGGAGGAAAATTCTTAAATAAAAGGTTGAAGGGCCTATGAGCTGATAGATTATGTAAAGTGTGTTGAGTAACTTATAATCCGGCAGTTTGGATTTGAAGACAAAATTAGAAAGCCTGTAAAAATGTTAATCTTTGTCCATTTGTGAAAAACAAATTGCATAAGATCATAATTAAGAACTTCAACTCTGGTTGTTATGAGGGGAGGAAGACAATGATTATTGAGCTATTTCCACAAGCACATGGGTTGGTTAAATACTCATATGGAGAGCTTCAGAGATTAGACATTTTCATAATAGATGCCTAATATGCTTAATATCATCTTTCGGGAATGACTAATTTCAAAATTGCGAGGAGGAATAGTTCACAGTGTCAAATTTGCAAATGGTTGTAACAAGAAAATGTTTGAACGCGGTTGCACCATGCACTATACTACTCAATACGTCACATGAACATGAGTACGGTCTTCAAATTTCAAAAAGAGATGCGGACACACGAGTCGTGTCAATACTATTGAATGCAGATTTTGTACAATTGATCGCGAGTGCAAAGTTGATGAAAATGACCACTAAGAAAACATTTGGTCCAACATTTTGCCCTAAGAAATATCATATTCATCTCAAGAGCAAGCATACACTCCGTTTGTAGTAGTATTAGATTCTATTTAAAAAAAGTAAGCAGGTTTACTTTAACATTGAAGTCAACTTCGTGAACATAGTTTTATCACATCTCAACCAAGAAACAACCATTGTGACCTAGACCATTCATAAGGACATCATTGAGATCATAATCGGATAAATATAATGAGATCACAAAGATGTTGAAGGCCAAACCTAATACAACGATATGCAAGTGTTTGCGTTCAATACTGACACAAAAAACTATTCTATGATGATCAAGACCCTAATGGAAGAACATCTTGCAATCAAGTATATTGGCATTGGTATCAATCTCCGGCATAGTGCGTTGACACTTTAGGCCACAAAAGAAGTTGCAATGGTCTTCAAGATGTTCGCACTCTTTTTGTTTGGCGTTGCTAGCTTTATAATTTGCTTCTTATTACAATCTCATTGTATGGATCTCATATTGGTTAGTCACAGTTTGAAATCCGGAGCAAATCATTGAACAAACTCATCCTTGACTAGAGTAATTAATTGATCTATGCATTGTCTTAAGGAGCTCAAAACATAAGTGATCATGTTACTAGTATTATCATGCGGTCGCAATAGTATTCACCTTAAGAATTCATTTGTGCATGGTGTATTCTTCATCAATTAAAGATTCCGTTACAGTAGTCATATTCCAAACTCAGAGGTGCATGAGATGCGACAATAATAACCATGACAGCGGACGCTTATTTGCAAGATGAAGTTGACTTGTTTCAATACATCAGAAAATCGATGACATATTACGTTCATTGTCACAAATAAGCTCGATGATCATTGCCATGAAGTCAATGCCCACTATTGTGAAATTCTAGTAGTCTCTTTTTGACGTGCATCTCAACCTGAGAATAACATTATATGGTATCACAAAAAACATCATTAATGCCGTACACATGACGTTGATGCGATTCCAAAGTCATCGTGTGATGCTCTGCCAACAACAAATAAATATTCAACAGCTAATCGTTGAGTTAGTGCTCACTATCGGTGCATCTTGCAACTCAACATTGACAATCTGGACAAATACACTTATGTCATCTACAACGATTGGTTAGATTTTTGCATTGACATCACACGCTTCATTAAAGATTTTTCTTTGATGATGATCTACAGTCTCATTGAACTAACTCAGCTATTAGTTTTTTGTAATGTTGTTTTTTTTTTCCTGATTTATGTTTTGCTTAGCAATCCATAAATGCTACGTGGCTCTAGCAACGACCTTGATTGTACATTAAATTAACCCTCTTTGAATTAGCAAAGCTTAAAGTTCGTGATAGTAGTTACTGTGAGCCTAAACTCCCCACCCTTCAGCGTTTGTAGTCCAGGTGGGGGTTCGAGCTCCCATAATCTAACTTCTCTGATTTCGACCATGTGGTCAAAGTGTATTCAAGACAATGAGATCATAAACATTTGCTCTTTCACAGACAAATTATCTAGAACTGAAAATAATAACTTGCTGTCTGCTATCTCCACAAGAGCAGCAGACAAGCTCTTTGTTACATAAAGATCTAACCCAACTCTGGGTGACTTTCTCAATACCATAGCCGCTGTGGTCTATCCTAGCTCCGAGTTCCACTCCCAATTCCTACTCAGATTTCAGTGTCGATTTCTCAACTTCCACCTTCAGACTCCACCAGATTCCTCTCTAAGATTCAACTCTCCCTTTTCAGTTTCAATTTCAGATCGCGAATGTCAGATTTCAGTCTCAGATTTCGCTTCACTCTCAGCTCCTATTCTCAGGTCTTCCACTCTGATCTCAGCTCCCACTCACAGATTACACTTCAATCTCAGATCCCACTCTCAGGTCTTCCACTCACAGATTACACTTCAATCTCAGATCCCACTCACGGATTTCACTTCAATCTCGGATCCCACTCACAGATTTCACTTCAATCTCGGATCCCACTCACAGATTTCACTTCAATGTCAGATCCCACTCACAGATGTCGCACCTCAATCTCAGATCCCAATCTAATTTCACTCCACGATACAACTCTCCACCCACGAGAGATTGCTTCCTTCTACTTCGAACACTCCACACTCCCCTCCTAATCCTCACCACTCCCCTGCGAAAATCACTCACATCCACACTCTATTCCAGCGACCAATCCCACCAGCGTCATCACACAATGGCACACCACACGATCTCTATCCCCAGGCCGAAAATTCCTCTCCAACGTTCAAGGGCCGAGTCACCCACAGCCCGCGTGAATGCCGTTCCCGCGATGATGAGCAACGTCCTGGCTCCCATGTGCAACTTCATGCCCCGCCGCTGCCACACCTGTACAGTCTTTATTTATGATCACGTCAACATCCGCCGTCCGAAATTGTCTTCCGCGCACCGCCGAAGGCATCCCTCCGCCGAAGACACTCTTCTACACCTTTGCCTATCTATAACAGTCACCCCGACGCCCATAACTCACGGATCCCTGATTCGTTTGAAACGTTCTTGAGCTTGTTGGAACAAGCGTGTTGTGCTCTTTCCAACGAGCCACTAACTAAGTCAAACCGATAAAAATTGAGAAAGTTATGACGGTTTTACTCTTCCGCCGAAGTCGTTTGCCTATCCGCAGGCGTCCGCCTACTTGCAAGCGTCCACGTCCTACTTGCAGGCCGCCTATCCGCAGGCGTACGCCTACTTGCAGGCGTTCGCCTTTGACGCTCATAACTCAGTGATGACTAATCCGTTTCAAGAGATATTGGTCTCGTTGGAACCAACGCGTCGAGTTCTTTCCAACGATACCCGAATCAAGTCAAACCGCTAAGAATTGAAAAAGATATGCCGGTTTTACTGCTTCGCCGAAGGCCTACAACCGCCGGAGGCGTTCGTCCGCGCATAGGACAAAAGTTGAACTCCCTGGAGGAATTCCCGGCGGAAGCGAACTCCTTCCGCCGAAGGCGAACGTATACGTATCTTCCGATAGTCATAACTCCCTCAGTCCTCATCCGTTCCAAGCGTTCTTGGGCTAGTTAGAACAAACTTGTCGAGCCCTTTCCAACAAGACCCTAACCAACGCAAACCGTTAATAATTGAAAACGTTATCACGGTTTTTCCCTTCCGCCGAAGGCGTTTGCCTATGCACAGGCCGCCTACGCGCAACCCGCCTACGCGTAGGCCGCCGAAGGCCTTCCATATCAGAAACTTCCGCCGCTCCTAACTCGGTGCTGCCTTATCTGTTTCAAGAGTTCTTGGTCTCGTTGGAACGAGCGTCGCGAGCGTTTTCCAACAAGACCCTAACTGAGTCAATGCGTCACACATTGAAAACGTTATGAGAGTTTCACTCCTTCGCCGAAGGCCTTTCCCCGAAGGCACTTCGCCGAAGAACTTGCCCCGAAGGCCTCCTTCCGCACCTCTTGCCCCCTAACCATCACACCAACTCCTAATCTCGCAGAAACTTCCAGAAAACCTCAAGCATAATTTTGCAAGAGCTTAAATCCAAACTTTTAACTCTCATAAGGGTAAAAAGACATGTGAGCACAGTTTTGTGCTCACAGTTACCTTATCATTCAACATAAGGCTAATTTTGACTGTAGTTGACCAATTTTGTCAATATTGGTCTTGCACCAATATTGACAAAATTGGATCCCAATTTGCAAAATGTCTCCGCGTGTCAGTAAGCCATCAATTCTTGCGATCACATGTGTTTGTTTGACGATGCGTGTGCAATGCCATGTTTGTGAGTACGTTTTGCGGTAAACGTCTGTTAGCGGCCTGGGTTCACCTATTCCCAACACCGCAACAGTTGAGAGCGACTTCTTGATGTTGAAATTCTTGAAGGAAGTATTTTGCGGCCAGGGTTTGCCTATCCCAACACCTCACTAGTTGAGAGCGATTTCTTGATGTTGAAATTCTGGAAGGACGTATTTGCGGCCTGGGTTTGCCTATCACAACACCGCGCCAGTTGAGAACGACTTCTTGATTTTGAAATTTCTGAAGGATGTATTCAACAGAATTGAATGATTTTTCTCTGGAAAGATTTCTCCAATGCAAAGAGTATGACCTTTTGCACACGATGAAACAATACAACACTTTCATATTACTGTCTTTAAGCTTATGTTAGTGGTGATGCCTAATCAGATTAGGGATTTGCGCCCAATTTACTTGGAATTAGATACATGCCTAAAGTGCCTAATCTGCTACTGAGGCCTGCTGATATGTGGACTCCGTTGCCTCTGATTTACGGCACTTAATAATTTAGAATGTGTTGGGGATGGAATATACATAAAGAATGGGAACTGTGACTGCAGCAGGCTGTAGGGTAAAGAACAACTCATTTGTACATTACATGCAAACTGAAGTCTTGTCATGAGACGTACATCCTCAGCTTCCTAAAAATCGGTTGTGTGAATCCTTCACAGCTATTTCAGCCACAAACTATTCGACCATAGGTAAATTGTTTGAGAGATCATTATCTAACAACCAAACGAATTCAAGGTGATAATATGCATCATGACTAATCAATATGATTGAACTGATGTCATACCGGTCAGATGCTTCTAACGAACTATCACAAACAACAACAAAAATTTGACATGCGAAGAGTATCTTCAAATGCTTCTGCAAACCTGTGGAGAGATGACCAAGAGATGAGGACGTATAAGCTACGAGGATTGCAATAGTTTCAATAGAAGCCTGAAGAGAGTCCTTAAGAAGTGTATATTCGAATGCATTGGTTGATCCTCGAGGTAATTGAAGCACAAGTGATTCAATACTGGTACAAGATATTGGACAGAAAGTAAGGACGCAGGGTGAAAAATGGCAATCTAGTACAAAATACAAAACTTAAGCTCGCCATTTTGTTTAGTCTTGCTTAATATAGTATCAAGCTTAATATGCTAGAGAAGAGATTCATGACAATTGGATTCAACAAGAAAATATTATCTACATTGATGCTTTACATCACCAGTCTACAATATAATCTTGGAGTGAATATAGTAGACAAGATGGAGAGTCTAGACTATCTGGCTATATTGATGAAGGTGCCGAAATGAGAACATTGGTATCATTGTTAAGTCAACAATCAATTGACAGGATGGAGGACTGGACATGTGGTGGACTATATCACAAGAAAGATTGCCTTCAAGGTCAAAGGGTGGATCTGGTTGTATAAAAATTATGCTGGCTCAACTTATATGCTTACATACTCATTTTGTACGTCGTGACAAGCATGGATCGTGCCATGAAGGCAGGTGAATTTGGATCACATATATGCTTCATTTATTGGCTCAGACCACGCAACACGTGGAGGGGTTTAGGGTTTAATGCCACGTAATATTTTATGTGCTGTTGATTGATACGATAGAAGACCAAGTCAGATAAGCTCATATCACCATAAAACTTAAAAAGGATTCATGTCTTACAGTAAGCAATCACAATGGCAAGAGGCTTAAGTCCATACAGGTGGAGAGTTTTTATCAGCTCATATTGTCCATGGTCAAATACACACTTCACTCTTATCTTCATAAACAGTTCCATATCTGAGAAAAGGGGAAAATGAGATTAAGCCATCGTCTTAAATGTCAGTGATACCAATTTACTTAATAACCTTCTTTATGAAACTCATATCATTAGTTTACAAAGATCGTTGCTTACATCATTTGCTATTCATAAAACAACAGTCATTGATCTTCTTAGACTCTTGTACATATCAATATATATACTTATATATATCATTGACCTTACAATGACTTCAAGTGATGACACCTGGGTAATTGTCAATCTATCCCATAAGGCATTATAACGCGTCTCGAAATGGATTATAAGTTTCTTCCCCACAGTTCTTTATAGAGTGATGAAATGCTTCAGGTGATCCTTGAGACGTCAATGTTGAATTCACGGATATATTACAAAGAAGCAAGTTCCATCTGAGCTACTCTTTGTCTTCCTGTAAAATTCTGCCTCACTGCAATGATCGAATGCATGAAATCCAGTCTCCTAGACTGACGCTGCCAAGGAAAATTCCGTCATCGCCGGAGTGTCTAATTCGACAGGAGCTGCGGAAGGGATGTTTTCAAAGGCTCGAGAAATCGCGGTGGAGTTTCCGAATACAGCTTGCAGAAAAGCAGCTACGATGCCTCCTGCGAATTTTCTCATGGGAGTTCGACAGGGCCCATTCTTGCACACATAACCGGACAGTAAGCCTATAATACCACTTAGATCGTCGTCCAGGTAATCCATATGTCCAAAGGCGGGAGCCACAAAGTGATATGCAAGAGCAGCGCTGTCGTGGAAGAATGTGCTCTGGCTCACACCGTTAGGTGCGCATGTTGGTCCGTGCCAGAAATTCGACTGGTTCCCGAGTCCGGTTCCTACGATCAGAGTTGGAAACGGGAGATCCAAACCGAATTTCTTGTCTGGAAGTATTGCCGGCGCCGATTGCTTATAGGGCGAACCGCCATCGACGGGATCCAGTCCTGCAATGGCTGAAAACTGCACAGATGTTTTGCAGACCCCGGTCGCCAGGCCGAAGGCCACCTTTCCTCCTTTACTGTGTCCCGACAGAACGATTTTGTTCAGGTCGGGTTGAATGCTCAGATTCGAAGTTTGCATCTCTGATTCGAGCAGAGCCGCGAGGTTATTAGGAATCCATGTCAAAACAGAGGCAGCCATTGCAATCTCGCCGGTCGCGTCAAATGACAAAAGCTGAAGAGGCATCTGCAATACGAGCATGCAACATCACAAGATCGATTAGCATTCTATGGTATTGCCTACACACGTCCGCATGACTATATTCATATTTCCACACGATCACTATACAAATATTCATTTCCTTGAGACACAAATGTTTACCTCTTTAAATCCTTCACCTGCAGTTTAGAATACAACGATGATATATCATACAACTCAGAAGGCTGAGATGCTTACTATTGTGAAAATAAATTATATTAAACTGCTGGAGGCTTCTTGGAGTACCTGAGGAGCAATGACTATGTATCCATACGAGGCCACGTGTTGAAGCAAGTGCGTGTAGAAGCCGACTTTCATCGCGAACCCATGCTGGAATTGAACCACTGGGTACACACCAGATTGCAGGGGAAGTGCAATGAGCAGAGGTTTTGGTACTGGGGTTCCAGCCGGGCTGGAAGGCGGAGCAGTTTGATGGCAAGTCGGAGATCCGTCATTGCTGCCTTGAGGAACATTCAACAATTGCACTTCAAATGGACCTGGGCTGTAAATGTCATCCATAGCATGCGAGGAGTGAATGAGCGCGAAGATGGACAACATGGCCAGGTAAAGGTCTGTGGAGCTGATTGCCCTCTTCACCCGTCTCTCCATTGCAGAGACACGGCTCAATCCTCAGCAAGCCTAGCTTCAGATGAGAGAAGTGCTTCGGATGGGTGAGCTAGTGGAGTGGTGCGATCGAAGGACAACGATCGAGAAGGTGATGAGAAAGTGGTGTAATCTGAAAGAGCTCTCGACTCCTTTTATAGTGTGGTTGTCCTCATTTGACAACCGTCAGGGAGCTACTGAAATCATGGACTAAGCCTACATCTAATCCATACCAATGAGCTCATTTCAAATTCGGAGCAAAGTTATAAGCTCGTCGAAGCGATCAAGGTGGGCATAACATGCCACAGTAAGTATGTAGCACTGGCAAATTGTCTCTCTTGTAGTCTCTGGAAGTTAATCTTGCAGTTGATATCAGTAAATTACCTCCGTGTAATCACATGTCAGGAACACTCGATACTTCGTTTCCATGTACGAATTTCGTACTACCGTCATCAGTGCCAAATTCTGGCAACGAGCATGCTCGTCTATGCTCGTTTGCATAGGTTCAGATGCATGAACAACGTGTGGTTGACTCTTGGCACGAGTGACCGATTCGAGCCATCGGGATTGAGCCCACATCAGTTGACGGTGGTTGTGACGGGCACCAACCTTTGCTGTACACGGGGCAGTCTGATTTCTAGCTCGCTCTCTATGAGCTAAACGGTGTCTGGCAACCATCTAGCGTCCTAGTACCAGCATTATCCACGTACTTTTGCTTCTAGTATAACTCTACTGTCTTAGATTTTTAATTATAGAGTGTAAGCGAGAAGTGAGAACTGATCATGAGTCCGATTGCTTGGATTCAGATTGGGATTTCTTTCACGCCTTGTCCATTTTAGTTCGATTCTCGGAAATTCTAAAAAATTAGTTACTAGAAATAAACAGGATTATTTTTATCGAAAATACTCTGTGGATCAACAAATTCTATGTAGTTTAAAATATCCGTGATAAATGATGGACATTTATTCTCAGATAATAAATTTTGTAATGAGCATGGAGGTGAGTTTGAAAATTTACATAATTCGAGTTGGAAATAATCATCAAAAGTAGTTCTATATGACACCTCATTGAAGTCTTTAAACCCCTATTGACAAATTAAAATGAAAGTGAAATATATTCCATACATGAGTTTAAAACTAGTGAATGAAATCTCACAGAGCTTTGAATTTTTTCTAGTTCAGCCTTATAGAGAATAAGCACTCAATTTGAAGTCATGTGTGTTAAAGCTTAATTTTGATGGTTAGGAGGGAAGCATCAATAGATCACAGAAAAATATAAATCATTTTAGGGGAAATAAATATTAACCACTTAGTAACAGGTTTTTTTTTATATGCATAACACAAAGAGTTAGAGATTCCAAATTGAATTTGTTTTCAAATGGACCCAAATTATAGGAAATCACTTTCAAAGATGGAGATTTTCCATATTGGCCTTTGAAGGCACTTTTACTTTCCATCCTCTGGAGTCGGGGAGTTAACATCTTCCATGGCCTCTCTTTTTTCGACCTATCGTGATCAAAGTTATCTTTATCCACCTCAAACTCTAATATACTTTTCCAACTTATCAATTTTAACTTTTACTCTCTCTCATTTCGGCAGCTTTTTGTCCTTTTGGGGATGCTGGTAAATGCTTCAAATATCTATGGCAAACGTACAATTGGGACAGTTTTTTGTTACTTACAAGATAAAGAAATAAAATGAGATTTTGTAACAATCACATCCTAGACTTGGCCACAATAGAGGATTTGTTGAATACTAAGAACTAGAATGGTGTAAAATTTATTAGTTTTAATACGTTGCTTTATTGGGAATTTTTCAACATGAGAGGTAATATTTTGTTATAATATTTGAAATCATTTCAATATCTGAAAGCAGGGTAAAAAAGGAAATGAAATTATTTGATATTCCAGTTGGTTGTGAGAGTAGCGCATCCCATTGAGTAGATTTGGAGCAATTGATTTTATAGTACAATCAATGCAGCGAGTTGAATAGCCTTGGAAATGTTATAGCATAGCACTGGATGGATAGAGAAGCGTCTATTTGCTATCTTTAAGTATTTCAAACTGTATGGCTTATACTGTACTTGAAGGTATATGTTTTTTCAAACTTTCGTCAGTTTCATCGTAAATAATCATCATCACTTCATCAGCTCCGTTTCTAAATCTCAATCTACTCATTTGCGCAATGAGTTTCTCATTGACTTCAAATCGAAGACGTACTACTCTTGAATTAAAGAGGAAGCAATCTAGACTATTCTTGGTGCAAGTGAATTATCTTACAATACGCAATATAGGTATCTGAAATGGAAATCATGGAGTTTGCAATAGGGTGTGATAAGAATTCATTACAAACTTTTTGTCTTATAGACTCAGGTGTTTATATTAAACCAGACAAACTTTCCCTAATTTTCCTCTGAGTATGATACCAATAACTACGATTTTCCTGTGTGCAGGTTAACTTGTAGCAAGTGGTAACTAATATAATCTCTTGTGCCAGTGCGTTGGCCTGAATGGTCGAAGCAAAATGTTGTTGAGTGTATGAGGGATACGATTGGAGAAAACGTTCCAATAAACAGCAGAGCAGGTCTTGAATTTCTGTTGTTGTCTCGCAGTTTCAGTTGCAGTCTACCAGAACAGCACCGGATATCAACATGTGAATTTGATGGAGAAAGAGCAGTAGACCCGAATCTTATATACCGCACGTTTATGTCACTCGGGCAGTCGAGTTTCGAAAGGGGAGCGAATTGGTACGGGAGAAGAGTGGGTCCAGTTCTTCCGTAAGATCAAATCCTCTGGAGCAGTTCGCAGATGACGTCATGGCTGCGACGATGGTTGCCCTCAAATCAAAGAACTCAGATCATCAGGGAACCATCCATTCCTATTCACGAGTTCATTGCTTCTAGCTCGATAGGGCCACATGAAGGATCTCCGAATATCGTGGCTTGGAAGATTAGAATCACCAAGTTGCACAAAAAATCTGCGTGGGGTCGCGGCTTGACTCCATGCAGATTTTTTCCTTTTGCCATTTGGCTCCTTTGGCCAACCCTTGTGCAGTTTATCCAGTGAGTCCAGATGCCGGCGGCCATTGTCAGTTGCGACCAATTGCGGTGAAGCAGCAGCACTGTCATCGAAGTCATTGAATTCTTTGAGAGCACTAGGTACAAAATTCCCACACTTCTCTTTGGATAGGATGACTGGGGATGCTATGGGGAAACTAGCCAACCGGCCTACGTCGGCTAGCTGCCCCAGCTAGCCGACGTAGGCCAATGTTGTTTTTTTCCTAAGTTTTCTTTTCTGCGTGTGGAATGGAAAAGTTGTGAAAAAAAGGTTCACAAAAATGTTTGAGTCGACCTTCTGTGAAGCCCTTAGTCACCACTAGTCATTATGGATCAGGTCCACTATATATAATTCTTCAGCTCCTTGCTATTCGGTCGTGAGGACAGGCCTTGGGCTCATCAGTACAAGCTCCGACTTGTAGGCCTCAGTGATCCTGAGTGATGCAGAAGAAGAAGAAGAAGAGTAGATGGAGGATCCAGGAGAGGGTTCTCTGCTTCCACTCTGCTTACTCTCTATCCAATCTGTGTATTGTGAATGGTCATGATCAACGAGTGATTCAGTACTCTACTCGTGTTCTTGTTGCAGTTCGGTCTTGATCCTCATAATCCTGATTGCGAATCCTGATGATCTAAAACAAGGGAGGCGTACCTTGCATTTCGTCCAAGTTGACTCGTCTCCAAGTTCGAATGGCGTGAAGCCAGCCCGCAAACTCTTCGTGGTGGTTCCAAGACGCTCGGTAATGTACCCCGTCGTTCAACCTCAGCATGGCTTCACGCTCCAAACTGGCCACTACAGTCAGCTGATGACGCACATTGCGTCCAGCAGGTACATCGTCGTAGCACCACGCTCGCATGTCATGATCAGTCATCGGCATTGGATCTACAATAAACTGTCAGTATTGTTCGACATATCTTAAAACTTTGATACTATGAGCTTCATGCTTCAGCTGAAGCATGAGAGCAGATTTGTACCTGTTCGCTTCAGTGACTGAATGGAAGTTGAAACCTTCATTCAGTCAAGATGGACTATGATAAGACTAGATAGCAACATGATTGACCATAACTTCACTTTTATTTTGCACATGATCGGCGACTGATCCCCGTGAAAGCGATGCGTCTGATTGCTCTGGGATTTGGCCATAAAGTTATGTCAGCCTCAGGTTTTGGTGGGGCATTCACAAAATAGCCAGGATCTGCTTTGAATGTTTCAGCGGGACAAAGCTCTTCCAGTGTCAGGTTTATTCTCTGCAAGCGCAGTAGAGAATATGCAGGCAGATGAGCAGCGCTTTCACAGCCGGTTGAGCTTTTTTCAATTGCCCTGTGGGCTTTCCATCCATGCTTGCAGATGCCGGACGATGCGTTCGAGCTAATGTGAGAGGAAGAGGATCTCCTTTGCGGGTGCTGTAGTGGACCGCAATCCCATGAATTTGATCAAAATCCTGTTGAGAGAGAAAAATCTATACTGCGAATTGAGACTAATCTCTAAAAGCTGGTGCTGATAGGCCACAGACGAGGATGGTAAGTAGAATCTGGCTTTGCTACGGAGTTTTGCATGACATTCTTGCCGTATTCAGCGAATGTTGGCCTGGAACTGGTGGACGATGCATTCGAGAACACGTCGTTGAAACCTCAAGTGCTTCCACTCCAGCAAAACTCCTTACCCGACCTTCAGCCTTGTATTTGGCTTGAATACTGAGTTTGACTGCTGGATCGGCCTTAAAAAGCTCCAACCATTGCTACGAGGACAGAAATTTTGGATGAGCGCGTGGGGTTGGAATTATTACGCAATGGAAAGGAGATCCTTCTACGCGGAACACAAACACCTACTCGCTCGTTCATGGGCAGGCAGGGGCTTTGCATCAGTGCAATGCTGGCCTGCTCTTCAGACCTTCTGGCGTTCGCTACGAAACGTTGTCATTCAGAAGGTGGTTAACCGAACTCGCTAACGGGGAAATCTACTTCGTCTGTTGGACTGAGATATCAACTCACCAGTGTACGCGTCTCGTCATCAATGTAGCCATAGGCGAGCGGATCGCCGGAGAAACATCGCCACGTTTTACTTCAGAGATTTTCTTCATCACCCTCTCGAGCTATCTGCACAACCAGAGGTTCAGGCATGTACAGATCTGGCCATATTCTCGTTTCATCCATCAACTGTGTAATACCTCGAGCCCATATCCAAACTCCAAGCAAGTAAGTGAACGGCGGTAATTCGAAAGCTCTGTGACTTCAGGAAAGGAGTTAATTACCTAAGAAACATAATTCTGGTCTCGAACGTTCTCATGACTTTAGTTCTTTATATAATCTGAAATATATATATATATATATATATAATATTGAAAGAATGATAATTTGTAATATTTTTATGCAGTTGATAATATTATACTCTATTGTATGTTTTTTAATATAATTTTTTTACTTTATAATTCAATTTATCAAACCAAAATACATATTCGATTTATTCTAATTTAAATTTGAAATATTTTTATGTCATTTAATCAATTAAATATTTTAAAAATAAAATATTTAGTTTTTTTCATTGAAATATAAAATGAGAATATATGAATTTAATTTAATTTTAAAATATAAAATTAATCAATAAAGTAAAAAATTCAATTAAAATTTTGCTACTTATACAAGAAAAATTATACTGAATTTCCAAAAAAAATTATTTTAATTTATCTATGGTGTATATTTGTGAATTTTTAGCTTATTGATACTACAATGCTCCTTTGAAACAATTGTTATTTAAATATCATATACATACAATCCCTTCCTTCACAAATTTAGATTAATTTCAATATAGAGTGAGAATATAAAACACAATTAATTACCAGCAGAGATGTCTGGAATATTTATTGTGCTTCTCTAGAGATGCAATGGAAAAAGATCTCACTGCACATTACATTTCATTTTGATAGGATTGTAGATGGGTGAAGTGTGGCGAATAACACATTACAGTGATATTCATGAAACAAATACCTGTTACTCAAGCAACACAATTAATATCTATTTTACAAACATAGGTGCTGTTAGCATGTGACTCAAGTAACAATTTCAATTATTATTTCCGAGACATACTGATAAGCAAAAGAATATTCTTCGAATAACAGACTAAAATTTTATTTATCAAGCTTACAAATTACTTAGGTGATAAATAAAGATAAATTTTGTGCATCGATTGGTTTTTCATATTGAATAATCTTTACTTTAAATCTAAATCGATTGTTCAGAAAAATGTTGAGAATATTCATCTACATATTGAAAAACAATTTTATTCATTTTTTCAGTAAAATCTAATATCCATAACTGATTTCAAGTAACGAAATATCATTATAAGTAAACATATCATGATAAAAAGTTTTGATATTATATTTATATAATCAAATTAATCATAAATATTATAAATCAAATTAATAAAAGAAATATAAGAAAAAATTTCAAAATTTAGAAGAAACGATAGACATTGTTGCAAGGATGGTAACGCTATTATCGTACAATAGAGAGAAATTGGTGAAATATGCTCATAAGTGATTTTATTACTTGGAGTCAAGAAAGCTTATAAATTGCAATGTAGTTGCTATTGATGAAAATCATGCAAATAGAGTTGCAACACTTTGTGGGTAGATGTGTGGTATTTGAACATGTTTAAGCATTATTCAATACTGTTTATCACAATTACATACTTTAACCTTTATAGGACCTGGCTATCGGTTGGAGCTTGGAGTTTGCAAGATCACTATCGTTGATCATTAGACATCATCAATATGTGTTGGTCAAACATTTTTCATAATAGATTGGATTAGTATCATTGCGTGAGAATTCAAAGGAGGTCATAGTAGATGCATTTTAAGCATCACTGGTGAGTTAATTTGGTGCACCGGCCATGGTTTTAACCAATCAAGATATAGAAGTTCTGGATAAAGTTAATTGTCTGATCATACTTTAATTAATCATAATTAGCAAAAAGAGTTATATGGATGATGCAGAAAGAACTTAGAATTTTGGCTTTGATAAATGTTCTCTTGGAGACTAAGATATCCAACAACCATAGTTGACCATGACTTATTGGTTTAGACGACAAGTATTTTTGACGTCCTTTTCATTGTGTTTTTTCTTACATGGCAGAGATCCAAAGTTATTTGTAGCTATTTGTCTAGAACCAATTAAAGTCTTGAACTTGGATAATCTTAATGTATGATTAGAGAACATTACTCTTTCATAAAGTAATGCTTATGGCAATTTATAACCTGATCATCATTGAAATACCTCGTATTATGCTATCATTCGAGGAGTAGATTACCGATCTTCATATCAAATGTTTCACAATGCTAATTACATGTACTTGCAGGAGAGTGTACCGGTAACAGTCGATGTCATTGCTGGTCCCAGAACTCTACAAGTACTAGAGGATTAACCTTCTCAAGTCTCGGTGTTAAAGGATCGTGATCTGGATATATCATGGGCCTACTTGTGCGCCTGTCAAACTTCAAACATGGAAGGTACCATAGATCCAAGCAATGAAGTGGTGCAAGTAGGCTTGAGATGTATGCCCTATGGACAAGCTGGTGCATCTGCCAGTTTGTTGATTTAGGATTCTTGTTCGAGAGGGTTGCGTATATAATATTTGATACCTACTCTGAATGCAATACCCAGAGGGTAGTAAAAGTGTTCTCGACTGGATTTGCACGCAAGCTCATTCGATTACTTCAAGATATATATTACAAATAGACGACTTAGGATGAGTCATTACAGCACCTTGTGATCTTAGTCCCACGAAGAGCATATCATAAAGTAGATGGTTAACCTTGTGTTAGAGGCCCAAACGGCTAGTTATGGTTCATTTGTGTTGGTATATCAAGGATGTATATTTACGTGTATTGTGGTGTATGATTACAGTGCAATGTATGTTGAGATGCTATATGTATGTGCAGACCAAAGTATCATTCTGAACGTAAAGAGGTTACTCTATCAGGTGAAATGTTTTAGTACTTTCATTTGGCCTCTCACTCTTGGATACGGCGAGACTATGCCACAGGAAATAAGTGCAAAGGATATGACCATCCCACTGAGGAGCATTCCACAAAAGCCGAGACGTCAAACGTACACTCAGAGAGAGGAGATGAAATTAATGATTTGAATTTTTGCTCGCATTGTGTCTTCGAACGAATTTTGGGAAATTCGGCCACGTCCCAAAGCAATGCATCATATCGAGCTCAATTGTAGAATCACCTCGTAGAGTAAAACTCCCCCGATACATAAACTGCCTCCAGGCCATGAAGTCATCATCATGACCCGTAATCAAGAGGAGCTGAGTTCCCTGAATTCAGCTCAGCTTCTTGTCTGCTTAAAGATTAAAAGGCACTGTCCTGTTGACCTGTCTAAAATGTGGGAGTTCCACTCGCACGTCAAATAGAATTTATCTACACCCACTCGCACGCCATCACAGTTTTCCTGTTTCCTATCCATATCTGTATCAGATAGACATAAAAATTATTTGTCAAAATTGTTTTGTGAACACTCCGATTTTTTCCTGAAAAATTTTCTGGCATGAGGAGATGAACGTGTTGAGATCGACACGGACACTAGGAGTGATAATTTATTTGCAACTGTCAATGGATTGGTGAAATCTAGTCGACATAGCATCTGAGATGTGAGCAGTCTGTTCAAATCTTTTACATAAAGTCCATCTTGACGTCTCCAGAGATGGATACGATTGTTGACGGAGCGTGGAGAGATCTAATTGGTAATGAGTTTGACGTAGGGAGATCGAAGAAGGGCGATCACTTGGTCGTCCACTTTGAAGCTCTTCTTCAGAACTCCATTCGGTATTTGGGTGCCGAAGAGAGTGATGGGCAGGTTTATGGTGCCGGGATTGGGGTGGCCGAATGAGGACACAGCCTTGGCAACTTTGGTGCCATTGTTGAATTGGTGATGCACCATTCCTCTTGGAAACACGAACAGGTCGCCTTGCCGAACTGTCTCCGAGTAAAGCTTCCCGGTGCTGTCGACGAATGCAACGTCGAGAATGCCGTCCAGCATGTACATCAGCTCGGAGGCCCTGGGATGCGTGTGCGGAGGATTCACGGCTTGAGGCTGGAATTCAAGCAACATGACAGAGACTCCAAGAGAAGTGAGAGCAGGAAACTCTTTGACAGTCGCTTTCCTCGAGGCAAAAGTATTGGCTTGGCCTTTGAATCCCCTCAACCCGGTGTATGTGAAATACTTGCCATTCAAGCTCGTCGTGTTTTGGTCTGGAGGTATGAAAAAGTCGTCCGTCAAGTCCATGTCTGCCACCACTCTGCCCAGCGCTTGGTAGAAGAGCAGAATTATGGCCAGATACACGCTTGATTTCGAAGCCAGAAATTCCATGGCTCAGAATTCCACAGTCCAATTAGCTGTATTGAATTGTAGAATTTAACAGTCTGCATGGAAAGTTGCCAATGTTAGTCAACTGAGCACTGATCGAAGCAGCTGAAAGCAACGGATACCATAAGAACAAATGCACATAGAGTTAGTTGCACGAGGCTTTCTCGATCAGAATCATCCTCTGGACAAGAACCCGAAATCTCAAAATCCGCGAGGATATCATGAGCCATTGGATGCATCCCGTCTAAGTGCAAGAAGTCCTGGTAGCCTGAATCAAAACACACTGGACGTGCTGAAACTCTGAACCGTAATGAATGTCTAACTTGTATGGAAATCGAGATGAAATTACCAATTGGCAGGAATCAGTACCGAACTCGTCCGCCTCACGACTGATGAGTCCAAATGCACAAGTCTAGAAAGTTGCCTGAATCAGCTCAAGTCAGCCAGCGATACTCGTCAAGCTGCAGCTTTCAAAGCTCCCCAACATCAAATCAGGAAGTCCAGTTTAATCCTATCTTTTCATAGTACGAAGCTCGTCACCTCTCGGGGACGAATGTGCTCGAAAGTCAACGGAGAGCCAACAGGGCTATGAGACAGCGAGCAACAACAGGGGCTCTGTCCTTGGGATTCGACCTCCACCGATTCAGCGATGGAAGAGCAGAAAATATCCTTATGAATGCGGCGGACCTCTTTCGGGAGCACGATCGACGATAGATTTTTGTTGACTTTCACAGCCTCTAAATTGAAGGACTGCGCTTCCTCAACTTCCATGAACGAGCTCGGGGAACGAGTTCGATGGATGCTGCCTGACAATCCGCACTATTGGCCTCCATAACCCACTTGGGCCGATCGAGCGAGTGGACCAGACCAGCGCAGCGCAACGGCGCGAGATGGCCCAGCCAAGAACCGTGTGCTCTTGACTTCGAGACCCAGAACCGAGTGTTCACGTCGGAAAGAGCTTATGGATTGAGGATGATCGAGTGCGCACGTCCTTCCCGCTTTCAAGGAAAAGGTGAGTGAGTAAATGAGTCGATAAGTCGATGAGGTGGGAATTCCACAACCGACTTCACTTCACTTCATTGACAAGTTAAAATCGGCCTACATTTCACTCACTCCAATCACGCAATCCCACGTTTGATTTGACGTGCACCTCACACTCTCGATTGGATCCAACTTGGTATCGGGATTCCCAGAGATTCAAGTGGATGCAGAGAAGCTCGCCGGCTTAGTTTCATAAGCTGCCAAGACTCGCTTCTTCGCTGCTGGCTGCGCGACGTAAGAGCTTCTTTATAGCCGATATTTTAGAATATCATATCCACTCTGGACTTTCATCCTCCCTTAGCACTTATTGAGAGGGACCGAGCTTTTCAGGAGCACGAAATCTGTCGGACCTTAGAGTGAAGGAAGGGCCCAGGATCTTGATTTGCAAGGTCTTCCACATGATTGCGGTTCGTGCCTAGATCTTGCACGCATCCCTCGGCACCAATACGACTGCCATGGTTTCTGAGTGTCTATCTTAGCAAGGGATTCTCTACACAGATGAGGGGGTGTTGAGGATGACCTTTGGCCATGGCGGCTCTGGTGTGATGAGGTCCGCAGAAGGGTGATTGCAAAATGCTCGGGATGTAGCTTCCTTTCTGCTTAGCTTTACAGCATCCGAGGACGCAGCGAGGATGCATCCTTGGCAGAGGAAATTGAGAGGAGCTGGTTGAGGTCGTATTGGTTGTCATGCCGTGCATGCCATTCGTTCCGTCCGTCTCGAAATGCAGTAGACTGACAAGCGCTTTCAGAATCACTGCTGGGAAAGGGCTCTGCTTGTCAATGTCCGTCGCCTTGAGCCAATCCTTAACTTTGTGATGAGGGTTTGCAGACCGAACTTCCTCGGATGTGGTAATAGTCCTCTGATCGATCTCATACACGTAGTGCGAAATCTAGTTTTGGTACTTCCTCATCTTCTTCTCGATGCCACTTGCCCATCGAATTCAGAGCGCTTTATATTCCTCGTCGTCCCTGTGCATTCGAGGAATTAATGAGGACGAATCTGGTAAAAAGCTGGTGCCAATTTCCGTCCTTAGCCCCATCGCACTGCACTCTGTACGTTCAATCACGCGACTGAGCTTCTGAAGGATCTACAATGTGATGGAAGGAATGCCGAGTAGGACGTTAATGAGGAAAGTGATGTGCGAGCAGTTTCAGATACAGACTCGCACCTCAGCCAATAAAATCAGACGTAGAAACTGATTCCTACAGAGTAATCTGCCCCATGTAATGTCACATCCCACAGGGGTCCAGCTGATTCCTGATTACTACCCACCTGATAATTCTTCAAGCGGAGATCCCTTACTACCCAGAGAGATTTGAACCTCAGATGTGTATAGTTCGTACAATTGAACCACAATTTGATTCCGAAGAACCGAGATCCCACATTATACCTGTATTTGAAGTCTGTAGTAAGATGCGCTCGGTCCAAGTGTAATAGATGTCGACACTGCTGTCCTAAGTTTATTTTGAATCATCTGGATATCTTTTGCTTCTACTGACGTACTGAAATTCCTGTACAAATCGTTTGATCCGGTGCAGCTTCGTATTAGAGTCAATCTTGCAATACAGTGAACCGTTGCTCTTGAAACTCCGTTCCGAAGCAAATAAGTGAGAAATAAGAATAAATGGAACTTAAATTCCAGGAAAACTTCGAAGCGGCCACGGGACCGAGAGGCGAAAACAATCCCATCAAACCGAGAATCTCGAGACAAAAGCCAGTGATTTAGCAGCAAGCCAAGAATCATTTAGAAAATGAAGTCTGAGTTTAGTAGCTTCGGATTTCAGTAGTGCTGAAGTGTACTTACGAAGTGCTTGACAGTTGCGCTGGTAAAAAGTTCCGCAAATATCTGCAGCCAGTGAATTTATTTACTGCCTACACGAAGTACTGTACTTTCCTGAATTAATCTGAAAGTCAGATCCTTGGTTTGAAACAAGCAGCTGTACTCAACTTGAAATATCACCTGCAGGCGTGTCATTTGAATATGTAAAGAAAAAACGGGTCCTTTTGAAGAATGCCGTGATTGATTCCATCCAAACTTGATTGTGAATGTGGTAACCCACTTTTTTGTTCTTAGTTAGAATTAAAACATTTTTGAATAATAAATATCAAAATAACAACTTTAAATAATAATCGGTACACAGAAACAGAGTAAAAAGTGAATCTCGAGATCTAGAGTATCCAGAGCAGTCTAAGGGTTTGGGCTTAGGCCACAGTCAGGCGCATCGGATGTAACGGAGAGTTCATGCTGCAATACCTGCTTCAAGCGCTTTCGGCGGTAGATCCCTCATAACTTTCTCAATTCATAACGCCTTGACTTTGTTAAGGTCTTGTTGGAAAAAACTCGACACGCTCGTTCTAACGAGCCTAAGAACTCTTGAAACGTATAAAGGATCACTAAGTTATGAGTGTCGAAAATTACTGATATGGGAGGCTTTCGGCGGTAAAGCGATTTCGGCGGTAGATTCCTTTGGCAATACGCCTTCGGCGGTAGACGCTTTCGGCGGAATAGTTCCTTCGGCGGGAAAGTCAATCCCTCATAACTTTTTCAATTCGTAACGTTTTGATTTAGTTAGTGTCTTGTTGGAAAGAGCTCAACACGCTTGTTCGAACGAAACCAAGAACTCTTGGAACGGATAAGGGATCACTTAGTTATGACTGTTGAAAGTGACTGATATGGAATGCCTTTGGCGGAAGATTTACTTCGGCGCAAAGGCCTTCGGGGCAAGGGCCTTCGGCGGTAGACACCTTCAACGGTACGCCTTCGGCGCCACGTGGCAAAAGATTCCCGATGGCGGAAATGGGCGGGATTATGTCAAGTGTGGTAAGCAGGACGGCGGGGCGTGAAGTCGCACATGGCAAGCAGGCCATTACCCATAATTGCGGGAACGGCATTCAAGCGGCCTGTCGGTCCCCTGGAACTCGGATTTTGGAGAATGAATTTTGGCCTAGGGTTCAGAGATCTTGCGGGGCCCATATCTTTGCGATGGACGGTTGGATAGACCTGAAATTTGGTGGGGCCGTTAGTCTGAGCCCGCCACGCATGCGTGCAAATTTTCAGCCTCAGATCTTGGTTCTAAAGCTGTTAAAGACGCTGGCAGCTCTGTATAGTAGAGTTAGGGTTCAGTTTAAGGGTTAGGGTTAGATTTAGGTTGTAAGTTATAGCAGGCCACCTTAAAAGGGGTAATATCCACATTTACCCCTTTTAGCTTATATAATGGTCGCCACAAAGCTTAAAAGGGGTAAAAGTGGAACTAATGGTTTATTTGACGAATTAGGCTAGTTTTGATAGGAGATCAAACTGCCGCGGCTGCATGCAGCCTTCCAACGCCAGATCGGTGAGGGACATGCGGTTTGCATCCTTCTCCCGGCCGAGAATTGAGAAGCTGGACTCCACCGAAGCAGTGTTTGGAAAGATGGTGGCGATGCCACCGCAGAAGTCACGCAGACCACGGAAACGACCCTCGACGACCGCCCAACCTTCACGAAATGACGTATCGTTGTTGCAGCGACCAAGCGCGTCGTGAAGCGACGGCTCGTTGTCGAATGCAGTGATGAGTTCACGGTGATCTTGTTCGATGCGATCCATGACGTTCTCGCCCAGCTGAGCAAGTCGTCCGCCGTGTTTGTTGGCGAGTGCAGCGAATGCGGCTGGTCGAATCGCGATAAGCTGGTGGGGCAGCACCGGCGGAATCTCCTCCTCCGATGGTAGGTTGTCAGCGTCCCGAGAAGCGACCAGTTGTAAGATGCCATCGATCATGCCGACAACGAAAGTACCCATCTCACTGAACACCTCAGCACGCTGAATGACGGTCATGGCATCCAAGACATGCTTGACGAACGAACCCTGGTCAAGCAAGAACTTCTCGACATTGCGATGAGTGATCGACCACTTACCACAGATTGCCGATTGCGTCTCGTCGGCTGCAACTTCTCCTTCGACGAGCGGATTCACGACCTCAACCTCGCACTTGATGCAGATGATACTGACGACGCGTTCGATCTCGGCGATCTGCTGCGAAAGCAGCAGATTCTTCGACTGCAGTTTGACGATGGCAAAGTTCAGCTGCGTCATCACCGCACACACGCCTGCAATGATTGGCCACCACCAACGGGGCAGCTGCAGCTGCCCTGGCGCGGTACGACTCGCAAACCAGGTCTCCAGGTCGATGCGATGATCGAGTTGCCATTTGGTCCAGACGCCTAAGGCCAGCCAGCGAGTGGTCATCTTCGGACAGGTCGCACCCATATCGTCGATCAGCTTCTGCTGTTTACGCAAGCAGGTGGCGACCTTGTTGATGATGCATTGGAAATCGCCGTCGAATAGAGCGAGTAGATTGCGCTTTGAGACCAGGTCAACCTGATGAATCAGGCACCAAATACGGTACAATGGATGAGTGGCCTCACGCTGAATGCGTGCGACAACGCCATTGTGACGGCCGGTCATCGTATTCGCACCGTCGGTGCTGACGCAGAGAAGTTTGTCGCGCCAGCTGGGACAAACGACGTCCAGGATCTTGAACACGAGCAACGCCATGTTCTCAGAGGTGTGCCGGTCGAACATGGGCATGGATATCAAATGCAGGTTGAAGATATCGCCGGCAACGTGCAGACGAATTAGTTGCTCGAAATACGACAGGCTCAAGTGTGTCGAGCTGTCGTTGGCTAGCGAGAATGCCCAGGTCTCGCTACGATTCAGAACGTTGCTGAGCATCTGCAAGCCGGCGCTGACGAGGATACGGGCATAGTCGCCAACCAACATCTCGTTGAGCGTGCCTAGCTTTGCGACATTGCCGACCTCCCGCGTGGCATCAACTGCACGTTCGATCTGTCGGAACGACATACCTATGGCGAGGAAGCGCGCTGTCAATTGAAATTGCATGGCCCTATTGATTGTAGACGTATAATGGTACGCGCCGTCGGACTCACGATCCACAACCTTCTGGAACAACTTTACGGCACGGCGGTATGAGCTGCTGTCGATCTCGTCTTCGTCGAAGAACGCGGATAGAATGATATCATCTATGATGGCGGCGTCGAACGAGAAGGTCAGCGGAGTGCTCGCATTGCCCAGATGGGCATGCAAGGTATTCTTATGCTCCATCTTGTCGAGGAAGAATTGCTTCTTGTCATCAGCATCGGCAGCATCATACAGTTTCCAGGCTGTGGGATGCTGTTGAACATGGTGTTTCACGTACGCGTCGCTTCGGAACACTTCCCAGGTCTTGCAATTGACAGTCTTCTGTCGCTGACGTTTCTGGCCGACAATCTCCTCTCGTCCGTGGTAGACACAGAACAGGCAGCGCACAGATTCGACAGCACGGGTATGCACATGTCGCGTAACGATCTTGAGACCGTATTTCAGCTCGTGGGACAGAATGAACGGTGTCTGCGCTCTCTTCGACTTCGCTACAGTGGTTACAAGCGTCCTTGACGACATCGACATCGATCGGTTGACAACAATTTGTAAAGGCCGCAGTTCACTAAAAGGGGTAAAAGCCCAAAGCTTAAATGGGGTAAAAGGGGTAGTGCGCGGCCTCTTTACCCCTTTTAAGGTGGCCTGAGTTATAGAGGAAGGCAGCCGCCGACTCCTCAGGTGTAGGATCTGTTCACGGCTCGCATTGTAGCCGATGAAGTGTAGAGTGTTAGTTAGGATTTTAGATGACATAAAGTAGTTAAGGGTGTCTTGCCCTAGGGATTCTTCCAGTTTCGAAAGTGCAGATCAAGGAACTCATTTTCTGTGCGCGTTTGTGTCCTTACTTATGTCACCACGCACGAGGAGCTACAGCTTGACGAAGTTACCGCATTTTGTAGCTGAAGGACTTCGGCCAAATACTCAGAGCTAGTGTGCTGGTCAGATACTTGAGCAATTCGGACCTACACTTGCGGATGAATGCTGAGTGCTCAGAGCTAGTGGACTGGTTAGACACTTGAGTAGTTCGATCTTACACCTTCGGGATTTTTCCCTTGAATGACAAAGTGAAGTTTTGACACTTTGAGTAAACCTTGGTTGTCAATTCAGGTTACGCCGTAGAAGACACCTTCGGGATTAGCCTTTGCAGTACTTCTGGGAATGACTAGTGCTTGAGAATTCAAACTCGTCAATAGACTGTTCTGGTGTGACACTGAATCTTTTGTCAGTTGAGTTTCTCAGTTCGGTTCCTGTATTCTCTGCTCGTTTTGTGAGTTGAGTGTGTTGTTCACCGTATGAGAGTGACTTCGGTTTGGCAAAGATTTCGCATCCGAAGTAGGAAGTTCAACCTGGGCGCTCTGCTCTAGCAATTAGAATTAACAATCCGGAGTTGGGTATCACTACCTGCAGATCCTCTGAATGTACTCGTGAGAAACTTTCCCCCTGAATCTTAAGGAGGGGTACTAATCGGCCTCTGAGTTGTGCTTTTCCAGTTTTTGGTGTGTGTTGGGATAAACTACGCTACACTTTGCGTCCTCCGAGTGACTTCCGAGTTGAGCACTTGCAGTATTTCTTGGACTGACAGTCGCCTGAGAATTCAAACTCTTCAATAGTCTGTTAAAACGTGACACTTTGTACTCTATATGTTGCCTTTGTCCCTTTGGGTTCGAACTTTTTGCTGCTATACTGCAGTTTTAGCCTTTGGTGGATTATTATAGTGAAGTACAAGTTAGAATTTCCGCCCATAAGTAGGCCTACTGAATTGCAAGAATTTGCAGCTGAAAGTAGAGGCTCAGGTTGTGAACACCTGGTCTTCGAGTCATTTTACTTCATGGGTCGAATCCGGTACTAAACTCTTGATCGACAGGAAGCCATGACTTCACTTTCTATGCAACTCGTGTCTAGAATAATTATTACACAACATGGTGTAATCATAAAACTAAACATATATACGGACTCTACACAAGAAAAAACCGTTGCGACATTGCAATGATCGCCTGGATGTTTAATGAAGTGAGTAACATTGCCAAGAGACACACTCAGATGGTCCACTTGAAAAAGTTAGATAGAAGAAAATCTCAAATCACCACTCGATTGGTGCAGCGAGGAATACCTTACCTAGATATGAAACGGATTGTAAGATCTAGATTATATTTCGGCTCAAAAGCAAAACGGAGAAGACTAGACTCTAGTCACTAGAGTCTCCAGTTTTCATGTTGAAGTCGTGAGCTCATGCATGCATGTGAGCATGACTAAGTCATGCTCACGTCATCCTTTGGATTGTCATGCAAAGTCGCAACACGAGTCCAAACACACCTCGTCTGAATCTGTTGACATCGATGATGCTTTCTATACAGCGCAGTTTCAGGAAACTTCTGCATCTATAATGATGAGCAACTGTGGTGAAGACGGGAGTAGCAAAGCTCAACAAACGATAAATTCATGGAGATACTGTCACTTCCTGTGAACCCAAGTACGTGGTCACAGCAGACCAAACATGGCATATACCCAGTTCTCTAAAGTTTCTACGAAGAGAATTCACCTTCTAAGAGATGAACTTGATCACATCAAACCAAGAATTTCAAAGATTAGGACTTCTCGTGTGAAATTGAATTCGATACTTCACTAGATTTCTATGTCGATGCAAAAGAACATATCAAGACGAGAGTGGTTGAAGAGATAAAAAATGGAACGGTAACTTTATGACCAGAAAAGATTTGAACGGGAGGGACCTTCGTCTGTGAGTTCGGTTGGTTGTGGTATGTACATGGTGGTTAAGTTTTTTGATCCAACAATATACACGGGTGGAAATGAAGATGGGCTAACCTAGTCGATAATAAAATTATTTGCAATGCCAAATATAGGGATTCCAAGGATCCGTACCAGATACTAGCCGATCCTTATAAATCGAACATGATAAAACTGTGTTCTCAAGAATATTTTTTATGGATATCCAAGCTAGCAGTCATCTATCTCAGCCAGGTATGGATGCTGTAATCATGTGCAGAATCAAGCAAGCCTCAACAGACGTCGATCGTAAATCGCCTCCATTTATCCCCGCTTGCACAAGTTCATAGTCAGACGGTACTGCGCATGCAATTGATGGTAAATTCCAGTGCATTCCTTCCTTCGATATTGGCGAGACATACGTGGCATGAATTTCTAATCGCTTGTAGATACTGTACGAAACTGGAACACAATTCATCTTCAATCCGATTTCGACGTGACATATGAAGGTGGCTTCATTCTGTTGGTTTTGGACAGGTTGCTGCATTATCTACACTCACAATCGCAGCTCTCCGAGCGTGACAAATGCATCGTTACAAATTCAGAGGAGAATCATCTGGAATGCAGATACGTGTCAACTGGTATTCAGTATGAATACTTAACAATCAGCTTGAGTTCAGTCTTGTTTCTTAACCTCTTGTTCTTCTATCTGATATTGGGTGTCGCGTACGTCAATGTAATGTTCACTGTAATGAGATCCTTTCATAATTACATGTATATTGAGCAGTGCGACTTGCAGATATAACTTCATTCAAATTGTGGAAATGACAGTGGAAATTCCAAATAAAATTAATCCATCCTCTCATAACAAATATTTATAGCTCGGCTAACAAGTTCATTTGTGAGAACTGAGAAACTGCAGGAAAATCTGTGTACGTAGGTTATTAGCATCTGTAATCAGCTCGACTTCGGACATTTTCAGAGAATCAAGGCTAGGCTGCGGGACAGCATCGATGAAAAAGTATTGACAGGCATGATCTGTTGAGAGATCCTGGTTTCGAAAATCAGAACACTTTCGAAACTCCTTGCGAAAGGATATATAGCCCCATCATCGGGAAGATCTTTAAGCTTATTTCCCGAATCTATTTCTGATAAGTCCAATACAGTGAACGAATTTCATTCAGAATATCAATGGTTTGAGATCTTCGACTGTGGATCCTTTAATATCAATAGACCACGCAGATTGCGTCAAACTTACGTCGAGTAAACGATTCCTAGTGTACATGTGAAAGTCTCTTACTGTCAACACAGCGTGCAAATAGCACCAGAACCTACTGTTATGGTTCCACTGTAGAAGAGTCGAATCTCTCACTAAAATCAAATGATCGAATTAATCAGAATACGCGTAGATGCGCTGCACTTGCCACCTCTACTATGAAATTCAAGCTACCTGCGGTATAATATTCTATTGACATAAAATTTTGCCTCTACTGCTACTGCTACAGACATCATTGATTGCTGTCAATCAGCAACTTGCTCATGATGGACTCTAAACTTCCCGTATGCAAACTTAAGAACGAGACGCCCATGTTAAGCATGGATGGTGGAACACTCATATGAGCATTCTGGAAACTGCGTCTGCAACTAGGACTTCCATGTAACCCGAGCCCCGGGCTCAAGTTTAGAATTCGATTCTGCACTGTCTTCCTCTTTCGCTCCAAATTTTTCAGCAGATGATCTATGGTAGGAGAATACTTGGAAGATGTAGATGTACAAATTGAAATTTACAATACATTCTAAATCTATATCTTGGTTCTAATTGCTTGCTCGCAGCATCTTAGAGCTACTGAATCATTGCACCAACTCCAAACTAAAATGAAGCTGGTGCATTTCTAACTGTACAAAAAGTGCAAAACTGCCTAAATCTAGAGATATAATGAAGAGGAAGATGAGATCTATGAGATTACTGGACTTCTACTCGCTGGACTCGTGTTCACAGGACTAAGATCCACAGGCGTTCTCCCTCGCCACCACACGTTTGTTGGAGCAGATTTCAGCTTCTCGCTGAACACACCATAATTCCTTGTATACGTTCTGTCTTGCACCTTGAAGAAAGCATGCCTGACTCTCTTGTTTCCAAAGATGATCCCTGTCACCAACAGAGCTCCTATCGCTATTCCTATCTCCAAGGCGAGGATGCTCACATAATCTGTAAACTTCTCGCCATCTGATCCTCCTCCATCAGGCAGCAATGACGAAATTGTGGGCGCCGAATCGACCTCGCACGGCCGCAGGATTTGACCGCACAATAGAATATTCCCCAGAAAAGAAGAATTGCCGTACCGAGTCGCATCTATACGGCCTGAGAAATTGTTGAAAGATACATTCAGCACTGCGAGTTGCGTGTCCAGTATGACATTTACGAACGTCGTAATATTTCCCGAGAGCCCATTCTTGGAAACGTCAAGCTCCAACAAATTACCTAGAACATTCAGCTGCAAGGGAAGGTTCCCGGTGAGATTGTTGTCCGCTAGATTCAGAACTTTCAAGCCTGCCAGCGTCCCTAGCCCTGATGGAATCGGGCCCTCTAGAGAGTTCCTCGATACATCAATGAGCGCTAAATAGTCAAAGATGTATGTTTCATCGAACGATCTCCCGTTCCGAGTCACCAAAGTCTGCTCATATATCAGATTCCCCAGCCCAAGCTCGGATTTTTCCGGCTGTTTGTCGGATCTAACAGAAGAGTTCGAGAGGGCCACAAGTTGCGTCCAATTGGTCGGCAGGAGCCCCGTGAAGTTGTTGAGTGACAGATCCAAGACATCCAATGAAGGCAAGCTCCAAATCCAGTCTGGAATTCTGCCCTCAAGTCTGTTTTCCCGCATGGTGAGAACGCGCATAGCAGGCAGCATGCCGATGGAAGAATAGCTGGGAATCTCGCCGGTCAGCCTGTTGGAACTCAAGTCCAAGTACTCCAACTTCGTACAGTTCTGCAGCTTGAGGTTGTCGAGGGTTCCGTTGAATTTATTCTTGGACAGGTGCAATGTGTGCAGCATGGGAAGCCTGGATAAATCCACATCGAGCTCTCCGGTGAAGTTGTTCCAGTAGAGTCTCAGCAGCTGCAGGTTGGTGCAGTTGAGAATAGATTTCGGAAATCCTCCCGTGAGATGATTTCTGGAGAAATCCAGCCACAGCAGCGATGGAAAAGTTGCCCCCAGATCTATTGGAATCGTGCCCGTCAGACTGTTTCTCATTCCGATGAACTGAGTGAGCTTCGTGCAGTTGCTGAGCGCAAGCCAAGGAATGTCACCGCTGAAGCCATTGTTTCTTTGAATGTGCAGTCGTTCCAGATCGCGCAGTGATCCGAGAGAAGATGGAAGGGAGCCGTTCATCTTGTTCTCGCCCACGAGAAGGAATTTCAGCTTACTGCAGTCCCCGATGGACGCGGGGATGGGACCTGTCAGATTGTTGACGAACAGGTGAAGTTCCTCGAGATCACTCAAAGCACTTACCTCCGAGGGAAGGCCTCCAGTGAGATGGTTGTTGTCCAGCGCAAGAATCTTCAAGCTCGTACAATTCCACAAAGCTCTGGGTATGGTACCAGTTAAGTCGTTTGAAGAAACGCTCAAGATCTCCAGGAAACGAAGTGCACCAAGCGTCGATGGAATGGGTCCTGAAAGAGAATTTGATGTCAGATCTATTGCTACAAGATCGGTGCAGTTTCCTAGCGACTCGGGAATCTCTCCTGTCAAACTGTTTCCATCGAGCTCGATGTACTGCAGTCTCTTGCAGTTCCCAAGAGAAGGTGGAATTGAGTCAGACAGATTGTTGCCGTAAAGACTCAGAATGGTCAGATTTGTCAGCAGACCCAGCTCCTCAGGAATGACTCCTTGAAATGAATTTTCCTGTAAAGACACCTCCTCCAGATTTGTGCACTTCACAATGGACTCTGGAAAGTCTCCACCCAGAGGATTTTCCCGTAGATCTAATATCCGGAGATTTCTGAAAGCACTCAGATCAATATTGAATCCTCCATCCAGGCGATTATCTCCGAGCACAAGAACTTGAAGGTTGATCAAGTTGACGATGGAGTCTGGTATCTCTCCCGACAGCAGATTGCTTTCGAGATTCACGACCATCAATTTCGTGCAATCGCCTATGGAGGCTGGAATGCTGCCATTCAACGAGTTGTTCTGGAGATAGAGGATCGTGAGATTTTTCAGTGCACCCAGCTCAAAATCTATGCCACCAGTAAGCTCGTTGTTTCCAAGAGCCAGATACTCAAGGTTTTCCAACTTCGCAAATGAAGTCGGTATTGTGCCCGTCAGAATATTCTCGAACAATCTTAGCCTCTTCAAGCTTCTACAGTCTCCGAGCTTGGCCGGAATCGTGCCTGTCAAATTATTCCTGAACAGCTCCAGTGTCCGCAACTTGCTGAGCAATCCCAGCTCCTGCGGGATGTCTCCATTCAGTAGGTTGGAGTAGAGTCTCAAATACAGAAGCTCACTGCAATTCCCCAAGCTTGAAGGTACGCTTCCCGAAATGTTGGTAAAAGCAATATGCAAATTCTGGAGGCTCTTACAGTTTCCAAGCTCAGAGGGGATGCTTCCAGAGATAAGGGGGTTCCTACCCAATGAAAGGGAAGTAAGATTTTGAAGCTGACCCAAAGAAGACGGAATTCTGCCGGAGAAATTGTTCTTCGTGAGATCCAAAGTCACAAGGTTGGAGCACAAGCCGAGGGCTTGGGGTATCTCCCCTAGAAAACTATTGTTAGCAAGGTTTAGGCTGACTAGTGCAGAGAGGTTGCCAATTTGAGGGACAAGAACGCCTCTCAAGCCCAAACTATAAAGATTTAAAGACACTACTCTGTTATCGCCGTTACATTCCACCCCGAGCCAGGAGCAGTGGGCTTGAGGGTCCTCAGCAGCTTCAGTCGAGTTCCAACTAGAAAGTAGACTTTGCACATCACGATCCAATCCGTCTTTAATCTCCAGAAGTGTCGAGCTGCCAATCACCAATTGCTTCATATTAAAACCCTCTCCTACTTGTACAAACTCATAATCTCTTACTCAGCTGCAACAGCAAAACTTTTGGCATCTGCGATTTCCTATCTCGACTGCCGTGTGAATATCGGAGGTCCATGTATGGTATATGAAATTACCTGTCATTAAACTCAGAGGCCTGCGCTGGAGCGGACAGTGGTAGTGGAAACGAAGCTTGTAGAAGCTGTCTTTGATATTTTCCTCCTCCGCTAGCCTTTCCTAGAAACTTGATAGTTGCTTCATCGGAAGCGTCTCCATTTCTCGTAGTAGCAGGTTTCTTGCTGGCCCCGAATTCTGGAATTTCCTGTCCATGGTCCACATTTTCAAGTTCTTGGGCAAGTCCAAAATCAGGGTCGCTTATGTGAGTCTGGGTTGCACCTATGACCACAGAAGGATGACTTCCAATCACCAGACCACAGAGAATCCCCAAAACAAAAACTACACGAGCTTGAAACTGGTCCATGCTGTATCCACCGTCCCGACCCGTCCAGCTGCCTGTCTGAGAATGAGACGATCGGTTTGCAAGTCTACGCTATTTCCAACTCAAATCCAGACCAGACCAGACGAGACTCGTGTAGGATATCGAGGGGTGATTTGAATAGCTCTGCATGGAGCACAACAAGACCATCGAATCGACTGCAATCGAATTCGAAGGAGGTATCCAGGAGTCATGAGCAGGCCTAATCTACTCCCCCTCACGCTGCATAAGCGCAATCTATAATAAATCTATGATTTGGCAGATCTGATCTATAGATATATACATCAAATCCTCATCGGACTAGGCCGAATTGAGGTACAGATCTTTTTTTGTGTTTTTCTCGGCACTGAGACCTCAGGGTCTCTCGAGATCCTGAAGTGCACGAAAGTGGGTGTCAGAGTACACCGATGAAATTATATACATGCTCGTATCTATCCCCTTCACTCAGTGAAAGAGGAGGTCTAGATCTACCCCATTAGGCAGACACAATTTCTTACAGGGACTGTCCACACCATCCCCATCTTCACTGCCTTACATATATGAGTCTGACTTGGTAGAAAGCTATTCCTGCCTAGGACGACTTCTGCGACACAGCTTCTAACACAGCTCAATCAATTCCTGACAGCTCAAGATGGTCCTGGCAATTCCTCCAAAGTGGGAAGTCACTGCAGGTACCGTCCTCGGGACTCGCAACCTCCGCAGTGCAAGGATACACTTGACTTCGTGACGTGAGGGCTTGCATGGCGCATCGTTCCATCGTTGTCTAGTGGGGAACGAGGAGACCGAGTCCACCATAGATTCATATGCATATGCTCACTAAGTGGTGCAGCTGGGCCGCTGGCTTTGTCAAAGCAGCGAGTCGGTCCCATGGGCCGATTGTGAAGGAGCGTATCGCGGAGCCCAGTAGCTGATCGATCGATCGATAGTTCGATCGGAACTAGAGCCGGCATTTACGTGTTCTCTCAGTCTGAGAAAATCGTCGCATTTCTGGATACTGTAAGGGTCAACCGTATGGGGCTGCGCAGTAGGGACACCATATTCAGACGAATCCCCATCGGTGACGAGGTCCCACGTGCTCCAGCTCCAGTGGACACTAGTGTAGCAATGGGACCAGCTTGCCCACAGTACTTTGCTGTACCTCGACGGCAGTTGCTCGACGACGCAAGGATAAGGCCTGCGATCAACTCCAGATTCCAGGTCACCTTCGAAGATCCTCTTCGTCATACACTGCATTCGAAAGCATTCGATTGCATTCGATTTGAGAGTTGTGGTGCCGCCATTGATGGGATCGGCTCAGCTGCAAGGCATCGAACTCGCTTCAAGCCAGCTCACAGGAGAAGGTCAGGGCACATCCCAATATTCTCTCAAATCTTTGTCCGAAAGCTTGGACTTGATCGTCAAGCCCATACGAGTGCATGTGCAGTCGCGGCACAAAGTCTTCGAGCGCATGTGACCCTTTCAACCTTCGAGGACCTTTTCAACCTTTCTGTAAATTCTGTTGTGCCAATTGTCAATTGGGGGAACCAACGAGAACGGGACGACCCCATCGAACCGTACGAGTATGTCAAACTGCATTTGACTTTGTGACTAAAGTATTCGTTGGGGGAGGATAATGGATGCAGACTTTGACTGAGTCTGCATCGATTGCTCGGTTGGTGATCGACCCAACCGCGTTTTGTGTATGTTGATACGATAGTTATGAATTGGTCGATACGTCTTTCTGATTGTACTCTTCCTCCCGTAGTCTAATAATGTCTGGAACAATTCCATCGTTCGTCATTCTCGATTCTTGAAGTTTCATTTAACAATTTTTTCTTTTTTTAATGAACGTGAATGTCATATATGTTCAGGCATGCTTTTATTAGCAGTGGTCTCAATTAACTTCATTTAGTCCTATCAGGAATGGTTGATTTAGGGCGGGGCCAAATGACAACATCATATCGTCAAGACACGTCGTGGTTTATTCTTCAACATATTCACAGAGAACACAATCTATTTTTTGTCATTTGGTATTGCAAACATTTTACAATAGTTAAATTGCACACTTCCAATTGCTGTGAAAAAAGAAGGAAGTGAGGGAAAGGAAGAGAGAGAGAGGGGGGGAAAGCAGCTGAGAAAGGGAGTTTTTTTCTGGAAGTCATCATCTAGACTTGTTGTTGAATGCTTTGTCAAAGATGTAGAATCTACTGTAAACGATAGAACTTGAGAAACAGCACCCAAGAATCATCCAAGCAACTCAAGAGAAACTTTTCGGCCTTACAATTCTTCTTCTTTTTTGTGGTCTACGTATTCTCCATATATTTCATCAAGTTGAAATCGTTCCATGTTTCATTTACCTCGTGATCTTGTTTCAGATACAATGCGTGAGGACGGATCGAACTACAAATAATACGTGAAGCCTTCAACAAGTTACAATTTGTCAACCTAATTGCAAGTTTCTTTGAAGCCACTTACATGTTCCAAAAGTCAAGTTTAGACATTGAAAATCCTCGTGCATATTGAAATTGTAAATACCATTGACCTGAGAGTAGTGCCAAACAAGATAGAAAGCCAGTATCTTTACCGCAGTAGTTTAACATTATAACCGTCACTTTGAAAATCCACATTCAACTAAAAATGCTGACCAATTTTCATACTCATTTTCATTACATGTCAAACGAGGATTAGCCACAAAACTGTCTTCTTGGTCCTTGGGACTTTCATTTTGAATGTCACTTTCGAAAGCTTTCAACTTTTTTCATCCACTTGTTTTAACGCTACGAGTACCAACTCAAAGACTATAGGATTAATTAACTTTCATCTGCCTCGGAACCTCTACTAGGTTGCCTGCGAGGAAGGATTACGTCTTATATGAGTCATATACACGTCTTTAATTTAGGCGTGACACCGCATGGACATCTAGGTAACCTATGCGTCGCGGCATACGATCGTCTATTTTACGTATGCTGCATATGTTTTATATTATACTGAAACTCACAGTGTTAAGCATATAAAACAATCGTTTGAAGCCAAATAAGAAGCAAATGGAGACATAGATGACAGTGAAAGTCACACCTAGCCCACAAGATATTAAAAGTCATTGGAGGAAGGGGAAAATATGCAATGCATAGAAACAACAGAAGAAGCAAATAATGCGCTTCTAGCTCCATGAATCTATATAATAACCTTCTACGAATGAGAAGGGGCTGAACAGCCCTATGATGCGACGCATGTGTGGTGGATGGAAGAGTGGAGAGAGGGTTAGTACTTCGTTCTGTGTACTAACCAACACATTTCTATCGAAGCAGTTCGAATCTGATATGCTTAAAGTTCTTAAACAATGTTAGCGTATTCAGTTTTCAATAACTTTATAAACACTCAATGCAATGGCATATAATATATTCTCACATCCAGTGTTGTCACTGTTTTGGAATTCTAATAGTTCGTTATATCCAACAATGACATCTTCACATTGTGTTTATTTTTTCATTAATTATCTTCTTATACAAACGACAATTCAGATTGTTTATGTTTCGTATTATATTTTACACACAGTTCTCAAAGACTGATATAGAACAACAGATCCTCGCGTGTGGTTGGAAACTGGGATTGATTCGTCCAAGCTTGTCGAGTTAGGCGAAGAATCTGCTGTTGTTTTAGTTTCGGCATCAGCCATGTTGCCAATGCAATGCTGTGGAATATATCCAGATCTACTCCTTGTACAGTGAGTGTATATGGACAAACATCAGTTTATTCTTCCCTTTTAGTACTCATTTCCCACTGACGGTTTGGCTTTATAAAAAGACTTTAAAGTGATTTTTAATTCATTATGAAATTTATATTTCTTCAGATCATTAAGGTGATACATTCCACTTTTATAGGAGAGAATAGTCTATATATCGTATTTGCGTGTTGTCAACCGTAGTAGACAGCGATAAGATACCAGGAAAAAAATAAAATATGCATCCTCGTTCCCTCAACTAGAAATCATCAAGCTCATAAACATAGGAAAACTGTCATTCGATCAGTGACTAAAGACAAAGTATGGGCAAAGTGCCATTTGAACACTATAACTACACATGTTCATGAAAATTGCCAACATGTCTCATAATGATATTCAGTTGTTGCGAGCACACATGCAGGTAAATATCAAGATCCAAACTTGAGCTGTATATCTAAACATGTGCAGAATATGTTTATTGATAAAATGAGTCATGGAATATGGTATGTCTCCATTCAGCTGTTTTTTAGAGATCACATGAAGAATAGCCATAGGATCGACAAAAGAGACACGTTATACGTAGAGTCCAAGCTAGAGTCATGATGACTCTAGCTTGGACTTGACATGACTCAGTCATGTCAAGTAAGCACAACAGAAATAAACCTTGGCTCTTCCATGCTATGTGGTTTACCTTAAAAGGTTTGATGACGTTCAACTTCAAATTTTGAGACGAGTACAGTTTCTAATTTAGCAAAACTGTTCATGATGGCATCATAGTGCTGAAATGATAATGATTATCAGAGAGAGAGAGAGAGAGAGCTTGGTATGCATACTTTTGGTGTATATAGATTTGGTATATATATATATCATTGAAATCAGAATTTATTTTATGAATTTCATTGTTATTCATCGCACAAAAAATTTATAATTATTATTATAAAAATGTTAAAGCTTTAAAGAAGTCATTTGCAAAGAAAAATCATAGGATATTGAGAAATCATAGGTAATTGACTTAGTTTAGTGTTACTCAAATTTCTAAGATAGATAGATAAAGGTTTATCTGTTATTACATAACAGAGTTGGTTGTAATTTCTCACTAAAATTTACTTTAGGACTTTCAATACAATGTCTGTGATCTTGCAACCCCTCAGAGATGAGACATTTATTTTTGCGTCCTTCCTATTGACTATTGTGTAAACCTACAGTTAAATTTTTGTCAACAAATGCGTTTTTGATTTTTGAAATCCTTTGTATATTTTCAAAATTATAAAACTAATATATTATCAGTCTTTTATTTTTTAATAAAATAAACTATATTAAATTTAATGATAATAGTTTCGAAAATCAAATCAAATCGTTGAAAATGATATTGAATTATCTGTGTAAATCTTCTAGACAAGTTATATAAGGTTCAATGATTGTTTGAACTAAAATTATCAATTCTAAAAATCTCTAATTTTTAATTTATTAGATATCTTCTTAAATTTTAAATTTTTTTTCTTTCAAATAGAATTTCTATTTTGAACTTTGATCAATACTGATTGAATCCGTTCACTTTCAGATGTCTAGCAATATCTATCAGGTCAAAGGTTTTATAGAAGAGGAAAATAGAATTTTTTTAATTCAGAAAAACATCACGAAAAAAATTGTTTTATAATTCTAATCAAAGATCCTTTTAACTTGAAAAAAGAAAATAAATTTTGTAAATAAAACAGCTAATAGAAAAAAATATATATATTTAATCATCATAAGATTATTTAGAAAATGTATTTTATATTATATTCAAATTTATTGCCAATTAAATAGATCAATGAAAAAAGGTTATCTAATTTTTCAAAACCATATTTTCTTACATATCAAAAATTATTGTAATATATTAGTTTGCTTCTCTTTAGTTCTCTATAGGAAAAATTCAATTTAAGATTATAATCTACTTTTCAAACATTAAAAACATATCATAAAACATTACGCAACTTTTGTGACGGTTAGTTCTGTTATTTATTCCTTGATTAGATATTTCTTAACTTACAAAACTTACAACGGTAATATTATTGAAGTAATTGCAAAGATATCATAAAATCATATTTGAAATATTCTATGACCTTGATAAATCAAATTTTGCTCAATTGGATACATTTGTACAAAAAAATTTAAAAATTACCGCTATTGCGCGTTGGTGAAACTAATGAAATCACTCAAAGATACAAAGCGATCAAGCATAATGAACACTGGATCACTTCAGCAGTTCTATTTCTTTGCAACTTAAACGCACAATATTCCGAAGAAAAATTTCCGTCGTCAACCATGCACCTTGGTTGATCAAATTGTTATTGACTATGAACTGCCTTTTTTTTTCATTTTTTAGCTATTCTTTATATATTTTTTACAAAATTTATAGTTTGTCAACTTTTAGTAGACTTGGAAATCTCTTCTAAACATTATTTTATGATAACTTAATTTTGCAATTAGTTATGATATGAATATGCAATATTCAACATATGCAGTTATGCTTACATTGAAAATGCTTTAACTGCTTTCAATCATAATAAATGCTAATTATCTTAACTTTGATATCGTAACTTTAAAAGCTATCAAGTAAGTATTATTTTCTTTTCATAAAAAAGTTGAACATTCAAGTATATATATATGTTTTTACAGCTTTATCATCAAACTGTTAATATAAGTTTTATCTATCATCAATGTACATGACTTTAAGGTTTGAAATTGATCAGTGCTTGAGCGATGAGTAAATTCCTATTTCGTTAATTCAAATATTTTATCCATTTATTATCTTGATTTAAGAAATAGAGATTTATTTTATTTTATTTTCTAATTTCTCTTTGAATTGTTTGACCATGTGCATGGAAATCTACAGTTCGTTGTTAACGTTGTATGCTTATTTAAGATTTTTGGACTTCATGTAATGTATCAGAAGTTTTAAAATGGAAATAAAAGTCGAAGTAAATCAAATATAGCTAAGTGATTCTTCGATCTTCCTTCCATTACGAGTTCAATGTTTATAGGTCTTACAACAACTTAAGTTATACTATACACTTTCTTGCTTGAAAGGTTGATGACAGGAAGCGATATGAAGTTGCTTATCGTTAAAAAAGTTGTGATGTGTCATTTGCAAATTTCTCACGAGAGATACCAAAATTATACGCTACTAATTTTATAATTTTCTAGTAAGTTTTCACAATGGATGCTGTTAATTTCATGTGAAAAACCAAAGAAGTGGAATTATTCAAATGATTAAGCAAATCCGATGGCGACATAGTCATCTCCATGCAAGTGCATGTGTGTAACAAGGATGTAACGTCCAAAGGAAGGAAGTTGGTACCAAAATTGTTTTTTGACATTTCTGACTTGCATGACTTAGGATCTTCTGACTGGTTTGCTTTGTATATGTAAGAAAGTTCACGTCATATTTGGCCTGCTGCCATTCAGGTCTTGAGATTACGTTTAGATTAAATGCATTACGTCTTAGATATGTTTGGGATTTGTTTGTAAATGTTCATACTTCGGTTCATTGAATTTAGACTCTTCATCCATCATGTACTTCAATTGTTAGTTACTCACGGATTTTTGGGCATATTTACCTTTCATGAGAGCTAGAATAATCACTAGTGGAAGGAATCTCTTAATTCCTGGATATAATCCCGGTGATTCGTGTGCCATCATTCCAAAGATTGATCAGGAGGAGCTTTGATTTACTATCACATTTCTTGAAGATTTTATTAAGTTCTGAGAAAGTCCCACAAAAGAAATCTTTTATTCTCTGTTCTACTCTCTAATAATTCGATCTCCCTGTTTTTGCTATCAAATTGAGTCGCTGGTAATCCTGGCGAAGAGTTTAACCAGATTAGACCGTAGAAGCTTTCATGAAGTGACTTTCTCATATCTCGAAATATTTTTCCTGCACGTACCATGATGTGATAAAGTGCAGAAGCCCGTCTCGACAGGATAGAGAACAAAAGCTAGATTTACAGATAGATTACATCAGGTCCTGAGCACAGAGACATGTGTGCTCGCACCGTAGACATGGGATTGGACAGGGCACACCCGATCCGTGTGGTCCTTCTGATAAGTAAGTAGCGCCATCGGGGCTGTCATGGACGACAATCTTAACCTCTCTTAGCTCAAAATTTGACTCTGATCAGAAGTTCTTCGGATTTCATGCTGCATTAGATTTTCGATCTAAATCCTGACTGGTTGACACTGGCAGACGAAACCTCTGACATCTTAGCAACAAACTCCTCAAAATTGGACCAGTTCTCGCCGGTGAATAGATCCTCACTGAGCCTCAAGTACGTGAACGACACGATCGTGTCACCTCCCACATTGTCACCATCGAACTGCAGAGAAGCGGTTTCGGAAATCTGATCGTACGAGGCGTCGTCGAACACGGCCAGAGCATTCTCGCCGGACATTCGGATGTCAGCCTTCCTGCAAGAGGCGGCTACTTGCTTGATCAGAGTCTCAGGGCTGCTGTTGGCGACGGCATCCTGCTGCGAATCTTTCATCTCGAGGCAGGTGAAATTGAACACGGTGTTCTGCCTGGCGAACAGCCGAGCGAAGGGCAGGTACCCATTCCTCTTCTCGGTGTTGTAGTACCCCACGCCGCACTCTGCAGCGTGCGATGGAGTTTTGTAGTGCCAATGGATTCCGGAGATTTTGGCCGAGAGCACGACTCCCTTGTTTTTGAAGACCCTGTTCGCCACTGTCAGAATTCTTTCTCCGTGTGCCAGCAGCTGGTCCGAGTACCACGACAGGAAGAACTGGCCGTATGCAGTTTTCCACGTTCCGTTGTCCTTCCAGAACCCGGTGTCCTGCGGGAGCTGGTTGTAGGTGCCTGCATCGGTCGGAATCTTGCCATACTGCGGCTTCCCGACGCTGGTGGCCTTCGCCTGCAAGCTCGTCACCATGTACTGCGCGTACAGACATTTCGCCGGTATATCAGGAACGTATCAGAGGACGTCAGACGTGACAGATCGCACGCGGGAATCGATCGTCACCCACGGTGGAGATAATTTCAGAGTATTTCTACCCATCTCAGATTCTCACTCACCTTGTCGTAGCATTGCAGCTCGCCGATTCCCGGGAACGTCCACTGATTCTCGGACTGCGGGTACGCTGGATACCTCAGCTCTCCAGCTGGTCCCATACCGACTTGAATCTCCTGCATTTCATTCAAGTAGATCGGTCGTCAGGGAATGAGAATTTGCTAAATCTTGTATGAATGGTTGGACCTCAGAATTTTCTAGGTCCCATATACGGCAGGATCCACACCAGCATTTCGCAAATTTCGCGCGTTCATCCTGCAAAATGCTTGAGGAAAAGGTGACTGTGAAGCTGTGATTCGGCTCTGGAGATTCTAGCAGAAAATGAAGGTACAGCTCCAAATTCGTGAGGCAAACGAAGGTGTCTACGATGGAATTTAAATGAGAGATGAGGATTGTCTAATGGTCCACCTATCCATCCACGCTCACAGACAGGGCCGATCCCTGATACTAGGAACAGAGTATAGAGATTGCCAACCATCCTTACGAGAACAATTAAAATATATGTGATTTAAAAAATGGAATGACAACTGCAAATCGAGATGAATCTGGTCTTGTACCCGTCCAGCACTAGGATTGATTTCGAACGTCTGAGCCCTGTACCCACCATGATTCGGCATTCATTGCACAGAAACAAAATGAAGCGAGTGTTGTTCGTGATTATAGTAGGAAAACTGTCGAAACAGTGTCACACTTACGACGATGACGTCTCCCAGAACGGACTTGTAGTTCTCTCGGAAGCTGGTCATGTAATCCGAGTAGCATTGCACGGGAGTCCTCCCGCGAATCACTGGCAGAGTATCGCACCCGAGAGAAATATATTCAGGGTTACGCCATCCCGATTGATCGGTGTAGAATATGTCGGGATTCCTGTGAGACTCCTCGAGAACCCAGTCAGGTAGAGGGATACTGCACCCAGATTCCACACAGTGTTAGAGAAAGTGCAATTTCCTGATTTCGAAGCACTTTCCTCCGCTGCAGTTGATCTGAACTGTGGAGTCTACTACAGAGCACAAAGTAGAATACAGTCAGAATTTTCAGGCAATGCATTATCGAATGGCATTCAAGCAGTAAAGGCCGTGAAGTTCCAGAAAATCTCTTTAGCCACAGGACGACAATGACGAGATTCAGATCGATGGAGCTATCTTCACAGCCTCAGCGCTTAATGGAGAAGAACCAGACATCAAAAACCTTTGTCTATCATTTCAGCGGGATCAGACGGATGCAGATCAAAAGACTGGAAATGGAGATTGGGGGCAGTTCGGAACATGCACTTACTAGACCCCGTCGCCAATGTTGCCTCCGCATTGATGGAAGGACATCACCGCTTGGAGTTTCAGATCATTATCTTGGATCACTTTCACCAGCCTATCGTACAACGACCAGTCGTATACACCGGGGGCGGTCTTCTCAACGAGCCCCCACCAGACATCCATCATCACTCCTTCGACTCCTGCATCTTTAAGCCTCTTCAGACACAAACTCAGCATCCATTGCCCCGATTCGGATTTCACCAGCTCGGCGCTGTCGAGAGGCATCATCACGTACACAGGCACACCGGATCCATGCCTCGCCATCTTGCCTCTCGGTGGCGATCTGACGATCTCCCGACTCTCGGTTCAAACTTCTCTTCACGGACTGATATCCATGTGCCGATCCTCTAGCTCTTTATAATTTGACTGCGCTCGTATTTGCGTTCGCGAGTCTCGTCGTCGCATTCGGATCTAGATGACCACGAGGGTACAAGCTCGACAAGTTTGCTGACCGCTGATTACATCAGTAAAACTCTGAAAAGACTCGGTAAAATCTTGACAATCTGTACTCATACGTATGTTCATACTCATACCTTCTGTCACTTCAACCCGATCACTTGCGGCAGTGGAAAACTTAGCGAAATAAACAAAATTTTATTATGATATCGTCATGAGTGTACATAACATCAGACCTGTATTGAATGGTGTATGCTTCTCGACGGCATTGGGAGAAGTTCGATTGTTCCTGTCTGGGTTGATGCATACAGCATTGCAACGTACGTAGTAATCCTAAGAGCATAGCACCTGCTATTATATCAGAGTGTCAAGACTTTAGCTCACGCCTCGTTAGCATGATATTTATGAATCAAATTTGCTCGAGTATATCTTCCTTCATAATCCTATGAAGCACAATTGGCCTACTGCATGTTTGAAGTGCTTCAATATTCACATATGATAGTCCAAGAAACAATGTAGAATAAGACTACAATTCTGATATTGTTGTAGTCACTTGTAGTATCAATATATTCTTGCTTTGAGAGATATGTGTTACACCGCTGTATCTGAAGGTAACAGAAGAATGAAGTGCTACACTCGGGAGGAGAACGAGTTTTTACGAAAGAGAGGTAGAATATCCAACCATAAAAGCTAAGCGACTGAACTATGAAGCTACTGTTTAAATGATGTAATTTTGGCAATGTACATAATTGTGATACATCACTTGTATCACGATCAAAAGGTACAAGGTTTTGACAATTGTTCGTATTGTACTGCAAACGGACACTTTGGGTATCACATGAAAATTCCAACGAGTCTTTCGGTCCTCGACCAGTCCTCGTCTCCTTCTGAAAACTTGTAGCTAAATCGAATCCAATGGCTCCGCAGCCTTGAAATTCAAATAAAGACTAACTCTGCAGCTCGATGCCTTAGTCTCGAGGGCCTACCATACCTTCCCATCAAACCACCGCAAACTATGATTCCTTGGAATTGGGTTGGGGTCAAGACAAATCCCTCGAGCTCTTTTTCAGGCCCTTTTTGCATGCTCGTCAACATTCTTCCTCTTTAATTATAAGCACAGAATTCAGCATATGGGACAGCTAGTTAGCGGACTCTCATTTCCCTCCCCTAGGAAATTTCGGACAAGCACAGCGAGGGATTAAACCACTTCCTAGGATTTAACCGACCACTCTGCTGTAGGTTCTCTAGCTACACACTCCGAGAGTGCTTTTTGGTGTGCTTCGCATATCGACAACTGTCCAATAGGATCAATAATTGCACCGTCAGAAGGCCAGGGAGGAGCAGGTCCATACTTGGTTGTTAGCGACTTTTCTCCACTCTGAATGTAACACCTCAACATTCGGTGCTATGAAGGATTAGGTGCGGCTATGTCGAACCTTGCATGGTGTGTACTCCTGCCTTCAGGAGCAGATGCTCACGCTCGTGGTCTATTCCATTTGCATTTGGCTGAGAGTGCCGTGCCGACCAGTATCCCTTTGTAACACCGCTTGGATATAAACTTTTGATTAGATCTGCAACCATTTGATGCTGCTGATAGGAGTGCCATGCTTCATTACTCTAGGTTCTGACGGTGGTGTCGTTTGTGATTGTCTGAATGCGAAAGTTGGAATCATCCGATTTCTTTGGTTAGTCTGCGTCTCAAAATAAGTAAGATGAACTTATATTATAATCATATGAACAGTTGTTTCAGTTCAAAATTCTGACAAAGCATTCTTTTATTTGTGGCAGCACAGATTATTGTGATGAAGTTTCAATCCGTATGTTAAATTGCATGAATTAGTTCATAAGGGATGGGAGTAATTCACTAGGTAAGTCAAGTCAACACAATGAACGGATAATACAAAATAGTGTGTATATACATATATATAAAAAAATAGAATTAATCTATATTTTTTGGGTTCACGCGACTTCAGGCGGTGTTGCAAACGATTTTAGATTTGTTTATTTCGTGATTTTTATATAATTTGAAATTATTAGAATCCAAAAATAAAAAAAGTTGCTATATATCCTTCAGTTTGGATTAATTATACTTCACCCTACTATATTATTGTGTGATGTAGTCTTCGCGAGCACAGGAAAAGATAAAAGTTGTGCACATTAGAGTAGGGTGAAGTATAATGAACCCAAACTCACTGATAACTAGACTCTCCAAAAATAAAATAAAATTTTGGCAAATATCTGTTTACAAAATTTTACACTACATACAATGATTGAATTTACGGAAGATTATGTTTTCATAAAGAAATTTGAATCAAGCTATTTGATAGACTACATGAGAAAGAATGGCTAAAATGCCTTTGTATTTAGAATGTACCAACATCATCGCAAGCTTGATCATTGTAAATTGAAGCTATATATATACATATCTTGCAGGATGAGGATAATGCAATTGGAAAGGCACAATCCTTGCAACTTGACTTGCACAAACTTGCAAAATTGATCAAGGATGTGACTTTATATGCGAGTATAATGGAATATTACTGTTTTATGCAATTTATATACGGATATGCTTTTCCATTGTTCCGTATGGATTTTCCCCACTGCAAGTAAAATTACATTACTTTCGATCAAAAAGTGAATGGGTTTATGGAGCAAGTAACTACTTCCTTCCTTATTATCACATGATTCTAAACTCATTTCGCTTGAAAGTAGAATTATTACTGGAAACAACAAAACTGGAGACCTAAGGCTGGAGATTCAGGACTTTCCTTTCTTCCTTATGTAAAATTTAAGGCCATGGTTGGAGTAAAACATAAGTCTAAACCTTAACCCTCCCAACGGTTTTTAAATGCTTCTGCCCAGTCAACTATATCATTATATTGTCCGTAAAGTGAAGGTTCAAGTAGGTCGTAGAATGATATGAATCAAATTTACTTGGGCTTGGAAAAGAGGGGCAATATATTCACTCCATTAGTCATAAATATCGATTTAGTCCAATGTTTCTCTTCGAACTACAAGGTTTAAACGCAGAAATTTCCACAAAGATAAAATTTTTACAGAAAAAATCCCAGTTCACATTTTAAGTACCTTGTAACATGATTAATACGATGGATAATTTTTTTTCATTATACTTTGTGCTATTAGAGCCATATATTAATAGATAACAGAAGCTTAGGCATACTTTTCATGTGGATCTCGTACTTTAGTTCGGAAACACATTGTCTCAAAACTCAAAGTGCATAAATACTACATGTATTATCAGTAGTATACAATATGAAATCAGTTTAGCTAGGAGAGATTCGATAGCAAATCACAAATACGAGTCATACACCGTTTGTGAATAGCAACGCGTTATTGTCAAAATTCTGGTGGGGACCACATTAGATTTTACAGTAGGACACCAAAGTGGGGCTTATACTCTCGTACACGAGCTTCTCGGGGTGGTACAACAACTCCCCCGCAGTAGAGTCAGCAGTAACATCTTGTACGCAGTACGAGATGAAGTCAGACATGGATGCAGCCCAACGTGAATCATGTGGCTACGACATCAGAATCGTCGTCTGAAAGCTGCTCGCTAGACCAACGAGTAATTATGTCTTCTAGAAACTGCAGTGAAAAGGCGGAAATATCGATGTCTAGGAAGTAAGGCTGCAACTTGACTCTGGTGACAAGACAAGACGTCCATTTCCAGGGCTCAGAAGCCGACAACTTGTTCTACGTCAACGACTCCAAGTCTTCGAGAAAGTGTAGCAGCTAAAGCTGCAGCATTTCCTTCACCTTGAGTTTTAGGGTAGTATCGGTGGGATATTATAATAAGAGATTTCATAAAAAGAGACAAAATCCATGCTCCCACTGCTGCATACTCCAGGAAACAAAACAATCAGGTTTGAGAGATATCTGGTACCAAAAATTATGTAAGAGTCTCCATTTTCACCGGAAAATATGTTTTCATTTTCTCAAGATGATCCCAAGAGTTTGAGATTTTTTTGTTGCTTTTATTTTTCTTTTACTTAGTCATCCCTGCTTTCTATTTTTTATATTTTGCAGACGTTCCCTTTTCTTTTCTTTTTGTCTCATGATGGATGCAATGAATCGGAACCTCATGATCGCCTTGCAGGTTTTTGCATGTATGAAAAAAGTGCTGAGGAACTCTGGGCACACAGCCGTCCTGGTAAGCAAAAAGGTATGCAGCACAAAAACGGAAATGGATTGAAAGAAGAGGAGACGATATACCCATTTTCGACTTTGACGGACGCATTCGGGATATATTTCATGGTAATATAGTTTTAGATCATAAGCGGTGTCCATGTATATGTCATGAAAAGATCCACATACACTAGAAAGACATCTAACGTAAGTCCAAGGTCTAGCTCCTATTATTTCCTACTAAGGATTTATCTTACATCACCTAAGATATAGGAACCATAAATGTTAAATTATTAAAAAGGGACATTGCATTATTGCATAATCTTACGTTATTCTGATAGTATGTTGCTTTATATGCATATATTTATGATTATCTAAAAGATGCTGATAAAGCTTTATTCCACCTTATTTTTGGTTTTCATTCTTCTCTATTCAATCATCATGTAAAAAGTTCACCTTGCTGTCACTTACCGTGAAGAAAAATCTAGGATTTATTTGTTTCTCTTGGTTCATCGTAAAAACATGTTTTCTCGTATTCAATTTTTTGAGCTATCTTCCACTTTACAAACAATACACACATTCTGCACCAAATTGATCACGCTGTGCATGATTGCTGAATAATTGATATAAAGTCTTATCTTCAAGACTAACGACTCACGATGTCAAGATAAAGGTTTTAATCATGGTTGGTTGGATACTGATTGCTTTTTATGAATTAAAGCTTCATAATATTATGTTTAGAAGCTTTTAAATCTCTTCATTTTATTTTCAAAAGATACAACATGAAATAATTTTCATGTTAATATGAAGATATATATCCAAATGAAATAAAGCAATAAATATGGATCACTTTTATCAACTATATGTGCTTCAAATTCTGCTGTGGAGTTCTCATTTGTTTCATGTGTGTGCAAGCGACAAAGACTTTTGCCGAAATAGAGATCAATTATTTTGTTTCCAGTCTCAATGCTCGATTAGAAGGATTAAGTAGAGTAATTTGATCTCTTTTGTGGATTTGATAACCAGCTCCTTGTTTTTGGTGAAGACTTCTGGCTGTTCTTTAGTTTTTTGACTCCGTTGTTTCCGCGTCGGTGTGAAACTTTAGCCAAACGGAAGACAGAATAAAGGAGGAAAGACTAGAAAAACTCCAAAGGATAAACCCTGCAGTATGAGAGACGTTGTGCCGAATGCTAATATGTAGAATTTGAATTGGATCTTGACAATGGCATTCGACGTGATCAAGCTTCATTTGGCGGGAGTTTTCTAGGAGCTCGATCCTACGCGAAAAGGTAGGTATGCGACAAAGCGCTAGAGATATGACAAAATGCACAAGCTTCGATGGTCAGAGGAGTTGAACAATGTAAGATACTACTGTTCAATTCATGAAAGGTAGTATCTTATCTTTCATGACAGTTAAAATACAAATTTTCATAACGTTAAACTCATGAACGCTATGAAAATTTTTATTTTAACAATTATGAATGATGCAACAAGAGTGCAAAGCATATGCTTCAAGGAAGTGAAGCAAAATGTGTAGAATCTAGGTTTGATCAAAAATATACTTCAAGCATTCAAATGGGATTAAGCACTAGATGTGAGAGATGGCAAAAGCAATGCACAATTTAAATTTTAGGAGTGATGTTAAAATTGGGAGAAAATTTCTAATAAGAGATTTGAATTTTGAAGCTTTTTGAATAGTTTATCAATTTTTGAATGTGACAAATCAAACTTGAAAGTAAGTTTTTTACAAAAGTATTGGATTTTAGAGCTATTAAAATTAAAATTACAATTAATTTTTCAAGTGTGTGAAATAAAATTTGGAGAGAGATTATCATGACAGTTTATATTTTCTTAGGTAAATTTTTATTGTTTATTTTAAATATTATCTGCTTCAAATTTTCCAATTTTTGAAATGATCTTTGTCAAAAAAAAAAAACAAGTAATTGGATCTTAGATAGAATGTTTCATCATGACAATAATACATGATTGATAAAATAGTGAACTATCCTAACAAGCAAGTGGATTGTTGACATGACTCTCTCAACTAATTCATTTAAGCTTTATTTAACAAGCACATTGATTGTTGACGTGTTGTTGTTCACTAACATTGTTGTTATGTAGCTACTAACCTCACATATTGCTGAAATGCAGACTTTAGATAATCCACTATAATGTAACTTTATCTTCATTTAAAATAACTCATACTTTATTTCTAGCAAATAAAAGATGGTTTCAAATCTTTTTTTAAAATATGTAAATTTCTTGTTGCACATACGTTCAAATTTTTCACCTATCAAAGATGCATTAGTTTCATAATCTAACTAGTTTCCAAATTAATTTATACAAGTTATATATTTTTCATTGAATCTATGATTATATTTTGAAATATTTATTATTTCAAATCTGTTTCTTGAGTATATCTTCTCGCTCAAATTTTTCATAATCAACTATGAAGGTTAGAAAAGTAATTGATACCGATTGGTTGGAAAATTGTTTTGATTGTGGTATATATTTTTTATTTGTGATACATGAAATGCAAGATGTATTTTTATATGTAAAATAAGTTTTAACTTATGTGACCTTTCATTAGTACGTTTCGTTATCACAAAAATAACAATGAATTTTTGATGTTTTTATAAAAGAAAATTTATTGTAAATAATCAAAGATGATCCCATACCTCAATAATCGGATCTTTAGATTATTGAGATATGGAATCTATAATAAATATCTACATGCTATTTTTATTAATTCTAAGCAATCACCAATTTTTTTTTGATTTCATGTAACTTTCAATGGAAATGCTTCACAAAATTATTGACCGCTACTACTTTGTTCAAGAACTTATCACCTTGCAAAAGCTTCAGAAGATTTAACGAAAATATAGAATGAGCTTTATACATGATGTTAAATGTGTACATCTTTTTGTATGTTGAAAAAATTCTTATAAGCAAATTTCAATGATTTTTCAAAAGAGTTTAACATTCTTGTTGCTACTCTAAAGTAAATATCATATTCAATAATTTCAAAGATTTTTCTGTTTAACCATCATTTCAAGATGGGAAGCCCTTGACATTATTAATTTTATTTAAATAAACTAAACAAAATTATCTAAAACAAACAAGTGAAATGAATACATCTATTATTGATTAATATTTTGTTTAATTGAAGATTCACAATAACTACATCTAGATACAATTGAGCAAGTTGTGAAGCTTTTATAGTTTTAGTGATTGTTCTAATGAGATCATTGTATAGCAAAATTTTTGATGACATATTTTTATTGTTGTTATAGAATGGTTGGAGATTGCAATAAACCGGCTGGTTTTTGATTAATTGTTTTGTTTTGTTGATAAACTATACAACTTCATACACAAGATTACACATACTTTTGTATTTGTGACTGAAAATATAATTGTATGCTCTTCAAAATTTTTGTCACTCCCACATGGTCTACAATGACTATATCATGTTTTTTTAATAAAATCATTGTGCGTAATTATTTGTATTGCAACATTCATATATAGTATTTTTGAAATTTTAAACCTCAAACCTTGTATGAACTTCTAGTTTGTAAAGTTTTCATAATATCTTCATACTTATTTGTGATATGTATAATTTCGTTTCACCAATTTGTTTGATTTTTCACTTCTGCAGCATGATTACAACATGTCATGCGTTTAAGAACATTTTCATTTTTTTCCCTAACAACACTCTATTCATCAACTTTATTATTTATTTATTAAATTAATGTTTTATGATCCGTCTTCAACACAAATTTTCTTCATCTAAGTAATTTTTGGACTTTTTTTTCTCAACATAATGACTAATTTTTCTTGCTTCATTGTGTGGTAATTCTGATCCATAGCATAAATCTTGAAGAAGTATTTTTTCTCTAATTTCATTGATACAATAATGTAATTCTGACTTGCTCAACTCACAATTTGAAGTTTTGGCATATAATTTAATACCTCTAAAAATTTGAAATATTTTTTGTAAAGAATGTCTTTGATCATTCAAATTTTTGCTACATATCAAAATATCATTAATAATGATAATATAATGATTTAAAAATATCATTTTCATAAATACAACAAATATATTAGTGGGATAAAAATTCATAATTAAGTATTCAAATTGATCATAAGTACTTCAAAAAGAAATCTTGTGAATATTTTTGTTTGCAGTTTGAATCTGATTATATCCATTTCTTAGGGCCAAATTAGTGAAATATGTTAGTTCTTGAAATTGATCAAACATATTATCATATACAAGATATTCTCAATTTTTTTTTTGGTGTATCAATTCACAATAATCAATAATTTCATAATCAATTCACCCATTTTTTTTTTCAGAAATAACACTAGAGTTCCATATGATGGATTATTTGGTTGAATAAATCTTTTGCTTAACATCTATTCTATTTGAAATTTTTATTTTCAATTATTTTGAGTTAAATAATATAAAATAGTGCAAGTTGACATGATTCCAATTATTATTTTAATTTTGTAATCTAAACGCGTATTTGATGGTGATTCTCGAAATAAATCATCTGAAACAGTATTTTTTATATTTCATAAAAATTCCATTCAAATAATCCAGAATAAAATTTTACTTGGAATCAAAAAAATTTCTTATCAATTTCAAAAACTACATCATCTTTATAGCTAACACAAAAGAATTAACAAGATGCATTTGCTTTAATGGAAGAAAAAAATCTTCAAATGAATAATCCAAAATTATTTTAAATATGGTGTGATAAGTCTATCACATGTTATTGGAGTCAATCAATATTTATATTTATCTACAGAGCATGATAAAGATAAATTTGAATGAATCATAATCACAAAGATTGATTTTTGTATTTGTAATAATTTGACTAAATTCTGAATGAAAGGAACCATCTTAAAATGTTGATGAGTGGAAGTTTAAATGAAAAAATATTATCCAGATTTGAACTAAATAATATAAAATTGTAAAATTCACATCATTTAATATTTCAAATCATTAAGTAATGATAACAATACCACTCTTCGGTAGATTCCAATATATTAAATATCTATTGATTTTGCGAGTGATACCATTAACTTTTCCAAGTACATCTACTTTGACATAATATGATCTCAACAACAAGACCGTAATTCAAACCAGAAAATGATCATAATACATTAAATTGTAGCACCAATGTTTTTATTTTTATCCATATTTGAACTATGTATAATAAAACTGTGAAAATCATATCGCTCGAAATGCAATGTCGACGTCATACATAAATCGATGTGACCGGACGGAGAAACTGGTGTGGAAGAAGACAAAGTCACGAAACGGCAGCTGTGGTACGTTCCTAAGGGAGGAGATTCAAATTGAATTGGCCTCTCGCATACGCAGCTCTCGTTTCGTTGTCCGCAGTAAGTGAGTGACTCGTCCATTCTGACGTGACCTCATGCACATCTCGTTGCTCGATCGCCGCGCGGGCGCGAACGATAAATATCGCTCTGGCCCGCGTGGCGATCGAGCAACGAGCGATAAATATCGCTCGGCTCTTCTGAATTATGGCCTGCCTCGTCGATGAGTGTTGATCGAAAATGCTGCACCGAAGTCAAGCAGAGCGAGACGAAGACCATGGTGATGGTGGTGATGGTGAGCGAGAGATCGAAGAGCTTGCCTTGGAGAGAGCGGCGTTGGACGCTCTCAAGGATGAGCAGATGGAAGCAGACGAGCTGAATCTGCTCGAGGACGAGGATATGCTCATCTTTGGCCTCAATCCTCTCACTGATATTCTGAAACTGGTCTCCTGCAATGTCTGCAAGAAACCTGTCATCGACAGTCAGTTCACACCTCATTTCCAACGCTGTGTTGCGTCCAGAAGGTTGGGCCCGTTGCATATTGGTGTTGGTCAGGAGAAAGGGATTAGTGAGCTTGAGGAGGGTCCAAGAACATCCAAGATCGAAAGGAGGAAGCGTTCGCAGAATCGACACAGTGCCAGGAGGTTTCCCACGATTTCAGAGGAGATGGAAAAAATGAAGAGCGATAAGGATCTGAGCGCGTCGGCTCCTAAGCAACAGAATGAACTGAGTTCATCATTCCGGGTAGACTTGCACGGGAACGAGAAAGCTACCGTGGAGAGAAAGTTACGTGTGAGCGAAGACGAAGTATTCAAACCGAAGGTCAAGGATAGGACAGAAAGAGATTTCTTGCCAACTATAAAGGAAGTATCCGAAGGCAATGGTTCTCACAGAAGGCAGAAATCTGAGGATGAGAGCATTGCCGGATCGACATCAAAGCGGATATCTTCACAAGAGTATCTTCTTGCAGGTGAGGAAGCTCACCGTCCAGATTTCAGGATAAGGAGGCGTGATGTAGCTGATATTTGCTCGGACATACGTTCCCAGCTCCGACCTCCACTCACAGTCGTCACAAGAGGAGGACAGAATAGAGCGGCTGAAGGTCCTGAATCTCATCCTCATTCTCCGAGAACTTCAACACGGAAGAAATATGTCAATCTTCAAAAAACAGAAGTTGACGGCGTCCAGAGTACCAATCCACCAACAATGTCAACTACTTCCGGTAAGAGGAAATCTAAAAGAGGCCGACAAGTACCAGGAATCATGAATCTTCTACGAAAGAAAGGAATTACAGCAGATGATAAGAGGGGAGGCAAGATATTTAGAACTCAAGGAAAGGTGGACATCAGACGAAATGCTGGAGATGCTCGAGCTTTGAGGCGAGCGAAGCGCCAGAAAATGAAGGTGAGATTTTCATGACTCTTGGTCCTGATCGTTAGAAGTGTTGAACGTTTGTCCAACTATGTTATACCGTTATAATTCAATGGCGTATCAAACGTTTCACTTGTCATTGTAACGTTTATTGGATGTAACATTATTATTTCGTGTTTAATGATTTTGATTAAAATATTCAGGATCAGCTGATTTTGGAGAGTTCTAAAGAATTTGAGTCATCGTCGGAGATTAAAACATACACAAAGACGAGTTCTTTGGTAAAATCCACTCAAGTTAAATCTTTGAGGCATGGAGCTGATCATGGACTATCGAAGCCGTCTATCCATGAGCATGGAATGAAAGGGAACAACATCGGTGCAGCCAAGGATGAGGGAGATCTGAGACACGCTCCAAGAGAGAAAAAGAAAAGAAGGTGAGGATTGTCAGATATCTACCATGATTCTTACGACCGTGGACGACGAATTGAATTTTCAAGTATATTGGAATTGTCTTAAGTCGACTCTACTTATAATTATAGTTTATTAGTTCTCCGAGTCTAAATGCTTGTCCTTGTTGCTTGTCAGTTAGTTCTCATGCGTCTACTGATTACAAACTTGAAGTACTTCAATTTTACGTTTCATTTTCTGGTTTGGACACTGGATACTGGGCCCCCATCAATTGGATCGAAACTTGAAGTGACAGTATTCTTCCAAGGCCCTAAGAGATCTTTGAGTTAACGGGACTTGATAGATACTCCCTTTAAGTTCCAATTTGACTGAACCGTTGAACAGAATTGTTCGCAGCGCAAAGTGCCGAGCAAGGGATGTGCAGGCTTGAATATTATGGATGTTAATTGAAAACGTTCAACGGTTCAGTTGTTTCATTTTGATCTCGTCTTTATAGACGGTTATATGGCGTTGTCTATCCACTATGCTTGTTATAGACCCTCGTAGGGAGTTATCTGTCCAATGTCCACATCGATGTCTTTTTCAGGCTGCTTTCAAGTAGTTTGCATGTCCATTCTCTATTCAAATCAACTTTTGTTCTTCATTTCCATCTTCAAATACACATTTAGTCATAGCCCTGCAGCTGGTATTGAGGAATTGTACTCCCTCTCTCTCACTCTCTAAGTACTTAATTTGGAAATGCATTTATATCTTCCAACATAGATTTAATAACAGCATTTCAATGGGATGACATGTTTCTTTCAGAAATAAACAAGAACTGATATATTTTGCTGGCATGAGAACTGAACATTACGAACAATGTCTGATGTGTTCTACGTCGAGTATTTCCTCTAAGTATATGTATTGTGTGCTGAAATATAAATATTAAGGACTATTATCGTATAAAAGAGCAGTAAAATTAGTTCAAACGATGATACGCTTTTCCCATTAGGAGAATATCATGCTATTCTCCTAGATGATTAATTGTGCTAGTATCAAATCACATTTTTTAACATCACAAAGTTTAATATTTTTTATATCGATTCCTCCCTCTATGCAGCAATAAGCGCTTAAGTAATATATCAAATTTCTATGGCACTAGGAGGACAGCCAAGAATATGTTTATCTGCTTCTTCCATTAGGAGAGAAGATTTGATAAAGTAATCTATCATTAGATCTACTCTGGATATAGACTTATGAGATAAGTGAGTCGATGAACAATTTATCACATTCATCAAACATCAAATTTATTTTTGATGAATGTGATATGTTGGTAGTAATTCATGTTAGAAGTTCCATTGAATACAAATATAGAAGAATGAAATTAAATTGTCAATTTACAAAATACAAAATGAACTTTGATTTTAACAAATCCTTCTATCAATTTATAAAGGAATTGTAAAATTCCCTCCCCTATTTGTTAAATTTACCCCTCAGCGGCAGTTTTCATAGAAACAAGACGGAGTCACGGAGTTTAGTTTCCGGCTCTTGTTCTCAATTTCTTTTCCCCATTGTGACCTCATGTCAATGGAGGAAATATCGAAATTTGCTATTGTGGAGCTTGACCACGCAATAGATCGGTTCAATCAAAACGTCATATTCCAAGCCATATTGTTGCCATCACAACTGCCGCTATGTTGCGTGAATTTGAGAACTCGGTGTGAATTTAACAATCCCCTTTTATAAATACCATTGGTTATTAAAACACACTCAATACAATTGAATCTTAGAAATGAAGAAATGCTCCATATGGTAGGATCATATTTTATACACACATTCCAGATTACTTCTTGCGCATCTATATATTGTTTATAATATTGAAGAAAATTCTTGAATAAATTTGGTTATTAAAACGGACTTAATACAATTGAAACTTAGAATTACTCTTAATTTTTCTCAATTAATAGGATCTTATTTTACACGCACATTACATATCATCTCTTGCGCATATACATAGATTGTATATAATACTGAAGAAAAATGTTGCGCTAGAACTTTTTAAAAAAATCTTAGTTATGATAATTTGAAAAACTTTTCATGAAAAAACGGATCAATATAATTTTATTCATTACCACATCTATTTCACACATTCATTGCATTGGAAGTAAACATGGGTCATTAATAATCTATGTTAATTGTATCCAAGAATCCATAATTGTTGAAATATTTCAACAAGAATTGATATATTAATTATGGTGATTAATAGTTTCTCAAAAGCCTCCAACTACAGTATAAACTTGCTTAAGTCCGCACTTTGATCTGAGAAGGTTTGTGCGGACTTATTTGGGATGTGAACTTTAGTTATATCTCATCTTGTGACTTCAATCTTTCCGCGGTATTTCTATGTTAGCTATTGTCAGAAGGTCTTAATAATGAGAAAAGCCTCGGATAACATTCCAATGATTTTCCAGACGGAGTGATACGTTCTACCACCCTTCACTTCATCCCAAAAAACTATTAACCCTGTGGTTAGAGGTTAACATTGACATTTCTAATAGTCCTTGTATTGCAATTGTTAAGGAAAAGGATCGTTAATATCTGACTCCATTCTTATTACAATTAGTTTGTGCTGTTCTTTCTCAACACCGTCTAAAATGATATCATGTCGATATAGTTATTAACCGAGACAATATATTCAAGATATTGGTAAGTCTAGAGATTGAAATGAGTGAAGCCTTATCAAGAATGAAACTGGGTTCGAGACGATAGGAATAGGAAGTAGGATGAAAACCAGTAGACTTAGATACAAGCAGTTATTAAAAGATCCAACCTTAGGGCCAAAAGGAGAGAGAGCTAATCTCTAGTGAGAAACCACCATGTTGCCTCATACATGCAAACATTCGTTTCAAGTTATAACTATTTTTTAGCATCACCGGCATTAATCAAAAGTTTGACTACTGCTGATAATAAAACTCTAGAATTTTGATCTTTGAAATTTCATCTGAAAAATCCGGATTTATATGGGTGCGGACTTAAGTGAGTGTATACTGTAACGTACAGATGAATTGTAAAAATTAGGCATAACTCTTGAAACCTTTTCAGCGCAAAAATTGGCACCAAAGGCTTGCCACCACTAGATATCTCCAAATATAAATTTAGTCTTTGCTATGTGCATCTGAACTTAATACTTTGTTAAGAGTCTAAAGAAAAGTTAGACTCAAGATTTAAGGATTCGAACGTCTCACTTCATGAGTACCTAACAGTTGAATTGAGTTGATTTCTTGCTATGTTCAGGTTTACATTTTTAAGACAATGACAAAATCAAGGTCAGTATATTTTTTTTCAAAGAATCTTTTAAGAAGAAACCCCCAAGATAGAGAGTGTAGCGAGTATGGTATACTCCAGTACGATCATTAGGATTCTTATTGAAGAGTCTCAATTTATAGTATCATAACTTTCATAAACTCATCTAAATATGACGACTTACAGAAGCCTTTCCTATTAGATGATAATGTGTATTGATGTCATCAATCTATAAGTTCATCTTCCGAACAATCTCGAAATCTGCAAGAAGGCTGTATGATTCCTCATCATTCTTGTCACTCGTGAATGGGCTTAGTAGAAGAGACTTTGCTGGTTGCAGCCTGTAAGCATTGGGTTTATTATCTACTGTAATGATCTTGGTCAAATGTCGTCCAAGAACAGACAAGTCCTTCACCCATCCGATCGCTGTTGAAATGCATGCATCCTCACATAATCGACAACGTATTTAGTCTACTTGATCCAATATATCCACAAAGATACCTGTTTTCTGACAAATGGAGGAACAGTATGCACAGCAATTTCATACTTTCTGGCAAGCTCTGTAAGAACTCTTTGACTCTTTAGGGTAAGGGTTTAGTAATTTATGATATTTATTCTCGTCTTTATTTTGACCAAAACAAATCTTTGTAGATATGATTAATTTTTATTCTATGACAACATGTTATTGATTTACTACTTGGATAGATCATAACCTTTTTTTATCTTTGAATTGAGATATATACATGTCATGAAGATTTTGAAACTTCTATAACTTTCATTTGCATTTAAATCAATTTTTAGACTAAAATTTTAGATATGAAGTCAAACTAATATGTTGTTAATGATTCTTTCATAAAATCTAAACTTTGATACGATAGGAATAATAATGTTCATTCATTACTTCTAAAAATATATTAATTGCTTGATAAGATTCTATAATTTAATTTCGTCATAATTAAATAAATTTTAGTCAATTATTATCAATTATGAATATATCTTACTAATAATTCACACATACAATTTTACAGATTGAAATTCATACTTTCTGGCAAGCTCTTTAAGAATTCTTTGACTCCCGGACGCATCACGATGAACACTTCACAGTGCCTCCTGCTGATCCACGTAGGAATCTTGGAATGGAAATGCTCGAGTTCATTCAAAGAGGAGTAGATTAAGGTTCCGTGTCAGTTTAGAACAAGAGTTTTCCTACCTCTCACCACATCTTCTGTTTTTTTGAGCGATGTGTGGCAGCTGCAGAGAAAATTCTGGGGAATCTTCATCAGTCTCTGGCGTGACAGCTTCGAGCTCGGTATCTACCTTCAGACAAGTTGGTAGTCTGCCAATTCTATTCACATGTGGAACATCCTGAGCTGCAATTGTATCCAATACCAGGTCTGAAGCAGAAGAAAAAAATCTGATGTTAATTAGCTTCATATTTTCTCCAATTTTGAGTTTATCTAATCCCCCCACAAAGTGGATTTTTATCTCTTGGTTGAAGTAGAACTGGTTTATTAGCATTCATTCCTTAGAAACGAGGAATTACTTTCTGAATAGCCAGCTCTCTATGCGTAAGAATTGATTCTTCGTTGTACATGCTTATGGGCTGCCGCGGCGGACGCAAAGTAATCGAAGCTTTTGCGAAGGAACGACGGACGATGTCGGCTTTCTACCACGGAGATGTTCGACTTTCATATAACGTTCCGGAGATTACGACAAGTCTCCTTAAACTTCTGGCGCTTGCTTCTGCGAGGGAACGGGGGACGAGATTTTTTAACATGGAGGGGTCAAAATTGACATGGTAAACCCATCCTTCTTGTTAGGCGGATTTCCGATATTGAACGTAAAACTGTCTTCTTGTACACAAGTTTTTTTCTCCTGATAGTAAAGATCCGTCTTGTTAGGCGAGGATTTCGGATATTGAACGTAAAACGTCTTCTTGTACACAAGTTTTTTTCTCCTGATAATAAAGATCCATGGTTTCATACTTTGTGGAATTGTCTTTTGGTCTTAAGACGATATCAAAATTGACAGATTGGATTCTCGCTGTCTTGAAAAATTGACGATAGTGCACCCCATTCCCTCCGCCAGTGCGCGGTAGGCATGGAAACAAACTCTTGAGAAATTGACGATTGGTCACCCCACTCCCTCCGCCAGGTTGCCCAACACCGTCAGCACCTTAAGCATCAGCGTCGTTTCCCCTCTAACCGCGATGGAAACAAACTCCCCACCGATCATAGCGGGGAGTTTGTTTCCATGCCGAT